CACCCCCTTAGATAGGGTCCCAAATTACATCAGCTAAAATTAATTTAAGTGCGTAAAAACCTGATAGATGAGAAACAATACATCAGTACATCAGACTGAATAATTATTAGTCTTAGACTATTAGGAAAGCAATTTAATATTCTTAGGTTTTGTTTTTCTCTTGGATAGGGTGTCATTTTGTAGGGTGTAAGTTCTTGTTTGCAATTGAGTTCTAAAGTGATGATGTCATAAAAATTAATTTTTTTTGTGCCAAAAACTATCATTGTGGGGCAAATTGTCTCAGAGATACTAGTCTCGTTTTGCTCTGTTGACTCCATACAAATCTTTCTAAATTTGACTCAGTTCCACATGCTGTGAACTGAGTCAAATTTAGAAGGATTTATATGGAGTCATCAGGGCATAACCGGGCTAGTATTTCAAAGACAATGTGCCCTCAAATACTAATTTTTGGCAAGTAGGCTTGTTCTTTCATAAATTATACCCCAAAAAGTCCCACAAATTCAGTTTTTTATGACATCAAACTTAAGCTTTAGGACTCTATTGCCTTGTCCTTAAATAGGGTCAGGGGTTAAGGAGGCTCGCACCAATTTTTCAAGGTCTCACTCCTTCGCATTTGATGCTCCCTAACTAATTTGGCTGTAATGCAGGTACAAAAAAGCCTTAAAGTGAAACAACATAACCCTAAATGATTTAACTAATAAACAATGACCTTTACAAAGCCAGGCACAAAGATTCACCATAAATTTAGTGTAGTTTAGGTAACTTAGAGATTTTCAATGGCTTTTAAATTGCACTAAAATGCTTAATAGCAATGATTAAAGTCTCAAAGAATTCCAATGACAAAAAAAATTATCAAGTAATTTTTTAACTGCGGCTTTAAAACCAAGATGACACCTTTTTGCGCTTACATGAGCAAATATATCTTATGAGTGGGAATAGCAAAATGTGTGATCGCAGAGAGCGATTGCTTGCCAATTTTACAAATGCAACTATTAAAAGAACTGAACCGCACCTTAAGTTAGATATTATATAAATATCGTAATTATTTGGCTATAAGCCAATCTTGGGTATAAGCCGAGACCCTAAACTTTAAACTCGTAGAATCATCATAACCGAGAACGAAAGATAAATCCAAAACACTTGCCTACAAGCCGAGAGCCATTCGTTACAAGACTTTTAACTACTGTAAAACTTAACAATTTCAAAAAGAAATGTGGCCTTCTCTAGGAAAATGTACAATTGGGTCTTTCCTCATGTCTTCAAACTCTTGACTATAAGGCGAAACCCCCTCTTTGGCTCAAATTTCACTGAACTTTAGCTTTAATTTGTGTAAAATTCGCTTGGCTCATAGCCGAATAAGTACAGTATAGATTGTACCAGCACTGTAAATCATCATTTTTGATGGTTAAAAAACAGAAAGTGAAAAAGGCGTTAATTGGGATGCAGAATTTTTAGAACATTTTATTTCAAAAACGCTCTCATGGACTTTTTTTCAAATCTTGTGAAGATAAAGACAAAGGTCTAGACTATTAGCAGACCATAGGTAGAGGATTTTAACAAATTATTGCTTGATTTTGAGAAAATTCCCAATTTGTAGATTCCATGTCATTATTCTGTTGTTTATTATGATTCCATCATTATTCTGTTGCTACGGAAGTGGCAATGCCAACAAAACATGGGTTGACCATTAACGAGGGAGTTTGTGACTCAGGACACAGAAAAGTGTCCATTGTCCGTAAGCTGGTATCAATATTAAGCAGGTCAATTTTAGAAAAAATGTAGAAGCTTTTCATTGGGCAAACAAAACGGTCTGTTATGTACAGGTGTCCGTAGAGTGACTGGGTTCCACTGTAGTGGATATAGTTGCTTGATACAAAGTAAAAACATTAAAAAGGTTTCACAAGGGGTGTATAACATACATGTACATTTACTTCATAGCACAAAATAGTGACAGTTGCTCCATGACAAGTGCAGTGCATGCTATGTTAATGTGTTCTTTTCTATACCATAAGGATGATGAAGTTGTTGATGAATTGCACTATGAGATAAAGAAGATTGAGGGTCGACAGCCTGCCTGGGAAGATGATGCTGATGATGAGGAGAGGTACATTGTTACCCATGAATTGTGTTGCTCCTTTGCTTCTAAATACAGACATGCCAGCTAGTAATCAAGATATGATTTTAACAGTGATTATCACTAATATAATAATAATAATAATAATAATAATAATAATAATAATAATAATGAAAATAATAATTAGTTCTGGTCATTTGCTATCTATGACTGAATTCTTGACTGATCACAATGAGCGATTCCAGAAAATATCCATACTATACCACAGACGGCTTTTAGGATTTCCGAAGGGGAGGGGGGGTTCACAATTATGGAATTCTAAGGGCATGGGGGGTATTTACGATTGGAAATCCGAAGGCATGGGGGAATTCCACAGGTGGGATTTCTGGAGTAGAAAGTGTAGAGTGAGTTACTTGAAAACGCATTTTGGAATTTCCAAAGGCAAGGGGGAGTTAAGACACGGAAGCCGTCCGTGGTTGGGTATGGATATTTTCTGGAATTGCCCAATTCAATAAGTGTAATAGATATTACAGTATGTGCTTCTGAATAGATTTCAGCAAATCAGAAAGGTATGCTGGCAGATTCATGCAGAGTTAGCCTCAATATAAAGCAAAATACTGGTATCCACAATTTCTGCAAAATAAGTGTTTGAAATTATAAAATACCCAAAAAAGTTTTATTCAGGGTTCATAGCAAACTCGAATCTGGACTATCAGGCCTAATATATTAAACCCAAACTTTAAGTTTGCATAAATTTTGGAAATATCAAAAGTTGAAGTTGTTGATTTATTTTATTTATTTTATTTTGAATAATATTTAGTCGGGGGTGCCCAGTTCAGCGAGGCTGGTTTGAAATAGGGCCCCGATGAAAAGAAAAAACAACACAAAAAACAATAACAGATAAAAAAAGTGGAACAACTAAGTATAGCAAAAGTATTGGAGGCTCAATTTGGCTTGGATCTAAATAGTGCCTTTTTAGGCCAAACCCAAACCTATTTAAATAATGCTCACTCCTCTTGCAGGGCCAGAGGAAGCGTGTTCCAGATCTTGGCTCTGCTACAGCTGTAGCGGCAGATGGAGCAAATCTCTGTAACGCGTGTTGAATGGAAATTGCGCATGCAGCTAAATTGATTAAGTAAATCTGCTGGAGCCAGGCCATGAAGGCTCTTAAAGACTAGCATGCACTTTAGATAAAGATTGATTAATAATAATTATTGTAGAAGGCATTAAAGATAATCATTTGAATTTAATGAAATAATTGTTTGTACACGTACTGGCGTTGTTTTCATTCATTGTAATAATTTTTTTTTATATACTTACTGGTAGGTACTGTAGTACATGTACTTGCTTATAATAATATACCTTAAATACATGTATGTTATGTTAACTAATGTGTTGGCCCTTTTAATTTGTAGAATTGAGATTTCGTCAGAATCGCGTTTAAAAAAGTTGCGAGATGGAGCAGATGAGACAGTTGTTACTGGAAAGAAGTTTACGCAAAAGCTAAAAAGACAGTGAGTTGCTTCAGCTAAACGTTTTTTTGTTGTTCCAAAAAATAACAAGTCATTGTCCTTTACCACATGCAAATCCCCTTTTTTTCTTGGGAATCTTTGCACTGCACATTGCTCTAAAAATTCAATTTTTCTAAAATAACAAATTATTGTCCCTGGAATGCTTACCATTCTGAAATAGTTCAGTCCCTTTATACCTGTAAAATAATGAAAGTACAAGAAGGGAGGACAGTGGACAAACAAGCAGAGGCTGCCGTCCAAACGTGAACTGCAAGCTGCAAACTGCAAATGTGACTGTGAGACCATGTATGGTCACCTGACGAGTGTTTGCTGTTAACCACAAAAAACCTGATGCTAAAGGTCTCCATTGACTCTAGAAATTGAAACCTGTAAATGGGCTGCTACCGAAAAGTATTGTACATTAAAACAATTTTTTTTTTGCTGCGTGTTTGCTAGACATTAATTTTTTTCTTAATCAACCAGCCCTCCACTCAAAAGGAGGATTCTATTTTAAAATTTAGCCAAGCAGATGCTTCTTTAACAAGTCTACGAGTCCTGAGCTTCTGTGTTCATATGATCAGAGATAGGATTTAGAAAAGGAGATCTGAAAATATATTGACCCCGGTTGTGTTGCATAAGCACATAGATTTGTGATTGCCATTTTTAGGAGTCATTTAAGGTGATGGTATATGCAAATTGCCATGTTCTAGTTTGCTTTTAACTGCTTCGTTGATTCTGTGATTGTTACAAGGGCCTCGCATTCTACACTAATGTACTGATAATGATTGTAATAAACATCTGTAATCAGTTTACAAGTATACTTTTTCCAACTTTACTGACAGGTTTGAAAGAATATATGGTGATGCAAGCTGGGCAGATCTGGATAAAAAGGCCAGAAAAGGTGCTAATTAATATTGTACCATTTGTTTGCCTAGGTCTGTTCCACTTCTGAGGTTCTCCTTATGTTAGATATAGGTTGCCAGTCATATTCATCTATAGACCACAACATAAATTTTAAATATACTTACATTCTAGTATCCTATGTATTGTAAGTACAGTAGATTTACCCTGCAAGCAGAGGTCTGGTTTCTCTCTTGCATGGTGTAGCGTTTTGCGAAGTCATTTGCATTGCTTGTCATGCTCAGTGGCATTGTCGGTTTGTTTATAGGCTTCTGGGGCATATAAACAAACCAACTATGTGACTGACAAGCAACGCAGACAACTAAGTAAATGCTAAAAGCCATGCAAGAGAGAAACCTCTGCTCACAGGGTACAGTTGATTATAATTTAGGCTGTTAATATTTTAGGATAACTCATCTTATATCTTATACTTATCCAAAGTCTTATGGGTTTCTTTAGCGACTCATTATTTAACAATTAATGAATGAGGCTGAGTATCTTATGAAGAATTATGGAGATCGAGGAGGGTGTTATCCGTCGAGGCCGTAGGCCGAGGCGGATAACACCCTCTGAGATCTCCATAATTCTTCATATGATACGAAAGCTGAATTCAATAATTGTTTTATTATTCATTCAAAATAATTCCTAGTTTGAAAACAAAGCTAAAACATGCTTACCTTCATCGATGTTAAGTTCACCTTCGATAGTGCACGTTTAGGATTGTTCCGCTCCGCAAATATTCTCCAAATAGCAGATGTAGCCCTTCGAGTTGTGTTCTTGCAGTTCTTGCCATGTTTTTAGCTATAATTTCGCCTAGTTCTTACTCTTGAAACGAGTGAAATGTCCGCCATTTTTTGTTTTCACAGCCAAAACAACTCAATCTAGTCCCCAGGTCTTCTCGGTTAACGGTGCCTTAACCTGCAAGAACGCTGCATTTTTGACGTCATTTCCTCGTTAAACCCAAAATTCTTCTAAATTTGGTCATCAGTAACTGGTTATGGTAAATTATGCGTGTGCTTTTAGCCAATCAGAATCGGGGAAATATTTTGAATGAATAATAAAAACATATTAATAACTGTATCTTTTACATTAATCACACTTTCATTACCCCTGTTCTATAATTATTATTTTGATTAACTTTAAAAAGAGTAAAGTTTATTGGAAGAGCCATGCCAGTGGGTCAGGTAGTGAATGACTAGAAATGTGCATCTTGTGAAACACAACAAAGCTCACGCGGGAGGGCGTGTTGAAGTGCATGTAGTGCAATGATATGTACAGTGCACACATGATCCAAAGGGAGAAAAAGCCAAGAAAAGGAAAAAAGGGGGGAAAATGATATCATGTACTGTATTTAGGAATCAAACCTAGGAGTGAACACCTGCAAGGCAACAGGCCATGTAATGATGTTTCAGACTCAGGAAGATTGTACATAAAGAAAAGTATTCTCTTTGACTTGTTCAACCCCTGAAATTCTTGTCAAAAATGCCATGTTAAACAAGTGACCTGTTTTCTAGTCACTATGATCTGTTTTTGGTTACTTTTGTGTGCAGATCTTCTCTAAAAAGATTTTCTAAAAATCAGATGTTTCAAGCCCATCCCTGTTGCTAAATTGGCAACTTCCACCACGAAAACTGAAGTTTTAATCACAAAAGATCAAAATGATTGCTTGAGCAATGCTCATCATTATACTTCCTTACACAGAAGTCAGTCTTTCTTACATTATGTTAAACCAGCATCACGTGACATAACATGATTGAATAGTGTTATCAATATTGTTGTGTCTGGTTTCTAATTAATTAGATTCTGAAAGTGATGATGATGAAGAGGAGGAGAATTCAGTTCTTAAACGAGCAGGAAACCTTCTCACTGGGAAATCAGACAACCTTCCTCGTGGATTCCTTGATATTGCTAGAACTAAAGATGCAAACATTGATAAACCTTCCAATGTGAGTGCAGAGATAGCCAACTGTTTACAATTTGTAAAGAAAATATCCAGACTCACTAGACACCAGTTCTTCAGTTCAGATTACAGGTAGCTGCTGGGTATTCCAGCTGTTTCATTCACCACTTTAGAAACTAGAAGGAAACTGGTGCCAAAATGTGTCTCGCAATTTTTTCTGGGATCATTTGTGGGGACGCACCAATCAGCTATTGACCAATTTTTTCCCTTTTCCCTAGTAACAGCCCCATAAGTCTTTGTAAAAGTTAACTCGGCCCAGTTTTTTTTGTTGTTTCTAAAGTGGTGAATTGAGGCCTTGGGATGATGTTATTAAGTAAAAATGTTAAACAAGTTCCCTGCAATCAAGTGAGTGAACAGGTAATGATTAACTTGACATTCTTCAAGAAATAATTATTAATTTTAAGTTTACTCAAGCCAGGGAAGCTAAAGTTTTAAGCAGAGCTGTCATTAAGAGCCAGGGGCCGGGCATTTCCTGTGGCTACTATGAATGTGGCCTACAGCTACTTTCGTAGGAAAATAGAAGAAAAATAGAACCAAAAGAAATCCTTAACTCTTTTATTCCCTGCCCACTTGTTGCATTTACCCGGCAACTTGAAATCTTAATGACAACCCCGTTTGACCCTTTACTTTGAAACACAAAATGATAAATATGCTTTCAAAATGTACTCAATGTAGGAGGGTTCATGTTCATGTAGATAATGGTGGATTGAAATTATGTTTGTCCTGGGCTGGGTTGTTCAAAGCTGGGTTATTAAGGTAATCCAAAGTTAGTGTGAAATGTGAATTAGGATATGGAGGCTTCAAAAGCAAAACAATTCAGTTTAATTCTATCATAGAATTTTTGGCTATGATTTGATGAGTGGATGCCCTAAAAATAATAGAGATTTAGAATTATCCAAGAAAATGCTTTTGAACAAAAGAAAAAGAACCCTAGATTAAAATAATATTTAACCGCAGGCTTAGTGCTTGATAGCCTTTGAACAACAGGCCCCATATTACTGCACCATTTTTAACATCATTCAAGAACAAATAGCCCACATTTGATATATTAAAAATTAATTCTAACATGACTTTGAGGCTTTGGGGTCAGAACTGCAAATTTTTCGTGACCTTATTGTCTTGCAATTCCCAGGGACTTGCATGAGCTCAAAGAAAACCAAACTAGATATAGAAAAATGACCAGAAAGCCTCACAGTCTTGTTAGAATTTTAATAATAATTATTATATATACTAGAACCAGCAGCTCACTTTTTAAGGAAAGATTTGTATTTAATTTATTTTTAGTATTTACATTGATCATTGATTTTAATGCTAGGGCTGAGCTGTTTGAAGCTTGTCTTATTGGCTCTAATCCTTACTTAACTGTTTGTAACAACTCACCTTTATAGCTATTCTTGTCTCCATTAACCAATACAATAAAATAATTTTAATTAACTCTCCCAAAGGGCTATTCTGAAGTTAATTTACAAATGCTAAAAAAGAAGGGGATAAGAAGAAAAAGCTTAAATTGATTACAATCTTGGTACAAAACTAAAAGCCTAAACTATGTACGTAAAATTACGTTATCTCTTTGGAGATCTAAACTAAATCAAATATTAACTATTTAACGTATGGGGTCTGCTCCTGCAATTCGTGTTTGATGCTCCTGTTAAAGGTACTTAGTGACGGGCTATTTCTAGTGTCTGCGGTCAGAGTTCCAGGCACTTATAGTGTGATAGTAAAATGACGGTTTCGCGGTAACTGTTCTGCATAGAGGGAGATTTAGATTGTCGTGTCGTGTCGTAGTGGTGTGCGTCTGATCGCTTACTGAGTTTACTACTCATAAGTACAACGGAGCGAGGATAAAGGACTGTGACTGTGATAAAGGATGGTGGAGTGTGTTATCCCATGCATACATGTTTAACTAGTACAGTGCTGATAAATGGCTAGATTGTTGTTTTCATTTGCCTTCCATGTACTTGTCTGTCTTGTTGTGAGTATTTGACTTGCGATAAGAGCCACTTACATGTAGTGTCTTTATTTCATTATGCATGCTTTGATGTCGCTTAAGGTACGTGACTTTTTCATCTATTTTTTTTCCTAGGCTGCCCTTCAATGTGTTGAGTTTCATCCCAGTGCCAAGGTCCTCCTTACAGCTGGCTTCAATAAAACTTTAGATTTGTTCCAGGTACAAAATTTGCAGATCTAGTTGCTTACATGCCCCCGTTGTAACATAGTTCCCAGGAAAAGCCAAACACTGCACTGCACACATTAAATGTCCATTTCAGTTGGGTCAAACATGCATCTGATGTAGACTTTGCCTGGACACAGAAGCTTAGGATTTGCATGAGTGTCGCTACTATACCTCTATGCATGGTACACGCTTGTGTACCTGAAAAACCAAGTGAGAAAGCAATAACAAAAATGAACTAAAAAGCAAATGAATTTTAAAACCAATTGCGCTTGAAAAATTAATACATTGACTTTTTTCGACCTCGTAAATGTCAGTTTTTAGAGAAGTGAGATGACTCATTTGTGGACTGAATCTTGAATGATATAATTATTTTGAGAAAAAATAGGAAAATAGCAGGCATATAGTAAGCTGGAGGGTGAAAACATAAGTGCATTGCTTTCACCTCAGCCTCTATTCACAGTCAGGATGAAGTAGGGCATGATAACATCAAGACAGAGTACTGCTAAGGGCCATAAACAATGGCACATTAGGGTGGTAACCATGAGAACCCTTTAAGAGGGACCCTTTAAAGCATTCACTGATAGGCCCTCTCTTAATAACACTAACAGTCAATTTTGCTGCCTTCCTTTTCGCCCACATGTAGATATGTAAGCAGTCTAAGCAGGGAGATATGTATTGTATTCGTACTAAAAGTATTCGGCACGATCTTGCTTCCTTTCTTTCCACAGATAGATGGGCAGAACAACCCAAAACTTCAAAGTATTTTTCTTGAACGCTTTCCTATCCACTCAGCTCACTTCACGGCTGATGGGGAACAAGTGATTTTAGCCTCGCAGAGACGATCGCTTTATGTCTATGACATGATCAAAGGAAGTGTAATTAAAATTCCTCGAATAAGAGGTATTTTATTTTTGTTATGATATATATTATCAATAATAATAATAGTAATTATTGTTATTTTATTATTATTATTATTATTATTATTATTATTTATAACTATTATAGAGCTCCACTTCATGATCATCATCATCATCATCATCATCACCATCATCATATTTGTCCCTGAAGTGCCACCCTGCCTTTCTTCCCTTTGCTTCTTTGCTCATATGGTTATTGGAAATCATGCATTGCACGCGCATCCTACAGATTAGTCATTTATCTGCTAGCAGATAACTAACTAATTTGTAGGTTGCGCTGATTTTCAAAATTAACTGTAGGCTCTTAGCCAATGAGAAGACATATAGTGAGTACAACTTTTCCAGCCACTTATCCAAGTTCTTTGTCACTTTTCCCAATGATCGTATAACAATCGGTATCACGCGCACAGTTCTCATGTTCCACATCCTTGCAATTTGTCTTTTAAGCTCCTGATACTTTTCAACCTTCTCATTCTCCTTTTCACCAATTCTCTTATCCCCTGCCACAGCAGTATCGACAATGGCAAACTTTCTCTCCTGTTCTCTCCAATGTCCGGTCTTCTAGCTTCAATGACATGATCACGTTGAATGTTCATATCCCACAGTAGTTTAACCTCATTGTTTTCACTTACACTGTCAGGCACGTTTTCTTACTACTTATCCTTCTTTTCCAAATGATATTTCTCACTTAGCTTCTAACGAACTACTTTTGCACTAGTGGCATGTTTCTGTTTATATTCCCTTTTCACGCTCAAAGACAATACGGTTTACACTCTCACCTTTCTCGGCACATAACCTACATAAGGGGGATTCCGCCGTCTTGTCAGTATGATATTCGTTCCATAGTTGGTCCTGAGAGCCTGTTCCTGGCCTTCATAAATGAGTGCTTTTTCGTAACCAGCTCCAAGTTTCTCTTACATGTGTTGTTTCGGGTAGTTCTCTGAAAAATTGACCGTGAAGCCTTTTTCCTTTCAAACTATCGAGTTTCTCATTGTTCCAAGATGTCTTGAATTCATCTTTGCTGACAGTTTTCTCACTTTTAATTATTTCAGCAGTACCTAACCCCTTGCAGTAGAACGTCCAAAGAATTCCTCACATACCACCCCAAACTGTTTTCTTCACCTCTCACCCCCCCCCACAGGTTATTAGTCCCCGACCTCCATCCTCTGTTGATACAAACAACCCGTCAACATCGCTCTTTGGATGGAAAGCACCATTCAATGTCAACACCTTTCTGGACATTCTATCCAATGTTTTCAGTTCTTCCTTTGTCCGTCTTATAATGCCTGCTCCATACCTCAGCACTGACACTGTCCATTTGTTAATCGCTATAACCTTATTCTTTCCACTCAATTTTGATTTCGACATTAGTTTCAGCCTTCTGTTGTACTCTCATCATCATCATCATCATTATGATCATCATCATCATCATCGTCATCAACATCATCGTCATGATGATGATGATGGTGATGATTATTATTATTATCCCGCGGTGGTTGCCATTCGTGTCCGAAGAAGACTGCGTGTTGTGTGATCATCTATGGATTCTCTGGTGGCTCTTCAAACTCAGTCTGGAAGCGCAGAGCCTGGAAGTGGTGGGGCACTGGAACTCCGTTGTTTTGATATCAGCAGGGGATGCTCTGTGGCGTCTTTCATCGGCTGCCATGACACACTGCTGTGTTTGACTTCGGTCGTCCTCGAAACTGGTGGAGGCTAACACGGTCTTTCCAGTGGATGACAAGCATGGAACGGCGGAGGGCACTCATGTGAAAGTTCTCCAGCTGTTTGAAATGCCTGCGGTACAGTGTCCAAGTCTCATCCATACAGGAGAGAGGTCAAGACTACAGCTCTTTAGACTTTCAGCTTCGTAGAGAGGCAAATGTTATGGTGATTGAGCACCTTTGTGCGCGGCGTCCCTAGTGCTTGGCTAGCTTTGCTGATCCTGGACGTGATGTCTTTTATCCAGAGATGATGATGATTATGTTGCTGCTGCTGCTGATGATGATGATGATTATTATTCTTATCGTTATAATTTCATTTTATGTTTCATACATCTTCAGGTAGAGAAGAAAAACATTTTGATAAGTTTGTTGTTTCCCCCGATGGCAAGCATCTCGTGTTTCTTGGCAGCAATGGGTATTTAATTCTTCTTTCAAGCAAGGTTAGTTGATGCCTTGAAAACACGCTATTTTAGTTTGTTTAGTACTAGGTAATACTATTGTTCACTGCAGCAGGTTATCAGAAACTCCTCTGTTTTTTATTGAATAAGTTTATGAGAAAAAAAAAGTACATGTAGAGTCACACGTAGTAGTCAATCGTATACCTTGTCTTGTCTCTGTAGCCAATAAAAATACAGAAAATAGAAAACAAAAACGCTATTGATATTTTTGTGCTGTGAATGCTATGAATGTGGCTTGTTCCATCTTCTTCCTCTAGCGAGAGTCCTTGGACCGTCTGAGACGTTACTCGCAGGCAAATCTGGTGCACCAATTAATCACTTTAATTAAACCCCCTTTTCTGACTTACTGTTCGTCTGAAGTTCTTCGGTCAAGTCGGCCGATGTTTCGCCATTCATCTTCAGTGTTGTACCCGACATGGACCCTGTTTGTCCCCTTCTTTCCTCCCACTTAATTACTTGTAGGTCATGATGTTCATTTTCTTGTAAACTAGAAGAGCGTTTTACCGTTTGTCGTATCAAGATACGAGAAATACAGCGATTTTGTCACATCTGTAAAAAGTTTGTGACCATTTGTGACCACCGAGATCATCATCAGGATCAACTTGCCCACCTGCCCTTTTTAAGATCCTTTCATAAATTCTTTATCGATCAAGTGATGAACGATGCTCCATCAAAACGGCTAGGCATCATTATGTTCCAGGACTTCGTTCCTGTCAATAAAACGAAAGAACAAAAAATGCATATTTGTCTAGCCATCTTCTCGACATTCTTTCTAATTATAACGATAGTTTTTACATTTGATTGCAATTTTGTCGTCTTGAAAAATATTACTGTCAGTGCTATACCATGGCGTTTCAAACCTGGGCTAACGTAAATGTTTATGATTTTTCTATTTGCTTCGTCTTTGCAGACAAAACAGTGGGTTGATAACCTTAAGATGAATGGGTCAGTCGACGCGGTAGCATTCAACGCTGACGGATCTCGCATGTTTAGTGCCGGAGGTACAGCCCATGTACTTTTATCAGTTTGAATAAAAATCATTGGTTATCCTTGGCTAATAGAGATTTTTTGTACTACGTATATTTAGTAGAAGTGTTGTCAGTGTATGTATTTTCCGTACCGACAGGCGACGGAGAGGTGTATGTGTGGAATATGAACACACGCAGTTGTGTGCACAAGTTTAGAGATGAAGGGTGTCTCAATTCTACTACCCTGGCAGCATCTGCAGATGGCCAGTATCTGGCCTGTGGGTAAGTGTTCAGTAATTAACATGTATCTGATGTCTGAATTATGGAAGGAAATCAAGGGTTCATCAACTCCCGTCCCACGTTCTGTCACGCTCCTTGAATTGAAGCCACGAAGCTATCAAAAATCATTATTTTCGTCAAGGTCTTTAAGAACATTATGCACCAGCTATTGCCGGTTTTTAGGATAAGGAACACTGTTTTGATCACTTAGCTGAGCTTCGTGGCGCCCCACGCAACCTACCCCTGCCTGGGGTAGTAAGCACCCCCCAACTCTTAGAAGCGGGTTGTGACTAGAATGGATACCCCAAAATCAGGTTAAACACCTTATGTTTATTACACGACGCTATACTCTTCATCACGCTATACCATATTTAGGCGAATTTACTGGGCACGAGATGTTTTAGAAAAGTGGGGAAATCAGAGTAAGAGACAGTTGTGCAAGGAAAAGAGTTGAATACAGGGTTTAGCACCGAAGTACAGTGATTAGGGTTAAGAACTGTTTTAAAAACGGTTAGCTTTCAATAATGTAATGATCAACGCCATGTAAAGTACGTTAAAATTAACCGGTCTCGGCAGTTATCCCTTGATGTTGTAGTGGATACGGATATTTATTTTACATCAAATGACGCGGGTTCAAGTCTTACATACTACCTATTGTTTTCTTCTGTTTTCTTTCTTCTCTTATTTACTACTTTAAGTTATAAGACTCCTGTAATGAATTTCGAGCGAAGATGACAATCCGACTTTGGGGTATCCATTCTAGTCACAACCCTTAGAAGCGCCCACTCCTTCGGCCATATTAACAAATATATAAACGCTTCTCCCCACCCCTCACTTTTTACAACGGAAGGACATTACTTTTCTGATGATCATAGCTATTAAAGTTCGACTCCACCGGCTGTAAATATAAGAGAACAGCATCTTCTTTGTTGACCAACTTCTATTATCTATCTCCCTGCCCTTGCAAAGTTGTTTTTACTGTTATGCATTAAATCGAGGCAAAAAAAGTGTCAGTTTGTTGAAGGAGAAACTTAATAGGTTTTCCTTTTGAGGCCAAATTTAAGATAAGCACCCGCTCGCTTGCATGTGGAAATACGATATCTACTATCTAGTTTGATTATGTGTCTGGCTTGAAATAAATCTTGAGACGAGTTTGTCTCTTGGAAACTGCGAAGCTGCATAGGTAGTAAGGTAAAGCAAGTCAAACTTTATTATCAGTTGTTCCAGCTCTAGTCCTTAGTCCAAGATACACTACATGAATTTACCGTATTTTTACTTTGCAGGTCAGATAGTGGTGTAGTTAACATCTACGATGAGCAGTACTTACATCAAACTCAACCAAAACCTCTCAAGGCCGTAATGAATTTAACTACAAATGTAAATAAAGCGCTGTTTAATTCCACAAGGTACGTGTCGTTTTTTAACAAACTTTTCGTTAAACTAGTAAAGAACGATTTCCTCTCTGCCGGAGAGAAACTTAAAAACTGATCTTTTTTCCTCCTGGAAGATTATTTTGCTGGCAGGTGATCTTCTATGTCTCTATCGCAAAAGATCAGCTTTTCTGTCGGGTTCGTGTTTTCTATTCCTAGAGCCAAGAAAAAGTTATCTTTTCATGTAAAGTCTTCTACAACTGAATCTTTAAGATTCCTGTGTAATTACCGACATAATATTTCTGTTCCTCCTTTTGGCGCTCCTCACCTTGTTCAGTTCGTCTTGTCATTTCTGACCAACCTTAAACATTTTTATTTGCAATGAACTTTGATTTTCGACGTTTACCTCCTCGATGAGTTTATTACTCTTAGGGCAATCCGTGCCAATAAATATGTTTAGATAAAAGTTCGGTGCAAGAAAAGAACCGTTTTCGTGGGCTCTTGTGATCAAAAGTACTTGCTCCCTTCCTTGCTTGGAATTCTTTTGTAAAAAAGGCCGTTCATGGTAGTGATAAGGCATTATTAAAAATTTTGTTTTGTTCTTTGTAGCGAAATCTTGGCGATTTCTTCAAAAGTAAAGAAAGATTGCTTTAAAATGGTAAGTAGACAGGTTTAGCACCAGTTTCGCGTAAAACATTAAACAAACTGGAACAAAACCAACCTTCCTCATTAGGTGTTGGGAAAACGAAGTGAGAACAAGTCCTTCAATTTTTTTGACCAAAAAAGACAGAATTTTCACTGATGTATTCTTACGCTCATACCCATTGTATGCAGTGTTTGTGCAAAGGGTTCGTAAAGGTCATGGAAAACCTGGAATTCATCGAAGTTAAGAATTTCATTTTCTAGGCCTGGAAAGTCATGGAATTTGATTGTGGGTCCTTGAAAGTCATGGAGAATTAAAAATTTGTTTGATAGATTAGTTACTGCAGGTGACAAGGCAAGGGCAATTTAAGATAAAGAGGAGTAATTAAACAGCGCAAGTGAACGGCACGCATTTTTGTGAACACCAGAGTTTGTGTCTGTTGAACTCTTTAAAAAAAAAAATACCCTAAAACAAGGAAAGTTTTTAAAATTTTTGAAAGTGACAGCTAAACCTAAGGTCTTCGAGATCTTAAAAAGGTCATGGAAAAAGTCATGGACTTTAAAGAGCTTAAAAGAGTACGAACCCTGCAGTGCTTGATTCACACAGTTGTTCTAATGATAAGGCCAAAATGTTTTCTGTACTTTCAGGTTCATTTACCGTCGCTCACTGTTTTTTCCAATTGGCCGACTTCACGCACTCCTCTTAGATACGTGCACACGTTCGATTTTTCGCCAAACAGCGGTTATCTTTCTATTGGTAACGATCGTGGGAAAGCGTTACTCTTTAGGTAAGTTTGTAACTTTGCGTCACGCTACTTAATAATTACAGAACACACTTCAAATGCCAATCAGCTGAATCTGAGAGATAGAGGAGCTTGATGTTGCCTTTTTCATTGCTTCTTCGATGAGAAGTTTGCTTTGCTAATTCGTTGAGTCAGAATTTTTTAATTACGATTTAAGAAAAAACGTTCCCAGAGTTTTTAGATGGTAGAGTATTAGTTCAGTCTTGTAGATAGTATAGATATTATTTCATCCAACAAGGCATCTGTTTTGCAAGTTTTGAACGGACTTGGAATTTGCGAGCCTTTTTCTTCAGCAGTTGATTCCTGCAAAGATGAACTATTTTGCATGGGTATTGACGTAGTCACGCAACGGTCGAGTCCCTGCACCAAGAAGCCACCCGTTTCTAAACACGACACATTTATTCTTGTTGCTTTGTGCAGGTTAAAGCACTACAAGGACTCGTGAAAGATGGATGGGGTTAAATTACTTGCAATCCACACTGGACACACTGGACGTGAGTTACTAACCAAGCATTCAGTCTACTGAAAGACTGCGCTCCCTTAAAGTTACCGAGCAAAGTGCGGTTGTGACATCATAATGACGCAAGAAAGGGAAAGCGCAGTATGCGTGCGTCTCTTACCGAGTTTACCGAGTTAACTTGAACCCAGACTTGAACCTGTGGTTTTTAATAAAGCCCTTTCTCACACACCACTGGTAGCCATGCCAAGCCGACCGCCGCAGCCTGACCTTTTTTCCAAATTCGTAAAAATGTACACATACCATACCCCTAGAAAGGTGGAACACTAACAAAATTACAAAGTTGCATATTATATTTAAACAGTCTACAAAACTGAAATCTTAGGATAGGAGGGTGGGAAAATCAGTAATGGTAATTGCAACAAATGCAACTGCCCGCCTTTCGGTCACATGACCTATACCCAGGCCCCCAGTGTTGTGTGCGAAAAACATTTTCCATTTATTTCGTTACACTCAGCCTGTGGAAAATTACCCTTGACTATCAGAATCGCTTTTTACTGTTTTGAAGAATCATGTATATTTATTTTAACTTTGAAGTCTTGTGAATTAGGCTATTTGTAAAACTTTGTTCTAAGTTTTTCAAAATACGATCATTCGGATTTTAACTATTTAAAATGTTAACCGTGAAACGTGAACTGAAATCATTGAAAGCCAGTTTCCTGTAATGTTGTTTATTTGCCTCCCACCTGGCTTGACAAAGTAACAAATAAAGAAGTGTTTAAAACAGCTCAACTTCCACTCGTAGATTTGCCTGTGTACAGACCCCACCTCCCCTTGCAAGGAAACGTCTAACTTGTCTAGGACATGTGTTTCGTATGTCACCAACGATGCTCTTTCGCAGACTTCGAATTCCCCACTCGGGAAGGAAGAGGGATAAGGAGGCAGATAAGAAGTCACACGTGCGAATCAAAGGCAAGAAAACATGATGTAAACTTGTTTTCTCGCACTTATCCGTCGCAGCACTACTGATGAAAAGCAGAGAATTAAGCCACTGGAATCATAACACAACAGCTCCGACTACATGCACAGTTGTTATGAGTGCTTTGCTTTCTTTAGTAAATCTTTTCTACTTCTTGCTGTGGAAACTGTCCGGCTTTGATGTTATTTTTTTTGTCGTCACGTTTCTTGATAGAACAGCGCGTTACAAACTGAAATAAGGGATTTTTGTTTTGGACGAGGGAACGAGGAAAGCTCAATAAGAAGCATGCGTTGGAATAGTTCAGTTTCGAATTAAAAATTACCGCTGAATACAAACATTTAGGACACATTCATACAGGGTTAACCTCGACATAAAGTAAAATATTGAGAAATTCCTGCAAGTAAGTGTTTGAAATTTGAATATAAACAATAAACAGAGTAATAAACAGGTCTTTTTCTCGTTGGAATTTGTGAATTTATTACTTCAGATGGAGGCTAAGCCTCCAAAAATGCGTCTTCATAGCGAACTCGAAACTGGACTAATGTGAATATGTTATGTGGCAAAGCGACCGGGCGCACTGGAACGAGTGTGATGAGATCTATGGTTATTTCCTTGACATTTGCATGCATTTTGAAAAACGTTTTCATTAACACGTATCTAAACGTGTCCAACTCAAATTGTTTTTAATATGGTTTCAGGCGTTGAATATTAAAGGCTCGATGAGAAATCCTGCAATGATATAACATGTTCATAATATGGTTGTGTTGTTAGTTTCCTCAGTCCCAATTACACTATTTAACTATATATATGTATTTATCCCGATTTGATTTCTGAACTGATGTCCTTTCTCTGTCTGATTCTTCAGCTTTCAGCAGCAACTTCCTGCAAAACAGAATGGTTATAATAAGTACACAGATGTTATTTATTTAAAAGAACTTTTTGCTGATATCATTACTCTTTTTAGGTTATCCCTCATATAAGGATATTTGAATGACCCTTATTCTTTCTAATTTGCACGAAAGAAGTAGGAAGGTATCATTTTATTAACCTTCGTAAAAAGGCTTCCCGAGCGGCAGAGAGCAAAACAAGGCGTGAGAAAGGGAGGGGAAGGTCCTTCTTCCCTCCCTCCCCTCCTCATTTTCTTGCCTTTGTTTCAATTTTGATGCTTTGTTCGGAGGAGAATGCTTGCTATGCAGGCTATTATTATTTTACTTGAAGGGGTTAGTTTCATAACAAACCGTAGCGCTGCTTAGTGAGTCGGAGTGGGGAGTGAATCACAGAAATTTGGTTTTATCAGTTGAGTCCAGTGAAGAAAGTCAATTCAATAGTGTAGTGATTTAGCCTCCCTCCTCGCACACGTTCTTTTGGTTCGTCACGCAATCCTCCTAAATCAACATCTGCATGCGTTGGAGGCTAATAGTGATTGAAAAATTGACGTTTCGAGCACTAGTCTTTTCGTCTGTGCGAATCAAGGGTGGGAGGGATTGTGGGGATGTGTGTATCGAATGGTGGAGTATGGCTATTGGCGGAAATGTGGTAACACTGATGTAAAGAAGCAAGGATACTGACAATAAGTAATAATAATAATGATTATTTTATTATTTATTTCAGGGTTTAGAATTCGTAAAGATTACTCAAATTGTAATATACGATATTTTTTCGAAGGTGTGTGAGAAGAAATGTGGTGTTTAAAAGGATTAAACAAAAGGAAAAAAATATTGAATGAGAGCCGATTAGACTTTTCAGAAAAAAGAGTCAGTAAGGAATGCCATGTTTGAGCCTTGTTTTTACCTCGTTTTCACCCCGTGGTGTTTTGTGCAGTCAAATTGTACTTGATTTTTTGAAATCAAAAAACACTGTTTGAAATTTCAATTTGTCATGGCACTTAGCGAACGTCATGCTTTCAAAGATATCTTATATTTGATATGATAACTGCTTTTCATTTGAATCTATTCCCACCATGAAGCTTGCATCATTGCGAAAAATCCATGATAATCATTACCACTGCCTCTTCCACCGCTATAACCACTTTTGCCGACATCACCATTGCCACTATCGTCACCATCATTAGATCATTATCATCATCGTCTCCGTGACTTCTTGGATACCGAACTTTGCACTTGTCACAGTTAAAGAACATTTGCTTATCAGATCGCACTGTAGGAAAGAGGCATCACCTATCCATTGATTACCGTATATAAAGTCGAGTCATCCGCGAAGAGCCATAGATAAAAATCAAAAGTCACGGGGGAATGAAGTCTTCACTATGCCAGACTCATGACATTCATATCTTGGGGAACCCTGTGCTGCCCCTCCCAAAAAGAAAAGAAACGTTTGGAATGGGTTCTAGTTTCCAGGTACGACACGACCAACCGAAGCAGGCGCCATTTTGGATTTTGTGTTGACATGTGAGTATGAAAGGTAGATCGATCATCTCAATTCAGGCAAGTCGCCGGCAAATTCTTAGTAATATTTCTTCTTTAATTAGGGCTGAATATTGGAAGTCTCAACCCAGGAAGCTGTGTGACTTTTGCAAGTGTTGGATTACAGACAACAAACCGGTAACTTATAAAACATCTGTCTTTCCAGCGCCAGAGAAGTTTAAATCCAGTATTAACTAGTTAATGGTTGATATGAGGTGATATTTGGACCAATGATTGATCTGAATAGAGATTTTTTAACCTGTTTGCATACATCTTAATCTCGACACCCCTTCCTTTACTTTTTTAGCTTCAAATTTTATTAGGACACAAATAATTTCATCTAATTACAGGTCAATACAATAATGCTTGGGTGATCATTGTCTTAAATCTCATGACTTATTTCCTAGATTATCACCTAATATCGAACATTAGGAGAAATGATACTGATCAGGGCCAGGGCATAATTGGTTAAAATACTGCAACTAAGCGCACACAACAACAACACCGAAACCTGTAAAGATTGTTATGTTATTTTGTAAGTTGTAAACATTGCATGTTAATTTTTACCAGTCATTTATGAGATGCTGCTCCTCTGCTAGTACAGTCAAACCTTCATGTGCGACTGCTTCTCTTATCAACCACCTCCTATAATTGCGACCACTTATCTAGCTTGCGTAGCAGGCGTCGAAAGGGGTAGGGGGTAGGGGATAAGGAGGAAGGGAAAAAGGGGAGGGGGATTGGGGAGAGGGGGAGGGGACGCCTGCTCTAAGAACCCCCTTTTGTTCATATCTGCGGACGCTGGCGTCCGCAAATTCCTGATTGGCTGAGCCGTAATGAGTAGCATATTGAAATGCGCGTTTCACAAATCAACAAACAGTCGAGATGGCAGCGGTAGACGTGGATGTCATAGAGAGTGCTTTGGGAGATGTGAATTTATCTAGTGGTAGAGAAACTGTTTTAAAACCAGAGCAAGAATCAGCAGTAAGGGCTCTTTTAGCCGACAGAGATGTTCTGGCGGTTTTGCAGACCGGATATGGCAAGAGTTTAATTTACCATATGTTTGTACGCGTGAAGAACTACGAGCTAAATGGTAATGCGGCGATTAGCTAAGTCATTTCGCCACTGAAAAGTATTATCGAAGACCAGTTGCAGGAGATGGAATTGTTGGGCTACCCAGCTGGGTATATTATGCTCTGGAAGGTTCTGCATTTATACTGGGCAAATATTATTTTAGCCGCATGTTTCACACTGAGAGGTCATGACATACATATCGATTGACTGTAGTTATTGTTTTCTGGTCGGCAGGATTTGCCTTCTGATGTAAGCGCAATTTCTTTGACCTCTTCTGAAGCGTAAAGTTTTTTTTATTACGGCTGCATAAGGGTTCCAATTTTCTCCAAAGTGCCTTCTGGATCTGAATAACTAAGCGAATTTCTTTAGTCCGTGAGTGTAATGTTTTTCTGCAATGGCGAGTGTAGCGACACTTGATTGACAGTAAGCGTAATCAGATTACTAGAAAATTGGTAGGCGTTATGCAAAAACATAGGCTCTTAGAGCAGGCGCTCCCTTCCCTTTTACCTTTCTCCCTCCCCCCTCCCCTTCCCCTTTTTGTGCTTGCCACGCAGGCTACCACTTATCTAAAACACCAAAATTTTCTCAGTCAAATCCTTATGGTTGGAACCTCTTGTAAACGCCCACCTCGCGTAAGCGAATGTGACCACTTCTTAGGATGATGGTTTTAGAATTTTCCCTTGTTTGTAATCTCTTCTAAGTGACTGTCTGATCTTTGTGTTCACTGTATGTGTTATGCCACTCAGAGTATGAGAAGAACTTTTAGAAACAACATGGATTTACATTATGTTGTAACCTAAAAGCTGCATGCAATACTTCCTTTCCAAAAAGTACATTTTCACCTCTTGCTGGTGGACTCTTGTAAGCGACCACTAACTCTTCTCATTTTGGGTGGTTGTTTTGGGTGCTGTGGCTGATTTTCTTTACTAGGTCTCATGTAATTATCAGTAGCCTTAGGACTATAGAGCAAACCAAGGAAATAACACCCTAACCCTCAGAACAAATGGTAAAGATGAAAAGCTTCTTGATTAGTGATGGCACCGCAAAATATCTTAGCTATTTAAAAATCACATTTGCTGAAAGTGTCCATTCAATGAAGATTCTCACAGGGTTGGTCCATACTACAGAATACTTTCCCTAATGCAGATGTACAATGGTTTATTCCCTAGAAAAGTATAATGAACATTTACTACTTGGGTAGGGATTACATTTGGAGCTCGGAATTTGGTTTTCATGACACCATGCATTTTTAATGATTTTGACACCATGCAGCTATTATTGATAGTGTTTTTAATAGATTTACTTTATAAAAACCTTATATAGCTATTGGAATTGAGTGCTATAAAAATGTGTTATTGTAATCCTTTGTTAGAGAACAAAATATATTTTTCCTGCAAACATTTGCTAACTGATGCCTTTCTTTGTCACTTTGCTTTAGAGTATAGAGTTTCACGAGAGAGGCAAGAAACACAAAGAAAATGTTCAGAGAAGAATTGAAGAGGTCAGTGAATAATTGCACATGAGGTAGTTATTTTTAAAGAAATTTGGCTGCTACATCAGATTAAGAATAGCAAAGTGTCAATGACATGTCCTATTCATGATCAGTCACTGTTAACAAAAATCCTATTCAGGACTACACTCATCCATACCTTTTTATGAGGTGTCAACTATGGTACATGTAATAAACATCATTAGCCACCACTATATTGTCACCATCAGCTTTTGATTCTGGGTGTCCAGATGGTGGCTGGTTATTAGTATGAAACTGTGTGTCATAAAATTAATATTGTCCACATTGTGTCCCTCGTGGGAAAAAGTTAACTTTTGAGGTGCACAACATTTTGCCATATTTTGTGTAATTTTTGCTTTGTTTAATTTAGATTTAAATTTCTCACATTTTCATAGGGGTAACTAAATGTAAATTTTTTCATTAAGGTGGGAAATAGCCTCTTGATCATGAAAGATAAATTTGTAGTCAGTTGATTCTGTTAAGGTGTAGTTTATTCGTTTCTTTGGGTTTTATTTGCTTGCAATGTTTATTGTTTGTCACAGGTCAGGAAGAAAAGTAGAGAAGTTGGCAAGGCTGAAAAACAACTGCAAATGGACCTTGCAGCTATTGAAGCAGTTAGTCTACATTTTATTGATACTTCTATTGATTAATATCTCTTTCTGTAGTTTATGCATTGGCTCTGTTATTGACCTGACATACATTTCTTTCACGGTTCATCACTGTTGTCAAGTGCTCATAGATACTTAGTTAGATGTCTTAATACTGTTTATTACAGGTGCACTGGGTAAAAGACAAGTGTGGGCCTGTTTTTGGTAACTGAATACTTGAAACTGTTATTGGCAAATCTTAAAGTTGATGTCATCATGATGACCTTTATAAAAAGGTCACCTCTATTATATATTAGCAGAAACTCATAAGGGGTTGAAACTTGTAACTCTCATGACATATGTTTGCTTTGTCCGATGCTCGTGATTATTCATTTCGAAAGTGCCATATTTGGAACGAGAAGAAGAGATAACTGACCAATCAAACTTCGTAAACAACGTGACGTAATTTTACTTCAGGTTTCCGCGCCCGCTTAAAAAAATGGCCGACAAACGGGGAAAAACTCCCGAAGCTGAGAAAGCTTTCAAAGGTTGAGACCAGGAATCTTACCAAAACACTGAGCAGGATATTATTGCCTTACCACCAGGGCCAAACGTAACATTATGAAACCTATTGACGTCCTCACAACTACTTGAAGTTGTCACTTCAAAAAACGATGCCTTGTTGACCCTCTGCACAGTAAACTTATGCTGCAAATAGGCTTTTAAAATTCTTATATTAAAAGTCTAGAATAAACTGTTAAAAATATTTTCGAATAAATTCATTAGCTGCATATCGAAAAGTGTCCAAAACCTGAACCTGACATCTTCGCAATAAGTGATGAGTATAACGAATGTGAGAAGCATTTAAGCTTAAATTCAGCTTGGATGTTGTAGTCATGATCGTGTTTTGAGCTAATTTTATGAATGAACAAACTCAAAACAATAGACAGATAAGCCGTTTCTTGAAAATTTACTGTAATGTGATGTGGACCATGAACCAGCATTGTTATCTGGCTGCAGCGTCGGGATTTGAATTTGTTTAATACTTTCTTTCCAGGCAACTTTGATCATTGGTGAAAATAATTATATCATTTATCTTGTGTGACCTCTAAATCACACAACAGCTAGTTTCTTCTTAAACTTAAACTCAAAGGTCAAGAATAAAGGTAGTTATCTTCAAAGAAAAATGTCATAATTTTATAAATTTTAATTATTTTTTCCTTTATCAGCATGATTATAATAAAAAGAAGTATTTATATCCATTACTGCATTTTGAAGAGTAAATAATGTTTTTTTAAAAATAAAACTTTTAGGTAGACTTTAACTTGCTAATCCCTTTGCAATAAGTGTGATTTTGTTTTTTCATTTGTAGGCTGCCCTTAAGGCTTATCAGAAAGATCTGAATATACAAACTCCTTCCTCCAAGTCTGAAACCACAGAGGAGTCTACAACAAAAACAGAAGAAAATGAAACCTGTTCTAAAGGAGAAACTACTGCAGGTATGTGTGTAGTGTGATTTTTAAGAAAAAAAAGAACATTGATATTAGCTAATTTTAATTAAAATAGTTTGACCTGTAATAAAAAGAAGCGTAACTTGAATTCTATGCAAAATTGAACCACAACATAATAATAATAATAATAATAATAATAATAATAATAATAATAATAATAATAATAATAATAATTAAAAATACTCTACATTATTTCCTTCTTGAAAGCATTGTTTTCAAATTTGCAATGTCATAAACTTTACTTTGCATACAATTCAATTTGGCCTAAGATTTTTTGTAAATTAAGGTTTGGCCATGACATTAATTTGACAATTAAACTTGATGTGAATTTTTAGTTGTTCTAACATACAATTTTGTTCAGTAGACATTGGTGGATGGTTGTTAATTTAACTGATTCTTTGGCAGCCAATAGTCAGTCAAGCATTTTAACTTATATATAGGTCTTCATTTTTTATTATTGACTGGTTATCACTATATAATGACCTTATGGGGGGATTAAATCTGATGGTGACATGATACTTGGCCAAAATAATAAGTAACCAGCCATCAGCAAGAATACACTCCTTCTGTTGTTCAATAATATTATACCAGCCAACTATGAAACAATGGTCTGTTAGTCACTTGTTGTTGTTATATCAGACCCCATGCACTTCCCACAGTATTTACATGATTTGGCTAATGGTTGTAGGTAAAACCAATCTCAGGTTAAATCAATATTTAACCTAGTTTGGCTCAGACAACCTTAATTTAGGAAACCCTAGTTTAACAAGAGAACAGATTTTTCCTTTAACTTACATACCACTTGAAATTGGACTTAGTAAGTGGACAGGCAATGTGCCAACAGGCTATACATGAACCCTTTGCTTTGTTTAAGACACCTTTGAACATGTTTGTGTTTCTTGCAGCCTGCTTTGTTTCATATGAAGGTAGTTTAGCCACCATGACCTGCACTCATGGCTGGAATATTTGGCAAACACCTGAAGGCTATTATTACTATTACAACACAGCAACACAAGGTACAATGTAATAAACTTAATTGGGAGATTATTGATAACTATAGACAGTACTAGCTGAACTGAGTATAGTGCAGTTTAGAAAAGTTAGGCCAACTCTGGACTCCTGTAACTACAGCTCACAAATATCAGTCTTAAAAATTCGGCTTTGAGCTTTTCAGTATAATAAAGGCTAACATTTGTATGGAGCTGGGCTGCACTCTCCTGTGTTCTGTACTGTATGATTGCATCATTGTTCACAACAAAAATTGTCTGGAGGCTGCCTGGTTGGTTCTGTGCAAGTATAAGGTGGCTGCGTTACCTCTAGAATAGGGTAGGTTGATGAGCAGGGGTATGGGAGGGGGATGGGTATTGCAAATGTAAGAAACTCCTCACATCATATGAAGAAGTTGGCATCTTTAAATCACTAGTTATTGAATTTGATTTCCACTCTCGATAACCTGTCACTTGCTCAGGGAAGAATGATTTGAAATAATTTTAGTTAAAAGTTTGTGAAATAGGAATGTCCATGTAGAGAATAATGCTAAATGTACAAACCGGGTGTTAGTTACTTGCCTTTGGCGAAATAAGAAATTCTGAGACTCCAGTAGTAATTTATCCCAGTTATTGATTCCTCTTAGTTAGGAAGAGGAAAGTTTTCTTTTTCAAGATCTCAGGTAACACTTTGTCGGTTAGTATCAATCATCACATGCTCTGTGACTGTTCATTTAACCTCCAACCAGTTATATACTATTAAAGTATAAGCCCAAGTAAGCTTAATTGCTATTCCAGAACTTTTACCCATTATTTGTTCCAGTCTGTATGTCTGTACATAGCTCACCATTTTATTCTTATATGTACATGTAAGAGTGGCCATGAGGCCAGTGCCAGCCAAGGTTTCATTTACATGATCAAGCAACTCAACATGATTCCTTTTTTGTTTTTCTTTAAGTAACGCAGTGGGAATCTCCATCATGTTTGGTGCCAACAGCACCACAGAATACAAGGTATGCTATTTTAATATTTTATCTTTCATTGTTTCGAACTTATCATTATTATTACTGTTATTTTTTATTATTTTGACCGTGACACTTGAAGTCTTCTTATCAAGTTGTTCTTTTTTCGTTCATGATATTCATTGTTTGTAATAATTTTTATAAAACTTTCAGCCACACAGAGGAAAATAAACCTACAAGTGAGGGTCCCCAAGTTGCTCTTCAACATGTAAGTTTTAAATTTATGCTGTAAACCAGGTCTGCTAAAAAGCGAAATAAATAACAAAAGCGATTTCTAAAAAAAGATTAAAATATGAAGTCAACAAATACCTTATCTCCTTGCAGGTAAATAGAATACTGTGTTACGGTTATTATCTTATTTTCTAATCTATCAACTGCCCTTTGTCTTCCCTACTACATTTTGAACTCTGTGCTTAGCACCTTGTTTACTCTATAAAATTCTGCCTGTTTTAGGCTTTTTTGAATGTGGAGAGTGACATGTAATCGAGACCGGAGAAAAACAAAAAAGCGTAAGAGAAGGAGAGGGACCTACACCCCCTTGCTGGTTTTCCATTCTTTGCGCTGTCGTCACTACACACCCATATCTGAATGCCTGGTCAGGCTACTCTATAAATAAACATAACTGATAAAATAACACAGACTATGGTTAAATATTAAATGTTATCACAGGAATCACAGGAAAATCTCTGACTTTGATTGAATTGTTCCACCTCAGGGTTATGTCAGTCTATTAGGTGTAAGAAAGGGGTTGATGCATGGGCAGTCAAACCATCTTGGATTTGCCCTGCTGCTGGGAATCATGACCACATACATGGCATAATTATTGATAAATTTTCACTGATAAGTCAATAAAAGCTACCGGTTTGCATTGATACATTGACTGTGAAAAAAAAGAAAGTTAGTTTATTTGCCTGTCCGTGGGGTTTCCTGTTGCTATCAATAGGAAACTCAATGGACCGGCAAATAAATTAACGTGAATCAACTTTCAACACACCAGAAGTATGGTTGTAACAAATTGTGTAAACGTGTTGATTTAATACTATTGAGGTTCTCAGACTTTTAGTCTCGTGAATAAGCTCTTATTTGCTTTATTTATTTGTAGAAAAGCGACAAAAGTAAAACTAGCGAAACGAAAAAGGAGGAGGCGAAGAACTCTCCTTACGGACAATGGACTACAGTGCAAACATTCCAACCCTTACTGGACACGTAAGTCTTGAAAACTGGTGAGCTTATTGGAAAAAAAAATGACGGGGAGGTCGCGGCAGGAACATCGAGGGTGTCTTTGTAAGACTAGTGGGATCATGCTCGCTATGATCTGAGATCTTAGTTCAGATGACTGCGGTATTGGGCGATGAGGTAAAGGCGTTGGCATTGTCTCCTTTTGGGCATGGTGTAGAACCAGCCTCCCCCACTAACGCGTGGCGAATCAGTTAGAATGTCTGCTAGGATTTCTGTAAAGTAAAAGAGTACTTGACGCTTCACCATCACAACATCGTATTATATTTTATCCTTTCTGTTTCTAGAAAAAAGGAAAATTCGTCAAATGGTAACGATGAAAAGCAAGTCCCTACGGGGGAGTCTATTCCAAAGGAAGTCAAATTCAAGGAGCGCTCAACTCCCAAAATCACTTTCCGTTCAGATGGCGCCGGCAGTGAAGTTGCATTCAAGAAACGGAAACTCAACCCTGGGAAGAAAAGGAACGTACGACAGACAGATCCCAACAAAATAGATTGAACCACATCTGTCTTTATCAAAGGAAGTGCGGTTTTTGGTAGAAAAAAACCAAAACGCTTTTAATTACACCCCGTACTACAGAAGACCAAAAGGGCCTGGGAACAACTCATGACAAGTGCCACTTGTCCGTTCCTGAAAGCACCTACTTCAACAGAGATAAGACTGGCGCCGAATCAGCGTTTTGGAATGCAGATGCCGAGGTATTATTTCAGCGGAGATGGAGTAACGTCTCTTATTGAGTAGCCGTAGTCGTCTCACTTGCTTCTGGCCTTGAATTCCCAGAACAAGCGGTTGTTTTTTTGTGGGCACGTGAAACGTGCTGATCAATAGATGGAAAAGAAACAATAAAAATGTTTTTCAATTTTTATTTATCTTATTTGACTTTCCTTTAAGAGGAAACGAGCTACCAGGCTCGATTTCCAACGGTTTGAGGGAATCCAATTTTCATTCTACTGTTCACATTGGGAGTACAGTCTGGCAAAACACCCAAACATGTTTTTCTCCAAATCCCCTCGGAAATGGCCTCTGGCACACTTATAGCTGGGATAAAACTACTTATTTTTGTGTAGAAGCAATAAAGAGTAAATGGAAAATAAGGGGAAAACTTGGTCGCGTGGTACAAATTCACGTCTGCCGTTTTTCGTTAATGTAAATCTTGATTTCTCTAGTAGCTTGTTTTGACCCGCTACTTTTAATCCCCAAGCTTCAGGCAAGTTAGCCTGTACCAGGCCGCTCTCGGTCAGTACAGGCGAGCGAGCATTGAAATGACGAACGAGCGAAAAACGGCGAGAAGAGAGAAGGGAAAATCCTTTAAGCATATTTATAGATACCTCAGTTCAGCACAGTACCACACCCGCTTCCTGAAAAACCGTTTTACGTATCAAAATGTCAAAGGTGCGGTGTTGGAGGGTTTCACATGCTCCACATGTTTGTTAGACACGGCACGCACGACGCGAAGCCATTGATTGAGTGTTGAAGTGAACAGTCAAAATTGACCAATCAATTTTTTTCTCGATCCACTTTCCCCACCATCTTGCAAGTTACCATGGATACTAGCCATTTTTTTCTCGCGTGCCGCAATTGAGCGCGGTAGAGATGTTTCATATGTCTCTGGTACCCAGGATGCAAGCAAGTTAAATGTAACTTAACTCTTTCCAAGTAACCTACAGTATGCATATCAGAGGAACAGTTAAGTTAGCAGCCCACGTGAGTTTACTGTATGTTAGAAATATCAGCGAGACGATAGGTATTTGCGGAAGTATAATTTTATTAACATTTAGGTCTACAATAAGTCTGATAAGAACATAGTTCATACAAAAAATTGCAACCAGTTTTAAAGGACTTTTCAAGGACCACATTACATTTTCAAGGACCACCTACCAGGAATATAATTTCACAGATTGCGCAAAAATGCACATTTCCAGTCTATTCTAATAAGTCTTAAAGGCTTGAACTGTTTGCGTTGCCAACTTCTCTACATTTTTCAGTTCACTTGTCCTAAACTGATATAGAGGATATTACATGGCCGCGCGGAGTTACGAAATTTCTCTTCGAGTGTTGAAAAATATAGCGCGAACGAGTGAAATATTATTTTCAACACGAGGAGAGAAATTTCGTATCTCCAAGCGACCATGTAATGTTCTATTCATTATATAAACACCAATGAAATGCCAAACCATTTTACTTAAATAGTTTTTTGGTCTGAAAGGTGCGGTTTATTATGTAGCCATAGCAACGGTGATATTTTCACATGTGAAGGTAACATCTGAATTTCATATGTAAAGATATCAAGTTTTCACGCGAAAGCTCACTTGGTATTTCATTGGTGTTTATATAATGAAGTTAATTATTGCATAAAACATAGAATACTTTATGTAAATAACCTTTAAACTCTGAGCTATGATTTATATTCTGTATTGGACAACCAAAAAGTATCAAAACATTATTTCCAGGCCACTACATTCAAAGTTGAAGAAAATTCAAGGACTTTTCAAGGACTTCCGCTAAAATTCAATGACTTTTCAAGACTGTGTGAACCCTGAAGAATTGATGAACATTAATCAGGAATCTGATTGTTGGGTTCGTTTAGGGCCCCACGCTGGAGGCTTTTTTCAGAAGTGTCTATTTTAAACTTGATTCTGATTCAGAAGGTAGTCCTCTGGACGGAGATTACATTTCCTCAGCTGAAATTGTTTCATTCAAATTCACTATTTGCTTCCTTTAGAAGCAGTTAAATATTCGTCACAATAGTCGTTCACTTCTTTGGAACGAAGGCGTAAAGAAACTGTCCACTGTACTTGGTGACGTCCTGATTTGTTAGTTCTGTAAATAAAAAGAAACTAAACTGAACGCGCTGTTTCCGTCCGTGATAACTATGTACTACAAATACTCTCCCACTCCAGCTAAAATTTCGGTTGCCAAAATAAACATGCTGAAATCGTACGTACGTTTTCATTTTCTTACCCCAGCGGGACTGCGAGGTGTTTCTAGTATGCCGCATCAGCGCTGCTTAGACCGCTGCTTAGCAAAATACAGTTGCACTTCAATTTCTAAACGGCCACCTATTAAGCGGCCAGTAATCAAAGTCCTGAAATAATTGTAGAAAAGAATGGGAACTTAAAGTCTACTAAGCGGCCACCTTTTGGTCTTCCCAAAGAGAGTTCTCTCCCATTGTTAATTGTCATCTCCATCAAGCGCTTGAAACACTTAGTTAGGCTCCATTTCAAGAATATGATGAAGGAAAATCCAGTCTTACAAAGAAGTTGATGACCGATTGCGGACCAGTAATGCTGTTTCCATCGCGTGTTGGTTTCAAAATAAAGTGATGTTTCTGCCTACGATTATGCTTATGCTATGCTAATTTATGCCAACCCTTTTTTTCTGAGCGGCCACTTGCCGGAAGCCAGAGGGTGGCCACTTAATGAAGGTCCAACTGTAGTCGCAAAAACTAACTCGCTCGATTTTTAGTCAATAGTTCTACTGAAGAACAGAGAAATTCACTGTGGACAATATCGACTCTTTTTTAACATTAGCGCTAGCATAAAAATTCAAAAAAAGGTTAGAACATGTTTGGCTATTAGTTCGGCCAGTTTACAGTACATTTAACTGCCTACATTGCGGATTACTGTTACCCAACTCCTAACTCGAACTTCTCGGGGAATTTGCAAGAATTTTGCTGTTAGGTACAGTCAATCATCTCTTAAACAGACACCTTTGGACCGGTACTAATTGTCCGTCTTATAGAGAGTCAAATAAAGGGAGTAAAGAAAGACAGGAACAAACTTTAGGTGTCCGTTTTACAGACTGAGGTGTCCGTTAAGAGACAGTCGACTGTATTGCTAGCACACCAACACATGTACTTACCAGAATCGCATTTTGGTGATGCCGACAGCGCAAGTTTTCGTCCCCTTAATCCAAAAACGGCCTTCACCTAAAAAAGCAGTAAAAGAAGTAGCATAACATTATATAATATTAATTACAGTTTTTTCAATAAACGATTCACAAGTGAGAGTGCAGTCTCTAATTAGCTACCAAACTGTACAAGCTGCAGCGCGGTTTTACCAAGGGCTACTTTAAGCGAAATGGGAGTTGATTGTTCATGAAATCAATGAACAGTTTCTTCTCAAAATTGCCTCAAACGGGAACTGTCCTAACTGTCGGTCTTTTCGTGGCCACGGGCCTTAATCAGAGGGCCCTGCAGATCATTTTAATAGTTAACTACAAGCACCATGCATGATTTCCAAGAGTAATTTCTATTTCTTTTTAGGGAATAGCAAACTGTGTTCCGTGCAAATGAAAATACGTTTGTCATTAGTTTCTTTAAAACAAATAATATAGCCTGGGAACGCAGAAGTATTTCCGTAGGAGCTAAGTAAGAGCTAAGCTGTGATTGGCTTATAATTTCCTACGTCACAGAAATCGTTTTGAGGCTCAGGGACGTCGTAGTTTCTGGTAGCGCGAATTGTAGCGCGAGCGTTCGCGGGCTATGTTACATAAGACAATTCTCCGGAATCAAGGTCTCTATTAACAGACAAAATGGAACATGGTAGGAATCTCTTGTTTATGCCGATTTCCATACTCCAATCCAGACTAAATGGACCGTTATTAAAATAACTCTAATCCAGACCAAAGAAACACCGTAGGCTTTCATTGCCTGTCCCTCAACTCAAAAGTTACTATGAACCTCGACAACACTTTACAGTTTAAACTTAAATCAAGTTCCAGATTACAACATCAGTGAAATACTAAATACTGATAATCTGAGGTAAGCTTAAAACAGAATACAAGATTCCATAAAAAAATAAGTCGCCACCTGCGATGTCTCTCAACTCAAAAGCTACTATGAACCTCAACAACACAATAAACTAACCTCCAGTGTTAACTGTTCTAGGTTAAGCAGTTGCTTTCCCTGTGGGTTCTCCAACAGTACCGTGGCTTCATGGCCCTTGGCGCCTTGGGCTGGGTCCACTCCGCAGAGCTTGATATTTACAAACCGACAAACTGGGGTGGCGACGGGCTGTTTTTCAGAGGGAAGGGGAGACTTGTCATGGGACATGACACCATTTACCTACGGGAAAAAAATGTTTTAAAATTACTCTACATCGATGTTAAACTGTGCAATGATTCGCGTAACTTCCATTTTTCCCAACAAAATGCACTAGACGTTGTCTCGAGTATCAAACTTACCTTGGTGCAGAAAAATCGTTGCTCGACAGGTTGAAAAAACAGTTGCGGGAAGTGAGGTCAAGTTCTGCTTTTTTAGTTCTTTACAAAGCATTGTCGGGCACGATTAGTATCGCAACTTTTTGTGGAATGCGTTGATCATTTTACCATTTCTTCACAGTTTTAACAGTCAAAAAAGAGCATACTAAAAAATTACAACGAGAATAAAAAGACAGGAGTTGAACAAAATTTTACCCGAGAACTTAAGACGCCATAGATGATGTCCCACGCTTTTTCTTATCGGCAACCCGACCGCATGTGAAGTATCCATTCAAGTCCTTATATTCCCGTTCAATGTGATGCAAGGCAATGTCTTGTCGAGTTTTTTTGTCAAGCGCAGTCAAACGGCAGAGATTTGGTAAAACAATTAAGCTACGTTACAGCTAAGGTTATCAGTCATCACCCTGTTACACGGTTTGTACTTGTTAATAAGCGGCTACTTATTACATTATTTCGTTCTTTTTTCACTGATTCCAAAATGAATAATAAATCTGGGCCGGTATCCAAGTTCGAGGGCGCCTTAGACAACTAGTTTCTTCACAAATGTTTCGTAAAGTAAGAAACGGTTTTAAAAATGGTGCCAATAAGTTCGTGTTGCCATTTAAACGGGGACTATCGCCCTTGTTAAAAATGTATGCAGAGTAAACAAACCTGATTATCTTCGACTGTGAACACAGAAAACGGTTTTCCAGGGGCACAATCCTCTTGAGTTCGCTTGTCTGCTTCGCTCGAGGATTTGATAGTCACATTTACCAACTGAAATACAAAACATTGTACTGTATTGGAAAATGTAACTACCCAATAGCTGTCACCTGAATCACAATGTAGGACTCATCCAGACTCAAAAGTAAAAACAACCTCGCATAGCATTTTAAACAGCACCACAGTAAGTAATGCCCGATATCTTTCGATTCCAAGATCGCATTGAAAGATTTCATCCACAGACAACAAAGTTACAAACACCATGTCACCATGTACAACTTAATAGACAGTACCACAATTTTTACTTAAGACTTAAAGGATATTACGGTCAAATGTCTTGTTTCTGCAGATATATTAGAGAAGCTTCCTTGTCCAGAATTCATTCGATATGAAAATGCTTCCATTAGGTTAAGTTCTTGGCACAATCAATTTTTGAGAATTCTTTGTTGATAAAAGAAAGGTTTAAAGGGGCTGTGTCACGGCAGTCCAGTTCATTTTGTTTAATTTTGCCAATTACTCGCCCACAGTCACTATGGAACTTAAAGTAAGCAAAGAAATTAGTAATACATGTAAAATAAAATGACAAAATCAGAGATCCGAGACAAACAAATATGTCTCCTGAGCATTATTTTTGAAGTTGCAAGCAGCAGGGATCAACTTTGAAAAACTTTTAGGCTGAACAATTTTCAAAAACCCTAATTTCAATCCGTTTCAATCTTCTTCAGTTTTGCCAGTCCGTGGCATCTGTTGTTTCTGTTATGGTATTTCAGCCTTCCTTTAAAGTTTTAAGCGGTTATTTTTATTTTTCTCTTAATTTAACGGGTGTTTTGTAATTTCCTAATTTGGCTGAATTTCGTGACACAGCTCCTTTAAATAAAGAATATTGGGGAGTGGGGGAAGCGTTACGTTTTAAATTATGGAAAAACACCAAAAACAGAACTGATTGAACCAGAATGATCCCTTAACCAACTCAACACATACTTCTAAAGCTTTGCAAAGGTAAGCCCTGTTTTCTTCCAGCACTTGTCTTTCATCAAAGGGTAGAGTAGTCTCCAGGGCTGATGGACCATCAAGCTCCACACATTCCTGACAAAAATAAAATCATACATCAACATCATATCAACTAGCCTCACCATTACTGTGGAGAAAATGAATTCAGCTGGATGACACAACATAACCCGAAGGATAACGCAAATGCCTATAATAAACGAAGAAGTTTTAAATTAAACGTGCTAAACCAGGAGGAAGACCCATTAGTCTCCAAACGCACGAATACAGCTGACGAGTTCGAGTTAACGATGTCTCAAAAATAGAAAATAAAAAATCCTTATGGATGAAACTGGCGTGAAACTACCAATTTCTTTGGTAGATATAATTAACAGTAAACGACAGGTTAAGGGGAAACTTGGTCACATGGAATCAATTGACGAGCGGTTTGCTGTTTGCCATAAAAGGTGATTCGAATTACTCAAAAGATGAAATCGACCGTGTTAAAATACTGCTAACCAAGGTAAGATAACGTTCAACTTGACATCTCAGCTCCAAGCTTTTTTCAAGCGTTCTTTTGAAGTTCTTTATGAAGGCGGGGGTTGGGTATTATTTTGCAAATTTTAACGGGAAAATACAGAGAGAAACCGTAGTTATTGTCAATTTATGTATTAAAATATAGCAAGCATTTATTTTCGCCGCAATCACCGTACCTTGACGTGCTGTACAAACGGCATGAGCTTCTTCATGGCACTTTTGACTTCCGGTATTTCTTTCATGCGGTTCATGATGTCCCTGTTGTCCGGGAAGTTCCCACCTAATTGATTGTACATATCTTTGAGGGTATTTAGTGTAGCGTGCTGCCACGGGGGATACGAACTGGCAACATAGATGATTCCGTGGGTTGGTTTGGCAGGCGGGGATGCATCTTTCTGAAGGAAAATTCGCAATAAAAAACTGCATCAAAACTCATGACAGAAATTCACCACCACAATGTGACTTTATTGTTGTCTTTTCTCTGGGAAGAATTTAGCCTGAATCAAAATGATCAGACAATGTCTTAGAAAAGGTGCATGTCATTTGCGAGTTGCGTGCGTTATTGTTGATGACTGGAAAAAGACCACTTGGTATTGCAGAAAGACCACTTCATGCCTCTTGTTCACGCGTGCGAAGAGAAATCGGAGCTCTGCTACTTAGAAATCTGATCAGAGGATCCACGTCCAAAAAGCAGATCACAGTACAGAGCATAACCAGTACCACTGGATTTTCAGTTCGACTGACAGCTGAACCTTCTTGCCGACATTAATGAATCAAAAAACTTCCTGAAAAATAGTTCACCAACTTCGCTCCCAGGGTTCTCACCTACCCATCCCTGGGGAGTGACGGGTCGGAGAGAACCCTGGGAACCAGGTTGATAGTTTACAATGCTCACCCTTGTCACGTGTTAGCGTTGCGTGACCTTCCTTGAGGGGTCGCCAGTAAGGGTTTATTAGATTATTGATTGGCGGTATGACTATAGTTGACAGTGTTTACCTTCTTTCCTTTGGGGTTCATCATAGCTTTGATTCTAACACGAAAATCGTGCGCACGAGCGGCCAAGTAATCAGCTGACTTCAATAATGGCTGATCAATCTTGCCTGCTACCGGCCACGACGCGTCCATGATACTTCCGCTCTAAAACAAACAGCAACGTACGTTAAAAGCGTTTGTCATCTGAGCTGCAACTCTTGGAATCTTCCCTATACCTCCTTCAGTAAGCCATGCGAAGAACACCATTTAAAAATTCACATTTTCTTACGTAATAGTCCGTGAAGTGTTAGCCTGTTCCAGGCGTTCAGATGGTGGGGAGCGAGTTAAATCGTACACGGGCAAAACGAGGGGAAAAAGAGAGGGGTACTGGGTCTTCCCTTGTTTTTTGTGTCCTCAATTTTTCGCCCGCTGAACACCATCAGAACGCCTGGAACAGGCTAGTGAAGTGTTAATCCGTTTCCTATTCAAGTAGCGTACAATCTGTTTTAAGTCCATATCTATTTGCTCATGTCCACCAACTGTTTTAACAAAAAGAAATCACTGGTTCCAACTGTCAGTTCAAAGGATTGCTAGGAAGTATACAAGAAGACAAATTATATGACGTACCTTTCCGATAAGCTCCCAAAGGTGCTCAGCGAGGTGAGGACAGATTGGGCAAAGCAACAGAGTTTGTACCTAAAATTACCATAACAAGGATCTCACTGCATTGGAAAGGAATAAACTAAACATCATGATGGATCGCTGTGATCATGGACGATAACTATGAAACCCTTGTTAGTATTGCATCTATCAAGGTTTTGCCCGGGTTGGTTCCTGATAATACAGTGACTAGGGTCCTACCAAACTTCTCGCTTTCTATCAGGTGTGTATCCATTCAGAGCTCTTCAGGAGACAGGCTGAAATGCGATTATTATATGCAACCAATCCGGCGAGATCAACCAGAAGGGAACAAGGAAAAACTTAAGAGTTACTGCTAGATACAGTCCTCAAAAAGGAATAGGGAGCCCAATTCTGTTAAAACGTCTTCGACGTCTGATTGTCGAAACAACGTATACCTAGGTATGACGCTAATATACCAATGAAAGCATGCACCTGGTCGTCCTCGTAGAAAAAAAAAGGTATGCATGCGCCTACAAACGTTCTTTAACCGAAATTTACGGAGAAAACAGGTTAGGAAATCAACACAAGACAACTTACGAAATCAGATGTCTAAGCTATTTACTGAAGGACTCTTCACAACTTCCCCTCAGTCATTGGAGTACTCTTGAGCAACCTATGCTAAGTCCACAAACTTGTGGCCTCCACAGTAATTTCTGAATGTTTTTTCAACACGAAATGTATTCGAAGTGTACCTCAATTTCCCGAGAGTATTTAGGAAATACGGTCTCCCTCGTTGAACGTGAGCGGCTGAGACAAGTCCAAGATTGATAATTTCTCACAAGACTGCAGGGGACCTTACCTCAATGAATCTAAAGACAAGCTCCTTATGCATGCCCGACATACAGCCCTCTCTGTATCGGTCCCTGGCGGCCTGTAGTTCGTAGAAGCCTGTCTTTAGCGCCTCTCGGTACATCATGCTCTTATAGTTGATATCTGTCTCTTCGATTGCTTTGTTAATGGAACTGTAGAGATAACACAGAAAGGCTCAAGTCTTTAAACAGACACCAGACACTAAGATCAATAGCTTAAAAGGAGTTAAATCGCCCTGAAGCACTTTACAACAAACAGAAACAACTGTTTAATGAACTATAACATTAATAGCCACTTGATCGTTTGTCCTAGTACGAAAATAGTTTGGGCCCTCAACAAGGAAAGAGAAAAATCTCAGGTGAAGGTTTCGTATGGTTCTATGGTACTTTGGGATAAACATTGTCGTTTTCTGGTACAAAATAAGCTCAGCTCAGATAACCCGAGAAAATAAATGGGCAGTAATTAAAAGAACAGCTAACAAACTCAGTAATTAAGGTTCCCGAGGACTGGAAGTAGTTAACAATTGCTTTAGTAGGATTTAATGGAGCCGAAACCAATTGTGGAATTGCACACGTTTTAGGCCTTCTACTGATGAACAGATTCTACTTATAGATACATAGACACTTCGAGCAACAACAACATTAATTAAGAATTACGATTCAAAATGATCGGCGATTTTATTGTATTAAAGATCTTCTCCTTTCCAATCCTCTTATATAATATAGAAAAGAGATACTCAGCTATGACGGCATGCTTCCTTACGCACCTTTCAAACACACGATCATCAAAACAGTCTGTTGTTCCAGTGCGAAGAGTATCTTTGGAAGAAAGCATCTCCTTGTTTTTGACAAAAGCAGTACAAGTTAGGTCAAATGTACAAGATAACGAAAGCGAATGCGTTGCGTTGCGCAGTAAACGTGAAACGAGAACGATCAATCAGTCAATCAATCACAAACTTTATTCATGTGTCAAACTAGCTAGCCTAGGGTAATACCTCTCTACTAATTGGGGACACGAAGCTTGGTTAAGATTTATCGGGTCGATCATCCTGTCTACAGGAAAGGCCATTTAAAATGAGCGCGAGCAGGTTACTTCGACCATCCTGAAAGGTCGTCACCAAACATTCCCGAAAAAGACTGGACCTGATTATGATGATGATGACGATTACGATGAGGGGACATTGATGATGACACGTACGGTAACTGTGGCACTTGATCATTTACTGCTACAAGTACTAAATCCGAAGGTCTCTTCGCAAAGTCGCAATGCTGAAGTAAAACCCCCGGAGTGAAAACAAATAAATAGTGTATTCACCAATTAACCGAGGACCTTTATAATTCTAACCTTTGTCCATTCAAGGAAGGTGAAAAGACGCAGAATTCCAGCATCAGCCATCTTTTCAACAAAGTTGGCGTCTTCCATAGTGTCACCAGCATCGGCTAGGGCTAAACGCATACCTAACAGAACCGAAAAAAGAAAAATTACAAAAACAATAAATTCTGACTAACATTCCACAAATTCACTGTGAAAACTAGCAAGAAAATGCTGCTGGACCTTGTTAAAAACAATTACCGATGGCCTAAACATCCCACTAATAAACAAGCAGAGGTTTCTTGCTCACTGCAACCGTTTTTCTCCGCTTCAAAACGGCTACATTCTCTTCTTGAGTGGTCCGCTGCATTGTCTTTTCTTGCTTGTGACTGGCCAGAGAATCACTTAAAAATCATTTAAAACTGCTCATTCTTTCAAGAACTATTAACTTACCATCAGCGGAGAACTTGTCAATTGCTTGTCGAAGGGTGAGGAAATTCCCCGTCGATTTCGACATCTAAAATAACAGAACAAATCTTATACTCAGTAACTGAAAATGCGTTCTCCATAAGACCACTCTTGTGCTTCCACCCACAGTTCATCATACAAACTCACATGACCTGAACGCGTTTTACATTTTATGTTACCACTGTTCATAAAGAAAAAATTGGAATCATTTTTTAAGGACTTTTCACGGACCACCTACCAGGAATGTAGTGTCACAGATTGTACAAAAATGTATGCACATTCCCAGTCCATTCTAACAGGAATTTAAGGCTTGAACTATTTGCTCCACCATTTTTCAGTTCACTTGTATTAACTTGACGTAAATCACCTTTAACTTCTCTGAGCTATGATTTATATTCTGTCTAGAGCAACCAAAAAGCATTGAAAAACACTTTCCAGCTTAAAAGTCGAAGAAAATTTGAGGACTTTTCATTAGAAATTTAAGGACTTTTCAAGACTGTGCGAACCTTGATTACCACAAGTTATACTACTACATGAGAAATTTCTGCAAACTGATTGGCTTAGAGCAGTGGTATTTCAGCTTAATTTGAAATACCTACATGTGGAAATTACAAACATCTTGCGGGTAGAAGTATAAACAAATAATAGCATGATTTGCACGTGATATTTGGCATACCTAACACTCGTGATATTTCAAAATTGTCTCAAATTTCACTATAACAATTTTGAAATATCACTCGTGGTATTTATGCAAAATATCACTACTAATCATGCTATTACCTATACTAACAGTACTGTAGTACCATGTAAACTATTTGGGTGTGAGAAAAATAAATTGCTGGCGAGCCTTATGCGACCCAGCACAATATTCTCTACAATAGCGGGAAAAAGCCAAACTTTGTCGGATGTAAGATCAGAAGCATGCGCTGTGAGTCGATTGGTTTTCTTATTATCCGGGGTATTCACTCCAGTGCGATGACGTCACGTAAAACGCACGTGGAGGAGATCGAGAGATTTCGAGTAAATTTCCAGAGTGCAAGCAGGTTATAAATGAGGTGAGCGTTTAGTGATTGCTTTTTTATTTTTTAGATGTCTTTATTTGCTTGTGGAAGTATTCATCAAGGTCTCGATCGAGAGCGTTTTAAGAAGATGAGAGATTCATGTGTCATGATCTGTTTGGCTGCTCCATTTGCCGATCCGCGAATAAGTTGAGGTGCGAAGATATCGATCAAATCCCCCTTCTCTGTGCATTCAGTAGAAGTGATGTGACAGGCAAAAATTCTTCTGTTCGCAGCAAACTGTCCACTCTAGCTTGCTGGTCTTGGGAGAAAAGAGAGAAAAGGTGCGAAGCAAACGCAAACCAGCTTTGCGTCTAAAGCGACTTCTAACCACACGCAATTAATAATCCAATCATCACAGTATTCTTCGCCCGTTGAGGCGTTAAATTTGATCGTTGTGTCAAAATCTCTGCCCCGTTGAGGTAAATGATTCAGGTGATAATTTGGCCACGAGTCACATTGGTCCTTTGAGGCGAAAGACAAGGTTGGAACCATATGGATTCAACATGTGTATCGCTCTTTGAAGCTAACCCTTGGCTAACCATTCAACTGTAAAATTATTTGACTGTCGCTTTGGCAAGCGCCTGCTATGCAGGCTACCGTCGGGTCCAATTGTTTTTAAAGGGCCTGTTTGCATGGAGTTGGGGAACCCCAGGTAGGTGAGGTAACCCGCTCGGGTGGGGTAACCCTCATGTCCATACAATCTCTCATATGGTTACTCCACCTAACATGTAAACGTGATCAAATTAAAATAAGAGATTATATGAGAGTCTGAATGGGGGGGTCCACTTGTCGGTTGTCGGTTAAAATTTAGTTACTTTGTCGGTAGTCGGTTAAAAATTTCGATCTTTGTCGGTTGTGGGTTAATCTCAGTTAATAAGTAAAAATGCATGTTAATTATTAATATTTGTTATGTGTTTCAATCAGTTTCAAGACTTTGATCCCTATAAAACATGTAAAACTTGTAAAAATGCATCATTTCATTGAACTTAAACTTCATTATGCAACATGATAGTGTATTTCACCAAAGCGTTTATTGCAAATGCGAACTTGGTTTCCCTGTTGATCACAGGGCACTATAAAAAGTAATGAAGAGAGGTTGATTGGACACAGAGGGAAACACCCAGTCTAACCTTTTGGATACGTAAATTATTTTTGGTGAAAAACTGCAAGGGGTGACAGGTTGCACATCTATACCGGCGTGAAAGACCTTTAATATTTTGGCTCTAATAAGCATGTTCTTTGCCATGGTTTTCCTTTCTTTCAGGAAATAAGGGGTGGTTCTTTAAAAAGATTAGCAAAGTAGCGGTTTGTTTTTGTATGAGATTCCACTTTTCCATTAAAGCTTCTTTTACGACCAGAAGAGAGTTACAGTGTACTGCGCAAGCGCGACCAGTAAATTTCGTCGTCATGGTGTCGTCGACGACGCCAAACAAAGTACAATCACGTCGTCCTGCAATCCACAAGCTTCAGCAGGTATAATGCACTTATCAATGTAATGCCGACGGGGAGGGAGGCAGAGCGTAGGGTGGAGATTTGACTTTTTTCAAAAATTTGCAATCAAATTCCCTGCCCACGGGCAAGTCATTCCAGTCAAATGCAACCAAATTTCCCCACCCTAGGCTGCACATTGCTGTCAATCCCAAGGCAGAACCCAAGAAAGGCACAATAAAAATATCTCCAAATAACACTCGGCAATCTTCTATAAACGTTGCTGCATCACCAAAGATACATGTTCCTGTGACAGCTGCAATTATACGTTTTAACCATAATTGGTTTTACACTGCGTACAATACATAAACCTTTAGGAGAAAGTCCACATTTTGTAAGTTTAAATATACCGTTCTTAGTAAAGGGTACAAAAAACGTCAGTTTCGTAAGTTTACACTGATTGTAGCGAATGAGCCATACACTAATCAATTGTACTTGAAAAAATCGACTTGGGTTCTCTTTACTTTCGTTTATTTTGATTCCACAGTATTTTAAGAGGTTCAATTGATCAAAATCACGCTAAAACAAACGAAATTTGAAGACAAAACAGTGAAATTCACTCAGCCTTCGCTTGTTCTCATTGGCATCCATGACTTCCTGATCTTTTCAAACCGTGCGGCGCATGCGTGAAGCGTGGAAGTGGGAAACAGATGTTCCGTCGCAGTCTTTTTCGCCCAAGTCGGCAGTCAAATATCTCCACGTCGGGCGAAGAAAGATTCAAATATCCCCTCCCCTGGGAGAACAAGATCAGTCAAATGTCCTACCCCAGGGCCAACAAAGACAAGCAAATCCCTACCCCATACCCTGCCTCCCCCCCGCTCCCCTCCCCGCCGGCTTTACATAGGTGCATAAATCCACTGTTTAAGCGATTTTTGAAGTCCTTTGTTTTTTCTTATCCTCGTAAATCCAGGTATCGTTGCTTTTTTCTCGTAACAAGCGATGTTGATTGAAAATTCGACTAAAAGTGTACTGTGAAAGGTTTGAACCCAGGAGTCATTTCAAAAGTAGGTTGAGTTTGATCGTCCGGGTGAACGTAGTCCTGAATAGGACTGTTGTTGTTGACAGTGACTGACGTTTCGACAACCTGTGCGGTAGTCATCTTCAGAGTCAAAGTGAGTTGTATTACGTCAGTTGATATTATTATACTCTGGTTATTGATCTGATTGGTCAATTACGTCGCGACGTTATTGGTCGTCTGTCAGTTAAGCCGTGATGTTATTGGCTATGAAGACTAAAAGTATACTATAATGAATTGTTTTTACTGCGAAGAATGACAACAGCTGTGGAGGCCGAGCGAGCGAACTCGTAAGTGAGAAATTTATTTGTACGTATTTAGGTAAGGCAAATCATATATCTTTAATATAGAGGAAATAAACTTTATATTGAAAACAGCTATCACATCAGAATGTCTCTTTTTCCAAATCTAAACTCTGACAGACACTCGGACTCGGTCACCTCATTCAGGTTGAAAGTTGAATAATCTTTGTGCGGAAAGCTGGTGTTTTTTCCACTCCAAAAAGTCGGACAACACAAAAAATTCTCCATCGTCAATGAAATTAGACGTACGGCTTAAAAATTAGACCTCGCATTGTTTTAAAAGGCGCCATTGCGAAAAACTTTGTTGCGAACGCACATCACAGTTTTACATTTGTGTTTACATTCAGTGTCGTCGTCGTCGACCTACCGACCGATCGCATCTTAAGTTTCCTTTTTCCTGCCGAAACTGACGTCCTCGTTCCAGTCTTTTCCCAGTCAACAGACGTCGTCGTCGTGAACTTCGTCGTGGTTCTTAAGTTCCCTATTGTGTCATGAAAGGCAACATTTCTTTTCCTTCCTTGCTCGGTTTTTTTTCAGGAGCGCGGACTTCGGATTTCTGTGAGTTTCAATTATTTCTGATTGCAATTTGTCTTTCAAATTGTGTTGGTAGCCTCTGTACATCATCAACCATCAAGCGTTCTTTTGAATTTTGAAACACTTTCCTCAAACTCTTTTGACAAATCGGTGGGTGACAAGCCGCAAAATGTGTGCTGGAAGGTTTCCGTAGTCTTTACATCAAGGATAACTTTTTCGTTTAATCTTGTGCCTTTGTATACAACCGTGTCTAAAAACAATTTCTCAGTGAATTTCGGCGGTGAATTTAATAGTAGGATCATGCAAGTTTGCTTCTTTGAACAAAGTTACGATGTCTGGTTTAAAGACGGTTTAGCTGGTTAGACTTTGTGTTTCAATATATGACATGAAAATGTTGGCAGAGGAAACTGCTGTCTTTGTGCCCATCGCGGTACGGTGGGTTTGGAGGTAGAGCTTTCCATTGAACGGGAAAGAATTTTGAGGATTTGATTTTTAAGCATTTGTCGCATATAATGTTTAGGACTAGGCGGGTTGTAGAAATTTTTGGCGTACGCTCTGCAAACCGATTTCAATATCCTCGTTTTGTGGTACTGACTTGTAAAAAGACTTGTGACGTGGTATCTTGGGTTACTTCCTAGAAAGGTAGGAAAAATACAATATACTCTTCTTTCTGAAAAAAATATAGATAATGTCGGTCCATGTCGGTAGTCGGTTAATAATTTTCCTGTCGGTAGTCGGTAATTTTTTTCGCGTTTTGTCGGTAGTCGGTAATATTTTTTGCCCTTTGTCGCTAGTCGGTTAACCCCATTCACACCCTCTTATATGGACAGGCGGCTTACCCCACCTAACTGGGGTCCCCCGCCTCCATGTAAACAGGCCCTTAGTCAAAAGAAAACTTCTCGAGTACCACATTAAACCCGTTAATATCCGTGCGTCGATATCCTCGTACCTCCATTCGCGAATCGGCAAAAATTGTTGACATAGTAAAGCAGCCAAATACGTAAAAATATCTCGTCTTTCTCGGAATTCATTACTTAACCGTTTGTAACCTCGAGGAAATTATTTCCATAGGCAAATAAAGAAGTCTAAAAAAATGTTAACAAGCAATTACTAACATCTCAGGCCTCGTCTATTATCAGCTTGCACTCTAGAAATTTCCTCGAAGGGAACACAATTACACGGAAATAAGTACACATATTTTTCTTTTAAAAGTCTTAAAAAGGCTTACCTACCCTGGGGTCATTTTCATTTTCTTCGCTTTATTTATTTTCAAACTGTATTCTCCATATTGTCTTCCAACTCTGACGCCAGCACTTACTTTCAAATTGAAACTCCTAGAATGTACTTTTTTTTCAAAGAAGGCTCAATGAATAAAGGGCAGAAAACGAGTATCGACCCCAAACGTGACAGTGTAATAATTCCCACAATATGATACAAAAACAACTAAACTCCACAAACCGAAAACGTTTTGATCCTAAAGTGCACGATCCAAGGCCCGGTTCAAACGCCGAACTTTTCATGAACCGAACCTGATTCGAATTAAGGTCGAACCAAATTATTTAGACAGGCTGAATTGATTCAGACGCCGTATAACTTAATTAAGGAGAAAAATGCTCATTTCGTCAAACTGCTTACAAAATGCGTTATAATAATGCATTAGGTTCGGTACATGACTAGTTCGGCGTCTGAATCCAAGCCGTTCCAAAGTGGATCCAATGTGCAAATTCCCGGACGGGCTAGGTGGGAAGAACGGCTGTGCCGCTCCAAATTGTTTCAGGCGTTCCTAACGGATTCAAACGCCGAACTTTTCAAGTACTTAATTCAATGTATTACGTTCGGCTCATGAAAAGTTCGGCGTCCGAACCGGGCCTAAGCTCGTAAAATTATGTTGCCATGGTTACCTTTTCAGAGTTAAGCAGCAAGTGTCCATTAGCTCTGACACCTCGTGGCCACCTTTGGGTGATAAAAAAGGAGAAATGTCTTGTGTTTATGAAATATATGATCAAGTCATCGATGAATAATGCTTGCTGAAACAAGTAATTTTAAATAAACACTCCTAAATTCGTCAAATACACAGACGAATGAAAAAGTTACGTATGTGGCACCCGTTTTAATCCTGACGACTTCACGGTCAAAGACGCTTCTAAACAGCTTCAGTGTTTCATTGTACGAACTTCACCGGGCACTAGCCGAATTTTGCGTCCTACTTATATATTTTAGTGGGTCCCTCTCAACTAATCTAAAACTGGAAAATATAACAGCCAGCCAAACAAAATTGAAGACCATAACTGCCCGCACGCTAGCTGCACCGCCGGTATTCAAGTCATGATTTTTGATTTGTTGTTGCCCAGTTATGTCGATAAAATGGCTGCCGAAGATCGGAAGAAACAAGAAAACTTCAACTAGACGACTCAAGAGTACGAAACATAAGTTCGAATGAACGCTTGTTTTCGTCGAGTAAAATCCGCTCATCTCCAGCAATTTAATGCCGAACTTAACTTCATAATTCTCACTTAATTCTTCGAACTGCGAAGACAAAGCCGCATTTGATAAATGGAGGCTAAACGGTTTTTTCCTAAAAGAAAAAGGCTTTTGTTACCCTACGGAGGCATTGGCTGTCCTTCCTCTCAATACTTTTCGGCATGGAGGAGCGACAGACGGAAGTACGTGCGCGTTTGCAAACGGAAGTTAGCTGATTCATTTGTATTTAAGACTCACTTGTCTTTCTCATTTGGCCAGACAGCACAGTGATTGTAGAGGAAGTAGGTCAAGTGATTGGGTACCAGGTCTTTCCCAGACACACGCAGGTCAACTGGGTACCAATACTGGAACTCTTGTCGTAATTTGCTAGAGAAAAAAAGTACGATCAATATGATCAGAGCAAAATCATAAAAAATGAACAACAACAACAGGTGTACACTGTAGCTTTCGGAAATTTCACCCTGACCTAAACCACTTCTAACTGAGCTTGCTCCTAAAAACTTCGTCAAAAGGACAAAAAATAACGCAATGAAAATTAATGAGAGTTCTCTGCTTTGTCAACAATTCATCCCAAACTCTTGTGCGTTATTGGAGACTTCGGCACGTAAAAATCATTCCGGCCTTTTTACGATTTTAATAAACGAGCCTCAGTGTACACATTCAACAAAAACAGACATACTGCAGACGGGGAAAAAGGCGCATAACGGCGACAGTGATCACCATTTTCAGACCAGATCGTCTCAGCTGCTAAGCTTAAAAAAAAAAAAAAAAAAAAACCCAGAAAAGTGCAGGTTGGTGCGGGTAAGTCGACAAAGGCTGCAAGTTCCATTCTATTCGACTGAAATAAATTCCACGTCTGAAACTAAGGCCCGTTTCAAACGTGGTGCTACTGCCGTGCCGAGCTAAATTGATCGAATTAAATTCTACTTTAACACGGCAGTAGCTCGACTTGGTCTCAAACGTCGCGCTACTGCCGAGCCGAACTCAATTCATAAATTATGAATACATTGGAGTACATTTAAAAGTTTGCTAAATCATTTCCTTTTTTTGTTTTGTTTTGTTTTCGGCAAGAGACGTTGTATTCGACTGAATTGAATTCGATGTCTGAAACTAAGTGGTGCTAGTGTCATGCTGCAGTCGAGCTACAGTCAAGCCAGCTTAGCACGGCAGTAGCACGACGTCTGAAACAGGCCTAAGAAGTTATAAAATAAAACTTAGCACCGGATGTCAACATTTGTTAGAAATAGGAAATTTGCGATGTTTCGATAACACTGCGATAAAACTCACAGAACTTGAAACACTTAAAACTACGCCATACAGACTTTTCGTTTCGCCTTAAAATACAATTACAAAACCAAAATCGTACTCGGCTTTTCTAATACAGCAATTTTAATCTGATTTTAATTCTTATGAAACGAAAGGGCAACCATGACCTTAAAGCATATACTTTATCGCCGTTAAAAGAGGCATTTTTTCGTTAAACTAGTATGTATCAACGAACAGTGAGAAGGGACACATCTTCATTTGCAATAAAACAGCAATTTCACAAAGGTTTTTTTTCGGTTAACTTATCATTTGCATTCGTCAATAAGATCTCTGCAAGTATTCAACAACGATGATTCAACCAAAGTTATTTTGTAAGAGCGTTAAATTGCCTGGATGTTAGACCCAAAGTAAGATTAAGTTTCTTTCCACTGGAAGGAGTCAAAGTTCCAAGGATGCCACTGCAAAAACCTGTCTGTAGAAATTACAAGTTTTTGGTCTACTCGCACCCGTAGGACACAGATCCGAAATTAAGGTGTCAGCATGGTGTGGCTGAGCAACGTTGTGCAAGAGACGTGGACAAAGAAATCCTAATGGCAAGCCCCAAAGGAATGAAAATAAACCGGCCAAGGACCTCCCAAGCCTTTTTCTTTATTCTCCAAAGAACAAAAACGCACAAGAAAACTAAAGAAGAGCATTTGCAGAGTTCTCTTGAAACTTCTTAGTCTCTTATCAAAATTCTAGTACATTTAATTTTTCACTAGGCATAGAGAATTTCAGTAAACCTTTTTTTTTTGCAAAAAAACAGCGATTTCATTACGAAGATTTTAATCTAAAGGTGTGAGATATTATGGCGAGGAGCATAACAATAAATATTTGTAAAACTGCCAAGAAATCTACTATATTATTCTTTTAAAGACAGCTGTTTTTTCCTTTTGGTAGATAAATGTACTCGCAGATTTTCATTAACCTTTTGCGCGATATAATCTAAACTTAAAAAAGGTCATGCATATACTTGTCAGCGACTTATTGTGCATCACACGATTTCCACGCTAAAGCGTAAATTAATCTTAACATTATTTCCCAACAAAACACAAAAAGCAATTTCATAAAATAACCATAAGAGTCCTTGAAGAAGAAAAAAATTTCCATAACAATACTACTCACATCCTTAAGCAAATATCATAAACTTTTTCACATCATAAAACGAGTACGGAGAAGACTTGAGTTAATACATGAGATGTTATTGTAGTTATGGAAACATTCACTCTCCATACAATTTTCTTGTTTCCTGTTGGTAAGTACCTCATCTATCCGACTTCCTTGCAGTTTTTGCTTTTCATTGGTTCGGACGTATATCTTTCATGCGGAGACGCTACTGAAGCGTTTTTTGAGCGCATTGTTTTGTTCATATAATCCTTCTTGCTTCAATCTGTTGTAAAATCCATTGGCCTTTCTCTTAACAGAGCGCTATTGTCTCCTAACATAAAGGAAACATTGAAATAAACTAAGGAGATTTCCGAAAACACAGCCCAACTTGTAAACTATGTAAAACAGCTCGATTGTCAATTGACAAAACAAAACGAGATGAGGAAGGAAGACACAAGGGCTTCCCAACGATTGCTTTCGTTTCAACTTGGACTTGATCTTGGCAGGATAACACGACAAATCCACGCAAAATGCTTCCCACGACAGAAGAAGGTCACGCTGTTTTCAAACTAAGTTGTGCTTATTGATAAGGAAGCTAACAGAGCAATGAATATGCTGTTTTGGTTATGACGTAGTCCCACCACAGGCATTGAAAGAGGATGTTACAGAACTGGGAACATATCCCGCTACAGTTAAATAAGAATAAGTTAAAAAAAAAAAATACAAATTAAGAATTACAAACATTTATAAGAACTGCAGAAAATGATAGGAAAAATTTTAAGACTGAGATTGGTGTTTTCGTAAGACACAACAAGCCAAATGATTCATGTTTTCAGGTACCTTGCCGTAAGTTGTTAATCTAATAACACCCAAGAGAACAATACACAGACCTTGGCAAATCTCACGTATACATTATCCAAGCATTTAATAAACCAAGAAACTGAAAAACGTAACATTACAGGGCACTGTGGAAGTCACGGAGTAATAGAAATTAGAAATTCAGTTTCGCAGGTACAACAAACTTCCCGATCTAAAGAACCTCCTGAATTAACGAGCCAAGAGGATACAACATGAGCGAATCTTTCGATATGACGCGGAATCTCACGGTAAAGACAACCTCCTGATGTAACGAGCCTATAAAAAAAACGTATCTCGTTATAATAATGACGAGCCCCCCGATAACGAACCGCGAACCGTCCAGTATAACGAACCTCCCGAAATAATGAACCTACAAGAAATAGGAAATCTTGTGATCACAATATAACAAGCTCCCGATAACGAACGAACCTTCCAGTATAACGAACCTCTCGAGAAAACACGAATTTAGTGATAACAATACAGTCCCGAATATAACAAACTTTGTGATAATTATATAACGACGCACACCATATAACGAACCTCGTGAAAGACTGAGAAATTATTGAAATTTATCAGGCTGTTCAGTTTATAGTATATTTGCAAGAGCGTTTTTTGCCCGCATTTACGAAGTGCTGGAATAATAATATAACGGTTTACACTGTGAAAAAATGGATAGCATTATGAGGCGACGAAAACGGATAATGAAATTTTTTTAAAAAATCGCCCGAGTTTATATACTTAATACGAATGGAAAATACATGATGAAACAACAATAACAACAATGAAAAAAATTTTATAGACTTTTTCTCTACATTTACCGTCTCATCGCAGCTCACTTTGTAATTTCAATTCACTCGTTGGTATAAGAGGATGCTAGTGGTAAATAAAGTTTGTCGTTCGACTTTCACACTAATTAACAACACGAAGCAAAATGTTGAACAGAACATGCGCGCAAGATATTTTTACTAGGAAACCGGGTGAGAGAGACAGTTTCTTTTTAGTTTTAATCTAGGCTTTGAAATATGATACAAAGTTAGCATTTGTACTTTTAATAACGAAGTGCTATGCACAGTGCGTAGAAAACAACCCATCTGCAATATGTGACTGCTCTTAAATGCAGAGAAAATTCTCTTTCGTGACAGGAAGTCTTAGAGATCAACCAGTACACTTTCACTACTGCTGGCGCTGCCTAGCAGCTGTTTCAGACAGGAGCCGATTACAGTAATCGGCTCCTGTTTCAGACAAATCACAAGCGTGGAACTGGTCGTTCGTATCGCTCGCTCGTATCCTATCAATAGCTGTATGGTGTATGTATTATGAAGGCAACAGAGAACTAAACAAAAAACCGCGTAACACAAAACCTAAAATACAGTGGAACCCCGTTAATACGGTTACCAATGGGCCAAAAAAAATTGGCCGTATTAACGGGGTGGGACGGCCGTATTAACGAGGGTTTTTTTTTTTTTTAACAAGAAACAATTTCTTAATGCAGTACTACACTAAGCGACATAATGACAGAAAATTTCCGCACGGAACGGAACGCGTTCGACTCGAAAAGGAATCGCTCATCTTTTCCAATCTTGCGCCCATATCACTTAGAGGAGCCTGGTGCGCAGGTTAGTTGTGTTACAACAACAAGTTCATTTGTACATATCTCGAAATATATTGTCACTGTAATCCCTAAAAATAGTTGACGTTCAAATCCGAAAACTGTTGCGCTACGGGTCTCAAACAACAAATGAATTACTTTTGTTTCAAAATGTCTTTTTTGATGTATTCGAGTGATTACAAACCAAAATACCTACAAAAGGTTAGTGGGTCGATAAAATTCCAAATAAGATTGATTGATCAGAACAACTTTGTGGTACATGTCTAAATAGTGTTTTGGTGCTGCAAAGATGCATGATCGTATCTTATTTGTAAGTATTTAGATTTTTTTTCATAGTAAGGACGGATTACCACTCTCGCGTAATTTTTTTTAGAGGAACTAATGTATGAAAGGTCGCATGTGAACGTAAGAGTTGAACTGACCACGCCAAACTTACACGTTTGCGCGCGACCTTTCATACATTTTCTCTATTTTATTTATGCACGTTAATTTTACGCGCTTACGCACGTTAAAATTACGCGACAGTGGAAATCCACCTCAAGACTATTAACATTCACGTAAGACCTTTCCCGAAATGTAGTGTTTATTTTGCAATGATGAATCGTTTTGGACTGGATAGTTTTAATAATTACGGCAAGATTCTACCCATTTGATATAGTAACCTCTCAAACAAAACCAAATCCCAAATAATTACAGCTTTTAGTTCACGATAATTCAAAAGCTTTTAAATGACGATCGCGCAGCAAGGCACGGCAAGACAACTCTATATTGCTAAACCCACTGGCTTATTAAACAGCTTTAGGCTCAAGAGCGGACTTACGGATGTTCAATTAGCAACACATTTGCCCATACTTATCTCGACAGGTTCTTATCAGCTGCTACTAAAGAGCTAACGACAGAAAACAATTCTACCGACAAAACTGAATTTTAATCGGAGCAAAGTGAATTTGCGACCTGTAAAATCTATTGTTTATCATTCTACATTTAACTGATAATATCTTCCGCATAATCGATTTTCTTTGGCGCATGTACATTTCATACTTATTTTTTACAATTCTTTTTGAGAAATGCGCGTGTCATGATTTCGTCAGCTAAAATCTGTTCAGTATGGTATCTGAAATCTGAACTGGCATCGCGTCTTTCACTTTGGCCACAGAGACTAATTCATTAAAAAGGTTAGTGAACCAATGTGGACATATCAACAAGAAATGAGCTACTTAAGCAGATTAGATGATCGGAGAAACCATGGAAAGGAAATGAATGCAGTACTTGATATAGGATACTCTTCAGGGAATTTCGACGCGAAGGTCAACTGCTAAAACCCAATTAACGGGAATAAAATGCATCACCAAATGCAATTGACTTCTCTTAAAACAAGAGGAGGATAATGCGGCGAAAGAAGGACAAAATGTTATCGTATATTGGACTTGACGTAAAGTAAGTGAAGAGTTCTTACTTCATCGTTAATAGCGAACGCCAAGGCCAACTGGGACATACTCGTAATACACCTTACTTATGAAAGTCTAATTACGAGTTAATACAACACATGAAGACTAGGATTAAATTACTGAAGAAGCCTTTTGTGGCGAAAACGAGCATTTGTTTGCTGTGTAGGCGATTTCGATCACGAAAGCACCAAAAACAACTGTTAGGAAATAGAAGTTGATATTTGGAACTCAACACATTATGGCTTTTACTACCCAACATGATGAGACAATGTCAAAGAAGCAATCAACCTGTCAAGAAAAAATAGCCACGGGCTCTTTTCCGACAATAATTATGACAAAAACCTCTCTACTTCGTATCAGTTACAGATAGACGCCTAACACACACACGCACTGACCAATTCAATCTTGTTGAGGAAGACTTATATATAACGCTACTAGAATTGCAGCTTAACATACGCCTCAACAGAGAAATCTCGTGTAACCGAACAAGCTGTAGCGTAAGAAAGACACACATTTTTCACTCTGTGTTACCTTTTTCCCGGAATTTTTTTAAATTGTTTTCATTAAGTTTGTAATGATTTCTCTTCACAGCGAGACACCGGGGAGACATCACTGTCATCTCTTCGGGAAACAACATCGGGTGAACTCAAAAAAGAACAATTTGCATTGAAAAGCTTCTAGCGACTTCATGCTTTGGGCTGCAAGACGCTCTTAAAGATTTTATCACTATCGGATCGGCGTTTATCTTAGAAAGCGCAAACAACATCAGCTGGCAGCAAACTGGGTGTCAGTCAACCTTTTTTTTCACGTCAACTGAAGTCGTACTCATGGGAAACAGGACAAAATTGATGGGAGAGCAAGACTTCACCGCCGATGAAGGCTCGTTCGGAAGCGGTGAACTTTCGGGAGACGAAAAAGACATGGAAGAATTCAGCTTGGAATTCGACACATTTCCAGTCGCACTGGCGTGCTTCATCGTCATCATAAACGTGATGGTCATTGTAATGTTTATTCGCAACCGCTCTCTTAGAACTGTCACTAACTCGTTTCTTGTCAGTCTAGCTGTAAGTGACTTATTGGCAGGTCTAGTTGGCATTCCGCTCGCCATCACCTGTACCATCTTCAGAGACAACAACGTTTGTCCGCCTTCTGTGTTAATATGGCGATTTATCTCAGTGTCCACAGTTCTACATATTGTCCTTGTCTCTGTGGATCGCTACATTGCTATAAGACACGCCATAAGATACCACTGCATCATGACACGAAAAGTGTTCTTTGCGCTCACAACCCTGGCGTGGACCTCGGCCACATTTGTGACCCTTATTCAACTATCATGGCGGCAAAATGCTAGCATGAACGAAGATGACACAGATGAGGTAAATAAAGCGCAGATAGCATACGACCTGACAGTTGTTGTTATATTTTTCGTGGTTCCCCTCCTTGTAATGGTCTTCACCTATGCGCACATTTTTAAAAGAGTCCGGTACCACGAGCGGCAGATAAGAAGATATCACAGTCCCTCAGATACTGAGTTGACGCCCGCGCAAAATAGCGCTCAGCGCAAAACAGCCACCGTCTTTTTAACGATGTTGATCGTGTTCGTTGTATGCTGGCTTCCATATTTTATCTTGAGCCTTCAAGAGCAGCTAGCACATGAAGCCGACTTACCTGCTTGGGCATCGTATGTCTTCTATCACTACACTCGCTTCTTTACATCCCTGTCCAACCCACTGTTATACGTCCTTGGAAAAAAGGATTTCAGGGAAGCTCTGAATCACGCATTTTGTAAGAAACACAAATCAAGAACTGAAAGTCGAACAAGCATGACTACGACGGCTTTATATACTGTAGAAAAAACAAGCGCCGATACTCCTGGATCCGAACTTAAACTATACCAAGAGTAAGCGAAAGTCACTTGAAGTTAGTTTGTAAATGTTTTACAATTTTCTTTTGACTTTTTTTATCAAAGTGGAATTATAAGACATAAGTTTCACTGCTGGTTCCTATTCATCTGTAGATTTAAAGTTTAGCCGAGTACATCAGATGAAAGTTCGCCCACACATTTTCATATGGGCGCCATGTCCCTGACATTTTTTTCACAGCTTTTACTGTGAGAGAACCGGCAAAAATCCTTTCTGAATAGTCAGTTGTCGTTGAGTCCAATTCTCCTACGTCGACCACAAAATATTGGACTAGATGAAAGACCTAGAAAGAAATTAAAGTTACCGCGACACTGTAATGAGGTTTTAAGTTTCGAGTATGTGAAGCTTGTAAATTAAAGGAAAATGGAGGCAGCAGTGAGAATATCAGGATGGTGGAAAATAACATATAAAACTAATTCTGCATGGTGCTGTTTGCAGAACAGTTATCCAAGAAATTCTGTGCAAATTGTGAAAGTCCGTGTCCTATAATCTTACAACTGCAGACTTAAAAAGATTTTCTAAGGTAAAATATGGGAAGCATTCTTGGAAATAATTAAATCCCTAAGTGAGAGAAGTGACATATCTTCAGAGCTTAGAAGAAAATTAGAAAATAAGATTTATCTAGACTTGTGCCAAGTGGACAGTGATAGTTGTAACACTAGTGAAACGTGTAATCGTTATTACCACTTATGATATACAATGTGCATATTCCCATTATTATATCTCTTTTTTTTAATTGGAGTAAGAATTATTTATTTGAATTATTTTGTTTGCGCGTCCCCGATTAGTGGAGCACTGGTGCTCGGTTAGAAGAGCTCGGTATTTTAATTGAGTTGTTGTTGTTTGTTCGTTGCAATGTTTTGTATAAACCCTACAAATGACTTTAATCTACTTCTAAATATTCTGAAAAAAAAAGTGACATTAAATTCTAAGTGAGGATAAGGAAAACTTTTTTAATTCCGTCGTTATTCAAAACATGTTTGTTTTCTTTTCTTGCGAAAAAAAAGGAGAAAGTTTAAATGTAGATGTAACAGAAAAATAAAAAAACCTAGTGATATTTTCAACTTTATTTAAAAAGCTTTTGAAAAAAGATATATATTTTTGGGGGTTAAAACAATGGGTAAACAGCAGGACAAACTAAACCACGAAAATTTAACAAGAATATTCAACGACAAATCAGTCGAGATGCCTGAATACAACAGCGCGAAAGTCGAACACGCACGCGACGTGACATTTAACACTGAATACAAGCGCAGCTGGACACGGCTTTTTCATATTGAAAAATAGTATTTTTAAAGCCCTAGGCAATTTTGCTAAGACATTTAAAGCTAAAACATTCACTTGATGATTAGGGTGATTTTATAAGGCACTTATCAAGCCGTTTTGTATCGAATCAACATTAATTTCACTTCCCTTGTAACTGGATGTTCTTTTTACATAATAACATAGTCATCCTTTGAGATGACTATTTCATTGCCTTTGGCACGGTTTACCGGTCTGAGTACATGATAATAACAATCGGTCAACACTAGATAATAGTCTGATTAAGGCTTCAAGATATTTGTCTGGAAACGATAAACATCTTTTGAGCTTTCCACCATCTTGTTGGCTGTAAACTGATTACAACACTCAGCTTTGGCTTGAAAAATATCACAATGAATTTGTGGATACAAAATAACAGAGCTGAGAGTATAAGTCCACTTCTTTTTAGATTGATTCAAGGCGGAAATAAATTCCTGAAAAAGGAATAACGAAAGGGAGTGCCAGGATTTTAACCAAAAAAATGCTTGCTATTTCTAGGCGCAAATAATAATCGTAATGCGCTAAAAGCTAGTGTCGTTTACGTGTCAAACCAAAACTTATTAGATATACCACAAAGAAAGTAGGGTCAACTATTACAAAAAAGGAATTAAAAAGAGGGCGTTAAGTCGTAAAATTTTAGACTTCATTGGTTTAGTTTTTATAGACAGAGCTAAATATTGTATGGAGTAATCTAGGCACAACAAAGCAGCGGTTTCTTTTTCTTAACGTGCCTCAAGAGAACTCACACTAGTAAGGCGTGGTACTGAGAATTGCAAAAGTAGCTTTTGGGATGAAGAGAAAAAAAACATACGATAGCGGTTATTAACCAACCCTCACGGACAATTTTTCGGTCCTCAAAAAATGCAGAAATATATTCGAATGCCTTGTCTACGAGATGCTATTTATACCAGAACTCAAACCGAACGTGCAATCAGAAGCTTTCCTGTTAAGAAATCTACATAATAATGAAGCATGTACGAATGGAATCAAACTTACTCGAACTCTTTTAACAATTTTGAAACTCAACATTTCTCACTCTTGATAATGATGTTCGCAACATCGAAAAGGCGAGTAACGTTCTTAAGTTTAATTTTTCTGGTTTTCTTATAGGCAAGCCGTACTAACCTACAGTCTTAGTCAAAATTGTTTAGACACTTTGCTGTCTTCTTGCCCTCCCAATGTGGTGTACAAGATTTGGTGAGTTAACTGCGATAACCAACATTGGGAAGACGAGGAGACGGGTCAGAATTGCTGAAAAAACAGCGTTGGGTGAAAGTGTCCGCAGGAGACTGTAGCTGGGCATGAACTACATGTTAGCATGCCCTGTAGCTACGCCGACGTCTCCCTTTCCTAGAGTCCTAAACAGCATAGCCAAATATTTGTCGCCGGTAACAGTATGACAAAAGATCATAACAAAATTTCATTTCCGTAAAGAAGAATGTATCAGATACTCACTCGAGTTTTCCAGCTGAGATATCTGTTTTTGGAAAAGGGGCATCCTTGAAGAATACGTAATCCCACACTTCACGGGTCATTTGTTCGGCCCTGAAAGGAAAATACAACAAGATTGCAAAACCATTAAGCAAAGCGCGTTAGATGGTAAATAAAGAAAAACAATGGCTTTGTGTCCCCCAAATTCATATTTCAGGTTTTTTGGCTGATTATCGCGCAATTCCTTGCTCAATCATTTTTCCCTTGTTCACAACTTTCACTATTCGCCTCGAGGATTAAAGAGGAATTGAAACCGCAATAAGTGGCTTTTATCCTCCTGCTTTTAGACCTTGTTTACATGGAGTGGGGGACCCCGGTCTAGTGGGGTAGGTTTCTTTTGTTTTGTGTCTCCCAGAGCGTGAAAACAAAAGAAACCAGCCCCACTAGACCGGGGTACCCCACTCCATGTAAACAGGCCCTTTAATCACTTCAGCCACAGTCATCATACACATATGGCAAAAAGCATACATTGATATAAAAAAACAAAATATGTTCGTTGGTCAACGGTCCAACATCAATACTCTAATAAACCAACGAGAACTGTATTTTATCGGTAAAACACGTTGCTTTTAAATCAAAAGTAGTTTGAATACCTGAGTGTTGCGTAAGGAAAGTAAAGATTTTCTCAGTTAATTTTCGCTTGCATTTACCTTTGAAGGAAGCCAAAATACACACAAAAAAACAAACCTACATTTTGATAAAAATAACTAAGAAATAAAACAATGGCTAAAAATCGCCTACTAAATTGGAAAAAACCTTACTTTAAATGCGCAAAAAAAAGTGATGATGAAAGGAGAGGAATAACAGATAACAGATAATTCTTCATCACCAAACAGGAGAAAAAACAAGCAACGCTAAGAGTATGTAGGGCAGAAATATGGAGTATAATATAACTCACTGTACTGGAGTACCCGAGCTCAACGATAAACAAAACATTAAAATGCGATATGGCGCCTTTTATTGTTGCTGTTTTGTTTTGGTTGTTGTTACTGTATTTCAGAATGCGATAAAACTATAGAAAAAACAAAACTTCAATCCTTTCTATTAGCAGACCTACAATAGTGGGAGACGAACATCACACCTTGTCAATATTTGGTGAATTGTAATTAATTTTCTATAACACTGGTGTAACAGAGATCATTGCAATTAAAAAACATGTATTCCTCCCCTCCCCCCCCCGGCCCCTTACCGCCACTTAAAAAGAAACGGAGTTATCTTTTTTAATTTCATAAATTCATATAGAATCTGGCATGAATCAGGTTGCTTTTTACATAAAAATCTATAAAATGAGCTATAGCTCGGGGGTATACTCGCCATATCTGTTGATCAGTAAATTTTCAAAAGTTTTTCTCCTACTGTTTTATACACAACTGAATCAAAAAATTAATTTCCTTTATATATCTTAAAGTTAAAAATCAAATTTTACTTATCAAGACATTTTGTATATTCACGAAGGTGTATCCGGTTAGATGTTGTATATTTTTTAACTTGGACGAAAAAAATAGTATGGAACGGCTTAGGACAGAGTGTTTTTTTGGCAAAATAACCCAAAAAGAAAGAATTATTAAAAGAATGGCCGAGGCCAAAGGAACGTTTTAGAGGCCTTTTAATAAACTGGCTTGTTTTCCCTGAGATCATTACAAACAGTGAAGTGAGGAGTATTTAATCATATCAGGGAAGCGACGAATGACCAAACTTTTGGGATTTATTCACAGACTCAAGAGAACAGTAAAGTTTCACACAAGTGACTTTAGGAATAAACTCAGACTCAAATTCTAGCAACGGTAGGACAATAATTAACAGCACAGAAATGTTCTGCTCAATAGCTTTGTTCACATGGCCATTCTGAAGGATTTAACTGCATGCTCAAAGTACAAACCTCCCTTTTATGGCATAATAAACAGTAGCACTATAAAACATACTGCCCAGACAACACAAGACAAGCTCGGATGTGAAATATTGTCTATCTACAAGGGGTTGAAGTCTGAAACATTTAGTAAGATGAAGAGTGTTATATAAGAAAGTTGGGAGAAAAGGCATCTACATTGGTGAATATAAAAGAAAGAAAAGCCCATGAAAATCAAAACGCTGCCTTTTTTTCTACTAAACTGAAAACAATCCTCTTATTTTAGACATTTTTCAATTCCTACATTTTTTTCACTTTTTTATCCCTCTTTGAATAGCACTTTCTAGTTGTCCGGCTAACTACGCTTAACTGAAACAAATATCTAACATGTCATGATCCTCTACCACTGATTTGTCGTTGTTATAATACTTTGATAAAAGTCAGTCACTGTCAACAACAACAGTCCTATTCAGGACTACGTTCACCCGGACGATCAAACTCAACCTACTTTTGAAATGACTCCTGGGTTCAAACCTTTCACAATACGTTGATAATTAACTAATATCATAAATTGAGGGAGCATATAATTAGTAATCATAAGCTCAGTGGTTTTCGTTGGGCCTCATCGCCTTGAAGCAGTCATACTGTATATTCATTTAATTAGTTATGAAATATGGTAAAACAATAGTCTTGAAACCCGAAACTTGATAAAGAACTTACTAGAACCAGCAGTCCATTTAATAAAACTGTTTACGCTACTGTAGAAATAGCAACACTTGTAAAATATACTTGCAAAGGTTTTATTAAATTGACCCGAGAATTTAAGTCAAAAACTCTTGAAACAGAGGACCGAGGGATAGGAAGCACGTACATACTTAACTGGAGTTTACATTACTAGTTAAATTCCATTCACCTGTCGCTCGTCAGACAGCTAATACCTTAGGGTATCAGTTCTTGCTCACAAATTAAGAGCCGCGAACTTGAAAGTATAATACTCTTGTCTAACAAAACTTTCACCGCAATTTCAGACTAGTATTTCAAACTTTTAACACCTATAGAGAGATTGCAATCATTCAAGCAAAAACAAAAAACAGCAGTCCGTCATCAAATCCTACCGTCTTTACGATCTGATGGCCTATCCCAACCCAACTACACGAAAATTTGTCTAGCATTTGCGGAAAGCTCAATGTGTGAAAATACCCAGTGCCGGGGACAAGGTTATAATAAAGAGGGAAACTGACTTAACCAACTCAGTAGATGAAACCCAAAATAAAGCAAAGCAAAAAATGTTAATTTGGCCAACCTCACTATCTTAATTTTGTTTACTGTAGAAAGTGTTAAGAAAGACTGAAGAGCGGACCGGAAAAAGGTATTTACCCAAAATAACAAGCTGACAGACTTATCTTGACTAGACGTTCACTAATTGTCTTCGTCTTTGTTGAAATAACCGACCTCTTGGGCCTTCGTTCAAGGCACTTTATCATCCCACGCTCAGGGATGATGAAGGTCACTTTCCCATTGAGGTAGACCTAACTTATGCTTGGTTCCTAAAACCTCTTTCACAATATAAAACCAGTTATAAGGGACGTCTGACTACCTCATAAAGCTTAAATTTGACAAACTGACTCAACTGCAAGTATGGCCGAGAATTTAAACATTACAAATCAACCAATTCAAGCAACCAAATTAACCCCAAAACCGAGGTCGTTAATTAGCAGTCAGCACAAAGCCTCCTTGAGCTGGTCAGTGTGCACAGTTCGGCAACGGTTATTGACCTTAGTTACCCTGTGAATAAACAAATTTATAGATTGCCTCATTGTACTTTTTGAATGCTATCGATATTGCACAAACACTTACATTTTGCCAGTGCAGTCACTGACAGAGTAAGTAACAACAGGTCAATCGATAACGGATCAATATCCCCATACGTCTATTGGAATCACTAACAACGCTCAGACACTTCACCCTAATAATCAAACTAACAATGACACCGGTTTCAAGGTAAGGCTACAAAATGAATCTTACAGTGGACACTTATGGAGGAGGAGTATATTATAAATTCCAAGTGAGAGGTACCTTATTCCTAGGGGTCCACCAGCAGATCCATCAAATGACCCCTCCTGTAGCAAGTGTGCCACTGTGTAGTATGCATTGTAAATGGTTGAATCAGACAATGACTCTATTAAATACTGTTCATCCCAGGGAAGTCGAGTTCCTAAAATGAAAATAAAAAGTCCCAAAATAAAGAAAATTAAAACGAAGAAGAATAAGAAGGAGGGGGAGGAGGAGGAGGAAGAGGAGGACTACGTTCACCTCTAAGAACAGGAGGAAGGGAAGGAGGTGATGATGACGATGAAGATGATGAAGATGACCATGAAGATGATGACGAAGATGATGAAGATGATGATGATGATGACGAAGATGATGATGATGATGATGATGATGATGATGATGATGATGATGATGACAAGCTACTACGAGTAAATTCTGTAATCAGCGCAGAAAGAGAAAGGTCTTTTTCAGCGGCTCGAAAGTTAAAAGCATGACTCCGCTCAACAATGACGCAAGAAAGGTCCAGTAATCTGACAGTACTAAACAGCCACAACAACGTCGCCTTCGTGGCCAATGAATTTGCTGATAATTGGAAAAGAAAATTCGGTACACTAAATGAATCCAATTTCATGACAGTGGGCCAATAAACCACGCCAGAATTATGATGCTGCCTTCTCTCACTTTTCTGTGCATGATTACATACTTCACTCTTTTCTGGCTCCTTTCTCGTTTGTTAAACTTTGCTTGATGAGTTGTTGTAACTGTATTAAATCGGCACCTGTTTAATCGCACTTTACTGCAGTGCTAAAATATCTCTTGTTTCTTCGAATTGACGAAGGTATCTTTTGATAAAATATATATTAACATTTTGATGTGCGTCCGTCCACTCCCCCTTCCTCCCACTTTAAAAATTGCTCCGCGGGCCCTAGTGACGCAGTCTTGCAGGTGTAACCGTGGAGTAAATGCCGAACCAGGCTAATCCAGAGTTGATTACACCTTAGTGTGACTAGTGAGATCTGAAGGGAACGAGGAAAACAAGTGGTTTAGCGAACTTTGGAAAGTGCGTGAAGTCGTTTGGAAAGTGGGCGAAGCGAAGTCTCGATGGTTTAAAAAACGTGAAAAGCAAGGATAAAATCAGGAAAAATTCAGTTCACCCTTATTTAGAGTCATTTGTCAGCTCAGAAGGATCCATTGGATATTTGTCATAAGACAGAAACGTCTTCATATCTTCAAAAAACTTCATCATAGCTGAATGAAACGAATTCAATACAGCAAAGAAATAAGAAAAAAACCTTTTGTTTTGAAGTTTGAAACTGAAAGGGCTTTTAAAGTCAGAGCGGAATTACCAAGATCGTATGATCGAGCGAATATTCCGACCACTCACGAAATTTCAATTGCGGTAGGTATAATAAAAGCTGAGTGTGAAGTGTTTGGACAATTAACTTGCCATTTACTCACCGAGACCATAAGACCTTGAACACGCATGCTCGTGAATCCAGTCCAACGTGGCCTCAAAGTTCCGCCTGGTTTCTTCCGCAAATCTGTCACGCGAAGACATGGAAATAAGCGATAATCAGATTCAGTTTCTCCGTAACTCAAATTCATTCATACAAAAGAAGTGTCTAACATTGTATTATCGACGGCCGCTTTGATTCACTTAACATATATTACTTGCTAAGACATCGTGGTCACGGTCATTTGCGCTACAGTGGTCACGTACTCGTTAGGTTATGTCACGTTACTCAGCTTCACGGCTCAGAAGGATCCATTGGTTAACTTCTCATGGGACAACCGTTATCCTCAGTTGAAGTCAAAAGCTTCATCATGGCCGTTTACATCTCAAAGTTACTCTCGTCCCCACTTCTCTTGGCTAATCCTTCTAATATCTATTACAATCGAACCTTCAACGCCTTGGGTCCTACCACTCCCCATAACCCGTAAGCGGACATTTCATCACGATTCCAGCGACTGCACAGATTCAGAACCATTCAGTAGTAAGAAACGTAAAAGACTTAGAGCTCTAAAGATATATTCCACTAAAAACAACTCCCATTAAGATTTCGCTTTGAATTCGAGCTCAGAAAGCAACCGACTTTAAAAAGGATTTTACCGCAGCCGAATCACAGGGTAAAAATAAATAACTTTTTTTGAATGGAATCTTGTTCTTATACGATAGGACATTTCTTATTTTCCATTCGTTTTGTTTTTTGTTTTTCTTGTTTGTTCATCATCTCCCGCTTGCTGATCGAATGATATCGACAAACAAAAGAGAGCAAATATTTAAGTTGTCTGAAGTCACTCATTATTAACACGTCACAACAAAGGGCAGAACCCAACTGCCATAAAAGCGATTTGATTTGCTTAGCGAATGAAGGCATTAGCCGCAATAGTTTTCGTGCTGATAAAATCTCAGAAAATTACTTAATAATAGTAATAATTGCGTCATTTACCCTCGACAGCATTTATAGCATTTATGCTAGTGGGGCCGAGCAAATGCCTGAAACAAATAATTTAAATCAAACTTAACAGAGTTAAGAATCCCAAATGGCCAGAGGCTTTCGCAAGCATGGCCGAGGATTTGAACTCGAGACTACCCATAACATATCCAACCAGCGGTCAGGGCGAGACTTGAACTTGGGAACTCCGAATTGCAAGTCCAGCGCTCTAACCAATCGGACACCCTTCCTCCTATATTTGTACTTACGTTTCTAAATCTTTCAAGGCGTCCCGCGCCGTGTTTTTCCAGGGTTCGTCACCATAATCTAAAAACCTAACAGAGGGAGAAAAAAAACAACACCGTGTAATCCTCGCATGTTAACAATGACGCAGAACTCTTTCCGTGGAAAGATTGAGACTGAGAAATCTTGCCGATTCTGAAGCGAGATAATTTAAATTTCACACTGCACACCTGCGCCAGGAATTATTTAACCTAAGCTGGACACCAAGTGTGATAAAAGTTCCACACAACTGAATCGAAAAGGGTGTAAAATGCTTCGCACAAGGACTTGATGTACAGTCATTCTCCTTCCCGTGTAAACATACGTTTGCCTTACCATTGATCACACAGGGCAACAACGCACTCATCCGCGGATCGAGACATTACTTTTCTCTCTGGCTCCATGTAAATCCTTGCCTCATCCTGAAGACATAAGCAATCAAAGGATTTGTAATTTCCAAAGAAAATTTGATGATTTAGGGAACAAATTTATCAAAAGATTCAACTCGACAGAACAGGGCTCGAGTGTTGTGTGCAAATGTTACCAGATTCTGTTTCCTTACTTAAGTAAATGAACGAACAAAAACACTGAAACACAGCATTCAATAGCCCGATTTTTGGCGTTTATGGCAAAAGACAGAAGTATTAAAATCCGATGCACACTTACGCTGTCCATCATTTTCTGTTGCACAAGTTTTTTTACATCCTGAACTTTCTGCCCAGCAAATTCCCCGATGATGAGAGTTCCCTCATAGAAACCCTTTTTGTAAGTGAGTTCCTTGGCTTCCACCAGAAGGTCCTTATCATTTTGGCTCTTTATCTTGAGGTCATCACAGGCCTTTACCGCACAAAGGTCTCCATAACCAGGTACCCGGATGATTGGAATAGGCTCATAAGGAAGGACCATTTCATCTGTAATACCGTACTTCTGTCTAAAAGCCTTGAAATTCAATTACAAAACAAGAATGATTTACTGTCAGTGGAGTGGCAGGGCGTGACTCTATACAACCCTATGAAGTACTTTTCCGGTGAGTAGCGTTAATGAAACCAAAGTGCGAGCAAGACGTGGCGGATTTACTTTTGACTGGTTAAATCGAAAGTGGCGCAAGAATATTTTGCCAATAAGACAGTGTAGGAATAAAAAACGAAAGCAGTCGTGCAATACTGAAAACCGTTTCAGTTCGGTAAAGTTCCGTTACCCTTGGCTGGGGAGTGGGGAAACACTGATACTCTTTCACAGAGATAACTTGGCAGTTAGAAAGTGTCAATTACCAATGGACCTGCTAAGCAACGAAACAAACGCTGAAAGTGACATCTCGCTGTCAGGATAAATTCATGGCAGCTCCCTGGGGAGTCTTTGAGGGCAAACGTCCGATGCCACTTATGCGTAAAGGAGCCTTGTCATAACACAGGAACTGGCCACCAAATTGAGTGGAAACAGAAAAGAAGACACGCATTGACAAATAGAAGAAGATTAAAACGGACTGCAATTGGGTTTTTCGAAATCGTTCAGTCTAAGAGTTTTTCATATATTATCTCTGTAATTTGTTGTTTTAGGCTGTTGTTGTTAATGGGTATTGAATCACTGACCGGTTTGTTTTTCACGTCCCTAAGTGCTGCATAATCATCCGGAGCATCTGAAGGGACTGACGTCACAATACCGGTACCTGAGAATCAGAGACAACAAAATATGTACTTACACCTTTCAAATGCCTAACCATTACATAACTTAGGTGGCGAAACAAATTCACAAAAGCTTTTAGCCGTTAAAAGAACAATCCTCTTTTGACAGTTTGTCTCCTTGGTAACCTAGCGGTGACGCCGCGGGATTGACAGGAGCTGCTGTTGTACAACTCTTACCTTTATCCTCTTTTATTGTCAGCATGGGAAGAGTATAAACTACTTTGTGATGTGTCAGGGGGGCATCCAAAGGAATACCCATAATGTCCTGCAACACAAAATTAACGCTGAAACAGGAATGAGAGGTTTTTTAATTGAACAATGGGGGGTTAAAGAAACTACCGCAAAAACGTCAAAAAATAAAAGTTTCAAGGAGCAAAACAAAACTCTTTAATTACCGTCGAACCCCGTGTTACGAACACCTCGTTATTACGGTCAATTTTCTTTGTCCCAAGGGATAGCCCTTACATTATCTCGCAATTTAACCCGCTTGATACGAACACCTGTTAATGAGGACAACCCACACTAATTTCTTGCCCAATCAACGAATTCTCATAGAAAGTCAACCTCGCTAATGCGGACACTTCATTATCAACTGCGTGCTGTAATAGACCTTTGCTTTTTATTGGTAAAAAATCCTTCAGTTGACGGCACGTAAATGTTCCCAGGGCTATTAAACACCGGATAGGATGATTTGTAGACGTCAATTTTTGGCTTCAAACGAGTTATGCAAAAAGGGTTGTGATTACGTAATACCATAAATGAGCAATTTTTAAGTGTTTCCGTGGACTTAAGCCGCGTAATAACGACTTTGTGAAGGTTAAAGAAGTTTAATTTGGTATTTTGTTATAGTAAAAGGGGTTTTTTTTACTTTAATAACATGACCCGTTTAATACCGGCAGACACTTTCTGTGGTGCCTTCAGTGTCTGTATTAACAGGGTTTGACTGTACAGAACATTTTTCATTAATATAAAAAAGACACCGGAGTAAATTAATTGAGGATTACCTGCCCTTTTTGATATCCTTTTTTGCCGAACCGACCTAATAAACAAATTCCGAGTCTGCAAATTTGGTCCTGTGTTAAACAGCCAAACATTCTTAGATTCAGTTTTGTAAAATATATCGATTGCATTGATTTCTTCTCTCAAATATTTGAAAATGTTTCCGCCCACCGCCGAACAAATCCCCCTCCCCTCAAAGGGAAAGATGAAGTCTCTGAAAAAAAGGATCTTCAAATCCCTTACGTCTAATTCATACTGAAGAACTTTCTCTTCAAATCTAGATTTTTGTAATGCTTTTACTCCTAGCCTTTTCGTGGGTGAAATATGAAGCCAACAAGCCTTGGTGAAACCTGGCTCTTCCATTTTCAGCAGTCCTTCCCTTCCCTTTTGTCTACAGTAGGTGGACCACTATAAATGAAGATGTTTATCATCGCTTTCATGTACTAACCTGACCTGTCAGTTCAAGAAGAACATTGACCACGCCCTCGTTAGGGGTGAAACCCTGGTAAGACATGTTCCTCGCTGCCCGTCGGGTGCTAATATAAACTTCATTATCGATGTTCGTTGCAAAGGCGATATACTGCATAAAGAAAATAAAAATTTAAGCTTTATTTGGGGAAGTTTTAGTGTCCTATACAAAAGAGAAATCATATCACCTTTGCTCTTATAGACAAAAGGGGAAAAGAGGGAAAAACATTTTCATGAAAATTTTCAGACATAAAACTAAACTGATGGTTTAGATTTTTGGCAGCAGAGCAAGGTAAAGATTAGTTTGCCAAACAGTGGGTAGCCGTTTCCAGGCGCTCAGATAGTGGGGGACAGCACTAAGAAAAATGAGCAGGAGGGAGTGGGAGTGGTGAGACTGAGAGGGCAGCAGCTTTCTTCTGCATATTTCCTCTGCTCTACATTTCGCGCCATTGATTCTTAGACTTAGATCAGGCTTTTCTCGGAGGAGGGCCTGACACTCAGGCTACGCCATTATCTCAACGCTTGGAACAGGCTAAACACTGGCAGATTTGGAAAGGATAAACAACAACAAATTGACATGTTTTGTTGAGGTATGTTCACTCATCCAGATTAACAGTGGTTATCGCCTACTTGCCATATGTGAAATAGGCCATTTTACAGTTGTGTGCTCATTGCCCTGGCTTTTCAATAGAAGCGAGGCTGGCCGTGACCTTGTTTTGTCACAAACCTTCCTACTTTTCACGTTCAAATCGTAGTGTTCTCATGCTAACAAGCCCATGAACATGATCATTTACATATTACGAAAAACAAGAAGGTTTGTAACAAAACAAGGTCACTGCCAGCCTTGCTTCCATTCAAAGGCCAGGGCACTGAACACACAACTGTGAAACGGCCTATTGTATCGTTTTCTAAAAGAGTTAATGCAAGGTGTACAAATAACAACATAATAATAATAATAATAATATTCTTACCGTAATGTCTGGTTGAACCCAGCAGTTTGTCTGCCCGTACATTGTTTCTGGTCTCAGTGTTGCTGCCATTAGGAACACATTCTTTCCTGTTAAGGCACTGATAATGTAACAAAGAACCATGTCGTCAACCAAAACTTCCATTAGTTAATAGACTGATAAATCTATTCTGTTACCTAATTAATTAATACAAAACAATACAATATATCACAACAGAACACAACAAAACACAACATAGCCCAACACAACAAAACGCAACACAACGCAATGCAAAGCAAAACAATACAATAAACTTTATTAATCTGTCAGTCAGACAGATTGAGACAGTAAGAAAGTCATCCAACCAAGTTAATAATGATAATCATTTAGGTCAGATAGTCAGTCACAACTGGGTAAAAAGTCAGCCACGCAGTCAGTTTGTGAGTCAGTTGCTGGTCATCCAATCAGTTAGACAATTGGGTAGTTTAAAAGTGTGCATTAGCATGATTAGGGGCTGTGTATATGCATGGAGGGACGACGATCCTAGCACCAGGGACATCCTTGAAGGAAGAAACAACTTTTTGTCGGGTTACTTACAGAAATTTTAGTCCAGGTCATTAACAAGTACAAAAGTAATTCAAGATGGCAGGCGACAATAGCAAAGATGTAATTCAGGCCCCTCTACTTTCTTCACGAGCATTAATAACTAACTTTCAGCAGTGGATGGAAGTTCTTTACAAAATGGGGGCACCAAACGAAATTGTTGGCTTTTTTGTTTTGGTTATCCACTGAGCCATCCGCTTGTCCGGATTATCCTTAATACTTAAAAAGGGTCTTCCTAGCAACATGGTGCTAGTATCTCCCTTCCTCTCAGCTAAGAATATTCTAGTACTAGGAAGATGCCAGCGCTAGGCACAAGTGTAAAGCTTAGCATGTAAACTGAATACAGAAAATATGTGGCGATAAGATGATTCGCCTTCTAGGATCTTCCTGGAGCAAGGATAATTCTCCCTCCATGTAAAGAGCCCAGGTCCATAGTCTGTCAGTGATCCGATAAACAAGTAGTGGGTTAATTGGTCTGCAAGTTTATCAAACAATTACATGAAGAAAGTGCTTACTGTAGGAATAACACTGCCTGTAAATGCATAACAAATTATACCTGAGTTTTCCTTTATATGGTTCACAAATCTTCATTTTAATTCCAGTGTACTCCTGCGGTGCTACGCCCTTGTGAGAAATGTGATAACAACATGAAGCAAAATTACATTAGTTCCAGCTCACAGCTAAATTAACAGCGTATATGACATCAATACATCTAAACTAATGGCTTTTACAACAATTGTCCGCGAATGACTTGATTCACCTAATGATTAATCTGTATGCAAATGAATACACCATATTGAAAAAAACTCTTGCACAAAAAATAAGATAAATGTAAAAAAAAAATTGTTCACCACAGTTATCATTCATATTGATCAGTTAAAAAAGATACAAAAACAGTCAAAAACAGTTTTCAAAACAGTAACAGTACCTTCTTTTTTTTTAATATGGTTCAGTCAATCTAAGCATACCCATTTCCCACCCTCTGCCTCCCCTCCCTGCCATTTGTCTAGCATTAATTTGCCTTTTGTCTTGTATCAATGGTTGGATCCAGCATGGGGCATTTGCAGTTTGTTCTGTTGTAGGTGAAGGAAAAAGACAAATGCCCAGTGTGGTGAATGGGATAAACATGCTGGTAATTGACATGAAGGAGCAATAAATACAGTACAAACTTAATTGAGGTCATAAGTTAAAAAATTTCTACTAGGCTAAGGGTCAAAAGAACTGCAGATAGACACAAGTTGCCGAAATAAATTAATTGTAAGCAAAAGTTTTAACCACCTTCTTTGTTTTATATCATGACAATAATGCCACAGTTATAGCTATTGGCTGGTATGCAGTAAAGAATTAATACTGGCAAACCTCAAATTGATGCATGTAGGTACAAGACAGGTATAAAGAAGAAAAAGTGATGACAGATATACTATAACATTGTTCCATATAGAGTGATGAAATCATATGGATCAGGCCTACCTCTCCAGTCTGTCTGTCATGATCCATGCAGGGTTGACCATCCTTGGGTGAGAATATTGTGTACCTGATATGAAAAAATTCAATTGAGCAAATAGCCATTAACAATTATTTTATCCATGAAAAACTTCATTTGGGTTGCCTTTTGCAAAGTGCTGACAAAAGCTATCAAATTTAAAGATATGGGTAAACAATTGGCTAAGCTTAAGCTACGCAGTATTCTTTCAAAAAAGAATACTGTGTGGTGCTTCAAGTAACCTACATAACTCACGACCCCCCTACCTCCCACCAATTTGAAAATCTGTTTCATCAGGAATTCTCCAAACACAACAATTAACAAAAATTGCCAAGAACTTTCCCATATTATAATAACACAAATTAGTGAATGATATCTTTAAAAACATTTTGCCTCAGAAATATTATTTCCAGTAGCTACACATTGTTCAGTACTTTTTCAAACAACTCAAAAGATGAAATTCTGTTAGTTGTATTTTTGTCTGACCAAGGTATAAAGTCAAGTTGATAAACAGTAGACAAATTATGCATTTTTTTTACTGAGGATATGATTTTTAAACACAATTTATACTAAGCAAGAAAATCTACCAGAGGGAGTCTCTTCAGACCTGCTAAAAGTCGACCTCACAAGTTTCACCTTCCTCCCGCACCATATTAAATCCGACGAAGGACTTTTTTGAAAGTCTAGAGTCTCTTATTCATTTAATGTTAGAGCTAACATAATTATGTTAGTGTATTAAATACCTTTTTCCAAACTTGACTTTACCACGATCCTTCAGAGTCCAAAAGTGCCATCTAACAAATGAGTCATAATATGGATTGACGTGCGTGGTGATGAAAGTACGTCTCCAGTCCACCTAATATAAGTAAAAAGTTTGCTTTTCAGTCAAAATTACATATAGAATGAACAAATAATTTGCAAAAGCATCAGAATAAACCTGATTGAAGTCCTGTTTAGGAATTCCAATTACTAAAATACTTAAAAAACTTCATATCATAGCTGTAACTTATTATTATTGTTAAAGTGGACATTCACTGTACATCTGTAATATCCAAGGGTGGATTTAATTTAACTTAATTTTTACGTGTATACATGCATACAATTTACTTTCACATATAAAATAGAGGCAATGTATGAAAAGTCAAACATAAACTTAAAAGTTGAACCTCACTCAACTTCACGTTTAAGCTTGACACTTTATAACTTGCCTCTATTTTTGTGAGTAAAATTAATGTGCATGTACACATACGTTAAGATTACACGATGATGGATCCTAAAAGTTCATAGAAAGTCTATACATATTTAAAGCTCCCATCTCACACACTTAAAAGTTTACAATGTACTCCATTTGCATCTGTTATGAGCTTTGAATTAGGGGGATTGAAGTATGAGGACTTGCAAACACACTTAAAACCAGTATAATCTACTTAAAAGAACTAATTTTTCAACTTTTATGGTATGAATACTTTGTTGGCCTACCTTAAGTCCCATACATTGGAGGTCTGATTTCGCTAAAGGAGGGAAATAATGTAGCCAATGATCAGCATCAGCAAACCTGAAATCAATTCAATAAAAAATATTGGTAACATTCACCTTTCCCTCATGAGCTCTTCGGTTGGAAAACATGTTGTTTTTATTTATTGCCTTTATTGCCATGACAAAGAAACCTCCTATTGTTGTCATCAATATTTTGTCTCAATGATGATTATTTTTGTATCCACCCGCTGCACCATGTCAGAGACCTTTATATCCATCTTGTTTGTCACCATCCATATATACTGGTCTTGAATTTGCATGGTAAAGCCTCCCCCAAGTAAGTTCGTTAATAAAATTTTTTTATTGTATTGTAAAAACTTTGGAGACTTAAAATTTTGCATGGTTTTATTTTTGACCGAAATTAAAATCATCCCCTTATTTTTCGCCAGTAATGTAGGAATTTTTTTTCAAACTGATGGCAACATTATCCTGAAGTTCACTCGGTTGTGTAGAGGCTGTAACCTCAACACATGCACATGGTTGAATAATTATTGCAAGAAAAAGAGGTCCTTACTTCTTAATTTCCTCATCACTTAAGCCTAAAGCCTGCATGATCTGCCACTGATATTCCAGACCACCTGTTTTTGCAGCAATTTTGCTTTTCATCTGTGAGAAAAAAATTCATGACGATATTTTGTCTTGACTCTCTTATCTGAATGCCTCCACTACCAAACCCCTAATTACGACATCTTTTGCTTTACTTGATGTAAGCAACTACAGCCTGTTCGAAGAGGCCTAATCTCTCATAAGCTTTACATATTTTTTATGAGGTCTCCTCCTCACCATTTCCATTTCTTTTATCACATGCATCTTATACTTCTTGTATTTTTACTTTTGTGTGGCAAATAAATAAATAAAATTAATTAATTAGTTAATTAATTAAACATGGTACAGAATACAGACTCTTACATACTACAATAATAATCAAGATGCACTTGCATCTGTTACACGCTTTTGCTATGAATTCAAATTAAGCATGAATGCATTCCTTGTTGATCAAGGAACTCATAATTATTAACCCATTCGCTCCTGGAGATTTTGCCGAAAAATGCGTTTTGAAGCTAGTCAAGTGGTTTTCTGGTCACTGTCGTGCTATAAAGAGCTAAAACTTACCACAAACTGGTTTACAGGTCGAACACTTCGCGGCCTTCTGATCCAGATGCAAAATATCAGCTTGCGAAGTTCGGGCATGTGCAGAAAGCAAAATTTCGAAGTGACACAGCAGTCTTGACTTTTACTTTTTGCTTTCTCTCCTCCCTTCTTTTTTCGCTTTTCTTGCCTCATTTTTTTTTCTCTTGCTGGGCATTTAGTAGGCTTCATTTTGGTGGGAAGAGTTTTTAGGAAAGCTTTTAGGATCTTAGGATTAGGTGAAAGGAAAGGTAGGTGGGTAATGGAACAAGATTTTCATGGAGATTTTCAGGTCAATGTCAGGTGGTTTTTTGCTTGTTTCTCCGGTGTCCTTGACCAAATTGTGCTCATTCTGGTATGGTTTGAAAGATCTCTTCACTCTGCACAAGTTAGCGAAGAAAGTTGTCCTTGACCGTTAAAACTGATGACGTCACAATGGGTAAAAAGGATCTGGATCTGCATGGGCGGTTACGGGCGGTTCAGGGGCGAATGGGTTAAAGTAATACTTTTCTAAATATTTTGACTTAGGAAGAAAAAATTCCAAAGCCCGGTAGCTTTTTTCCCAACCCACTCTCCATATATATAAATAATGAATGGTCCCTGATGCCCTCTGCTATATTTCCTAGTAACTTTTAACCATTAAAATTTTTTCTAATTAAAAACATGATGTCAGTTTCTCATATTTTGAACCTCTGACAATTAAATTGTAGTTGAAAAATAATTTGATATCACCACCTCTTCTCATTGCCCTCTCTTAGCATATTACTTTACACTCTGCCCACCCCACACTCCCATTTTACAACCCCCCCTGACAATTTTATTGTATGGTCCCTTGTGCAGTGCAGCATACCTACAAAAATAACTGGTGTTGACATACTCTCATACAAACAAACCTCTTAACCAATCAACCCAAAGTACCCGTAGTATCTTAGTTATTTTTGTGTTACCTGCTTTGTTTCCTCTTTTTCTCCACTGACAGGGAATTTGGGTGGAAATCCAAATTCAGTCATTTCACGTTTTAACTTGTCAGCACAAGCCTGAAGAAATAAATCAGAATTCTGTCAGTGCAAGCACAAACTGAAACTAAACTGTTAATAATGATTGCTGTCAAGTGTAAAAACCATGTGGTGTGCTCATTGGTAAAACATTATTACAAAGACGTTAAATGAAATTTAACACAGTAAACAAAAAAGAGTGCCATTCTGTGTTGTCAGTCAGTGCTCAGTGCAGTACCTTTATGTGCTTATTCGTACAGTGTTTCCTGGAAGCCACTCCCCTTGTTTAGCCTTTGGACCATTCATTTCTCCCCATCCCTCCCCCCTTTTATTTTTCCACTGATAAATGAGTGTGACAGGTGCCTGCTTCCATTTGCATGGGGGCTAATGGGTGGAAGGTGCAGGTTTACCAGCCATGGGGATGTAACTCTGTCTAGGGGCTGCTGGCGGCTTGCCAAAAATGGAAGCCCCTGGACATCCCGGGGCACCCAACTCCAATAAGCAATGCAGTTGTTAATGAAAACTATGTTACAATTCCATGTCAAAAATGTGTTAAGCTTAAAATATTATATTTAAAAGTCTTCCTCCAGAAAATAATTCCATAATACAGTATAAACACCCACTAATAAGAACCTGCAAATTAAGAACCTCCTGGCAGAAATTTGCCACTTTAATACTCAAATACCTACTTTAATACAAGAACCTGTTTAGCAAAGTAAGATCAAGCAGATATAACTTTGAGTTGTAAATTTAAGAATAACAAGAACATGCTGCATTAAACTGTACATAATATTCAGTAATCAGTTTTGTTAGGGTTATGATAATACAATAATTGTGAATAAATGAAATGTATATTTATTTTTCTCCTAATCAACAGTTAATCTATTATCTCCTTCATAAAAATTAAGAACCTAATAAAGAACCTTCTTAGCCAGCCTAAATTGCCGATAAGTACCCCAAAATATAAGAACCTATTTTGCAAGACTTCAAAAAAGTAGGTTCTTATTAGTGGGTGTTTACTGTATTGGTGCCACGTACGAAAAATTAAGTGCTTTGACCACATAATTTATCTTGAGAGTTACAAGCAAAGATTTACTAGAAGCTTGAGCACAATGTTCTTGATAGAAAACACAACAAAAAGAGTTCAAGAAAATAAACAGGTGATACATCATTTAAGACTTACGATAAATGGTGAAAGCAACATTTTTAAAATCAATTTCCTTGACCACTAGAAGCCAATGTAATTCTCTCAGCTATGAGTGTAATATAATGCTGTGATATTTCATTCCTAGTACCAGGAAGAAGGATACACATGCAGCAGAGTTCTGAACATACTGCAACCTCTGAAACTGGTTTTGTGAAAGACCAGACCGGAGAAAATCACATTAATCTAACTTTGACGGTACACGTGCATGAATCAATGTCTCACAGTTCTTGAAAGACAGGAATGTCCTCACTCTAACTATATTAGATACATAGATGATAAAAAATAATGCAGATTTACAGGTAACCTGTTTATCCATCAAAACTAGCTTATTGAAATGAAAATTTAGCAACTTAAAGAAAATAAACCGCTGAGTTAATTTACAGTCCACAAAAACTGTAAGTTTAACATAGTTTTGCTTTGACCATTCCAATAAATCATGAACAAAGACTTACTTTGATTGGCATTCCTGTACAGTGCAAACCAAAGGGAAACAGGCAACGTTTTCCTTTCAGTCTTTCATAACCAGTAGCAAACTGACAAAAAAATTATGTATAAAATAATACACAAATTTATAAATGAGTTAAAGTAACTAATGACAGTAAACCTAACTTAATGCAAATCTATTAGCATCTACAACTACATACTTTGTAGAACAACTCTTATTTATTTTTTCCATCTATTAATTTTAAAACTTATAGAACATGTTACTGAAACAATCTGATAAAGTTAAAGACCACGGTAAGCAGCCCTATACAAAAGGACAGGCTCATGTATCTAGAATGTTGACCATGGCAAGAATACAACCTGTAGCTTTAGTCTCCAAATGGCTTTGCACAATAGTCGAGTAGCAGTGCAGACTTTATGCATTTCCCCAACCCAACTTACACCTCATGTTGTAATAATAATTTAACCTGTATGACATGAACCTGGTATCTGGTGAGTTGGAGCTGGATTGTTGGGATTTGCCAACCATGGTATTCAACCTTGGGGCTGGCTAGCTCAAGAAAACAGCCAACATTTTGTGATTAGGCCACCATTTGTTTCCCTGCAAAATAATGTCTGAGGAATGAGTGCAGAAACTCCATGCTAATGGCCAAAATACCCCAGATCTGGGTTATGACATGTCAAGAGTATGGAACTTTTGCACTCATTACGCATGCAGACATCAGCACTGAGAAACCAGAAGTAGCATAGCAAAAAAATGGTCAGTCACAATTGAAAGCCCTTAATATCAATGCTGAGTATACCTTGCAGTTAATCAAGGAACTAAAGCAGATTATAGTAAATTCTCACCTCAGCCTTTAAAAGGAACCCATGAACAAGTGGACAACCAGAATTGATCATGAAAAGAAACAAAAATAAAACTTATTCTTGATAGCATTGAATTGTCATGCACAATAGAATGCACTAGCTAGAGTAAAACACAGTTAAAATATAAGGGAAGTTCCAGGTAAGGACAAAACAATAATAATATCATTTAATTTATTTTGTTATGGAGCAATACACACTGCTTATTAACCTTAGGGAAATCTCAGACTGAGGCCTTGATGTATAGCGTATACCTGCCAACTTTTTCTGAGATATAAGCGTGAGATTTTTATCCTGGGAGTGCTGGGATTTTTGAAGACGACACGATCATTTCCGAGGATTCCCGAAGAAGTCCGAAGTCTTCCGAAGACGTCCGAAGTCTGCCCAAGTGTGCCAAAGGCGAGCTCGCTCCCAGTTTGCCATTTATTCATTTTACACATGGTTTTCGTTCCTTACATGGGTCTGAGTTAACATATTTTTGGAAATTGTGTCAAGCAGGACGGCAACAACTCACATTTTTCAATCAGGCGTGAGAAATTGGCCCGCAGGCATGAGCCGGCGTGAGATCGAAGTTTTCAACCCGCAGGCGTGAGACTCACGCCTAAGGCGTGAGAGTTGGCAGGTATAATAGCGAGGTCAATACATCAAGGCTGAGGTCTGAGATTTCCCTGTAATGACCAAGCAGACAAGGTTAATAAGTGAGTTATATATAATATTGCCTTTTTAGCACTATTCTTAAATGATTACAATAAAAAAACACACAAAGTGATTTTCAACACCCATGCATACAAGCTGAGGTCATTCAAGGTTGTCTTTACTGAAAAGAAAGAACCTGGTGATGTGATCGAAACCACAAGAAAGTTCCTTTGACAAAAACAAATTTTGGACCTGAGCCCACAAACAATAACCAATAACTGGTCAGTGGATAACTTAAAAGACACATCACTTCAATGAGTTGTACACTTGAGCCCATGATATACTCATGTCACACTGGTCAGCAGATAGCCTTTTTTGACAGCTGTCAATTGACCATAATATGGATTCCACTACAAAGTTTTGTGTTTAAAAAACATATTGTATTTGTCTTAGACACCTACAATATTGTAGCTAGTGATGCCCAGTCATTACAAGAAAATAATTATTGCCTGCTTAGCAGCCAATCAGAGCACGTGTACTATTGTAGCCACATAATAAACAAGCTTTCCTCACAGAGAAATGCAGGAAAACTGCAAGGCAGTTTACAAAATAAAATGAAATATTAATTACAGTGTAATTAAACTCTAACTTTGAAAGTGTGTTTCTTTGTGTAAAAAGATTTTAACATAAAAGTAGCAAACAACAGCCAAGAAAAGTTTACAATTCCACATGCTACTCATATAGGATTTCTGAGCCATTTTGACTCAGACTGGATTTTATTATGAAGACGTTTGTTGAAAAAGGAAGGATAAATATACATGCATACTAAAATGAATACTGTGCGTAGTAACCCATCTTACCAGTATATATATACTTTTTACTTGTAAACAATAAACTAATCCCTCCTAGATTCGTAAATAAATGAAAAGTTTTCCATAATTTTATCCTACCACACCTTTGAAAGAGTAAATGTATGTCCCAGATGAAGTCTTCCATTCATGTAAGGATAGGGGAATGTGACAAAAAACTTCCCCTTACTGCAAATAACAATCAATTCATTCAATTAATCATCCGTGTTTACATTCTATTTAACATCCTGTACAAACACTGTAGTTTAGAAAAAAAACAAGAAAAAAAGAAACTACATGCACATGTATAATTTCAATGTTACTGATGTGTAACATTTCAACAAACAAGGACAGGTGTATGTGGCTCAAGTCATGGGGGGGGTACTGCCATATGTGGGCTATATAGGTATGTGCCACTGTGAAGGGTAAGGTTTTCAAGCAGTTTACTCTAGGATAGGGTATATAAATCAGAGCATTTGGGTCTAGAATTGGGAATCATTTTTCAGGAAATGGATCAGTTGGCTGAAGATTTTATCTAGACTAGGGATTGTGGTATGAGGTTTTGTTTTGGCTAGACTAATTTAATGTGCTGGTGACCTCACTAGTTTCTGGAAAACAGCTACTCTAGGATAGGGGGGATTTGGAGAGTTTACTCTAGTATAGGGTAGCAAAATTCAGCTGAACTAGCTCTGGTATAGGTTAAGGGTCCAAGGGTCCCAGGGTCCCAGGGTCCCAGGGTCCCAGGGTCCCAGCGGCACATTCCCACCCAGAAATTCCTAAAGTGACCCCCCCCCCGCCGACCCGGGGGCTCAAGTATGTTTATTGCTGTTACAGGTACATGGATCAAGGTGTTTTTGTTTTTTGTAAATTCCACTACTAGATTAAACCAGAATTTCCTTAATTAAGGTGCCATACAGTGATTACGCTGTATTTTCATCCTGCATCTCTAGTGCATAAAAATCCCCAATCCCTAGGTATCCCCATCATCTTTCATGAACATTTATATTAAAACTACCAAGAGGTGAAATTGCATTTCAAAAGCATTTTGTTTCTATGGATAACAGCTGGACATCAAGATTGTCCAGTTTTTACTGTATTTCTAACCAGAAAAACTTCATCCCAAAATGTTTCAATACGGCTCTTATAGATTTTGCTTAGATGTGAACGTCTCAAACATCAAGGTGGCATTGAAGGTTACCTAACATAGCTGTGGTGGTAATTTTTCCAAATCTTTGTTATATGGCGACGTAGTTTATACTCAAACTTGGGAGATGTTGATGCTGGAAAAACCCTATTGTGCCACTTTTAATTAATGTTTATTTTGACACTACCAGGGATCAATGCAATACTTACTTAGCTTCAGAGGAACCAGGCTACAGAAACAAAAAAAAGTATTAATAATTTTACAATAATAAATCAATCATTACAGAGACAATATCGGTATAATTGCGTGTCACAAGATCAGAAAAGTCCACAGTCCTAATCTCCAGGTTGTTTTTATGCAAGGTTGTATGGCCATTTGTAGCCAACATTAGTTTGGAATTTCCAAGAAGCAAGAACGAATGAAATGTATAGAACATACATCTGATCATGCAAGTTTATAACCTTCTGTTATTCAAAATCTGATCATGTATCTTTTGACCTTCTATCGCATGAAACTTACAAAGCACCAGCATTAGTATTGCATTGGAGCAAGTTAGAACATTTTGACCTTCGATCAGAGGGTATATAGTCCCTGAAGTATTTATTTGATCATTTAAGAGAATGTCATCATTCTTACGAGAACAGCATCACTTTCAAATGCCTTGTTTTCTGCCCATCTTTTCTGGATTTGTGCCTCAACCTCCTTCAGATAGTCAACTTTTGCAGTGCTTTTTCTGTCAATCTATATCAGACAAGTGAACTGATCATAAATATGGTATTCAGACATAAATTCAAAATTACTGTCATAGGGTACTCTCATAATGTTTTAACACTTGTGTTACTAGAAAAATTCAAGTAAGAAAATAGCTAATCACAGATGTGCACCTGGTTGCATTCACATGCACTGTATAATTATTTTGTCAATGTCAACCCTGTTTTTGTGCTACTTATTTGCAAAATGAACAAATGAAAACGATTTTCCATGGTCTTTCACAGGCGGACCACCCTCTGTTAGTGGGGGCCGTTGTTGATTGAAATCTGAGCAATGATCTTTTGTTATTTATAGAAGAAATACATATGAACAATACGGTGGCTATAATTTGTTCCAAAATGCAGAATTCAAAGCAAATTTTTCAATAAATGTTTGAAGAAAATGCTAACTGAGCCATGTGTCATGTTTTTTTCGCTGTCCCGTGCTGTTTTAAGCGCTATTTTGCGAGATAAATATTTGACCTCAGCGGTTCAAACTAAAGAAGGAGACAAGGCAGGCAGCAATCAGCCGCCGGTGCGTGACCCAGTCCAATTTACACTGGAACTGATGCCAAACTATTTAATTTCTTACCTCGAAAATACCGGCTCCCGATCCACTAGATATGAATCCATGCCCCATACAAATGAGAGCTCAGTCCTTCCAAAATTTCTCGAGAAAAGCGATCCTGAAGTTGCAAGACCAGCTTCCTCAACATGACCGGTGCAAAAAGCTCAACCAAAGGCATTTGAGGTATGCGCGTCGATTCAAATCCACCAATCAGCGTATCACGACCAAACAAACACCCCTGTGCGGGGTAGGGTTGTGGGTTTGAACTGCCAACAGTCATGATACGCTGATTGATTTGAATTGACGCGCATACCTCAAATGCCTTTGGTTGAGTTTTTTGCACCGGTCATGTTGAGGAAGCTGGTCTCGCAACTTCAGGATCACTTTTCTCGAGAAATTTTGGAAGGACCGAGCTCTCATTCGGATGGGGCATGGATACATATCTAGTGGATCGGGAGCCAGTATTTTCGAGGTAAGAAATTAAATAGTTTGGCATCAGTTCCAGCGTAAATTGGACTGATATACCCTAATAATACCCTAAATCATTTGGAAATACAAGTAATACATGTAATTTGTAAACAGAAAGATGTTTTAAGTTCTAATGAGTGGCATTTTGCTGCTCAGACATCACCAAAAAAAGGTTGAACAATTACCGAGCTTATTACAATATCCGAGTGATCGGACAAAACAATTTGCGTACCTAAACAAGCCGTTTAATTTTCAGGCAGAAACTTTTGTCAAGTAATGAATAATGCAATTTTATCTTCAGAAGCATTGTGACAACAGAATACCACACTGGTGCGAATAACTTGTGAACTGTTATCAATTCATAGCAGAAATTTACTGTGATGACTCTCGAAACTATGAATCAAAAGAAATCATTTGCTACTTTTTGAGAAGCATTATGCTACCTTTTGGGTAAAATAGAGGACATACTACGCTAATGTAAAAAAAACTTAATTACCCAAGTCAATGTTGCTTAATGACTCTGAGATCGTCCTTAACAAAAAGTAAGATTTAAACAGATTTCTAATTCTTCCTTGCAGTAAAATGATTTAAAATAAAAACATTCTCCATCTCAACAAAGGTGGGATTTCATCAGACCCTCACAAATTTTGGATGGCCAATGTCTGATGATTGACTGTTATTTGCAGCCCTGAAATTCACTCAGCAAATAAGAAAGTGCTATTTCATTGATGTGTTTATAGAAGAGGACAGACCGAACAAAGTTAAGGCATACTTAATGGACATGGGGCCATCCACAATATACATTACATAGATAGTTCCTCAGACTTAACAGCATGGCCCCCACTTTATTATACAAGTCATTCAGCACATTCTTTGAAGCTGTTAAACATTTAACTACATTAAGGGAAAGTTCATTTAATATGACAAGGGGGGGGGATGAAGATATTGAAACTCGAAGCTTGAAATTTTAGCAGCCCCCCTCGCTAGCGGTTTAATTTTTTAGGAGCCCCCTCCTTGGTAGTCGAAAAAATTTCAGAGCCCCCCCCCCTCCTCCTTCAATTCCTTTGCTCCCCTGAAAAAAGATCGCTAGACTGTATTAAATATATTTACCGTTATTGTCGTCAATGGTTTATACTATGACAAACTTGAGATACAGTTGTGATACAATTTTCTAAAGCATTTTTAGGATGAACAAGAGTGTAATAATTACTGAGACTACATTTGTTATATCTGTAAACCACGTGATATAGCTGAGTTGCACAGGTCATTAAATTGTTGAGTTGAAAACCATCCGATCTGTATGATGTCATGTGTTGGTTTTGAAGTATACAAATTTTCGGAGCCCCCCCTCCTAGCGCAACAATTTTTTCAGAGCCCCCCCCTTCGGGTGTCTAAAAATTTTTGGAGCCCCCCCTCAATATCTTCATCCCCCCCCTTGTCATATTAAATGAACTTTCCCTAAATGAGGTCAAATGTTTAACTGCCTCAATGAACATGTGTGAAGTGTTATACAACGTTGTACATGCCAAAGTCAAGAACATAAGATGAAAAAAGCAGACACTTACTCAACCAGTATTGAGCAGTTAACTTTTTTAATTTTAAACTCTATTACCCAGCCAAGGAGACTTAATACTTGCAGTCACATGACCTACTTGATGCAAAAGTTATGAGATACAGCTTAAACTCTGGGCAGAGCATGAGAGAATTAACTAGAAAGCCAATAATTTGATGTGATTTGCACACATGAACAAATATGAACAAAAAGAGACATCTCGCTTCTTTTCAAGAAGCATTATGCTACCTTTCGGGTAAAATAGAGGACATACTATGCTAACATAAAAAACTTAATTACCCACGTCAATGTCGCTTCATGACTCTGAGATCATCCTTAACAAAAAGTAAGATTTAATCAGATTTTTAATTTTTCCTTACAGTAAAATGATTTACAATAAAAACATTCTCCCTCTCAACAAAGGTGGGATTTCATCAGACACTTGCAAATTTTGGATGGCCAATGTCCAATGATTGACTGCTATTTGCAGCCCTGAAATTTACTCAGCAAATAAGAAAGTGCAATTTCACTGATGTGTTTATAAAAGAGGACAGACTGAACAAAGTTAAGGCATACTTGGACATGGGGCCATCCAAATACATTACATGGAGATAGTTTATCAGACTAGCATGGCCCTCAATTTATTATACATTCAGCACATTCTTTGAAGGGGTAAAACATTTATCGACATTAAATGAGGTCAAATGTTTAACTCCCTCAATGAACATGTGTGAAGTGTTATACGTCGTACATGCCACAGTCAAGAACATAAGATGAAGAAAGCAGACACTTACTCAACATTCTCCATCTCAACAACGGTGGGATTTCATCAGACAGTCGCAAATTTTAGAAGGCCAATGTCTGATGATTGGCTGTTATTTGCAGCCCTGAAATTCACTCAGCAAATAAGAAAGTGCTATTTCATTGATGTGTTTATAGAAGTGGACAGACTGAACAAAGTTAAGGCATACTTGGACATGGGGCCATCCAAATACATTACATAGATAGTTCGCAGACTTGACAGCATGGCCTCCAATTTATTATACATTCAGCACATTCTTTGAAGCTGTTAAACATTTAACTACATTAAATGAGGTCAAATGTTTAACTGCCTCAATGAATGTGTGTGAAGTGTTATACAACATCGTACATAACATGGTCAAAAACATAAGATGAAGAAAGCACTTACTCAACCAGTATTAAGCAGTTAACTGTTTTAATTTTAAACTCTATTACAAGGGTTAATACTTGCAGTCACATGACCTACTTGATGCAAAAGTTATGAGATACAGCTTAAACTCTGGGCAGAGCATGAGAGAATTAGCTAGAAAGCCAATAATTTGATGTGATTGGCACACATTTGATTGGACTCAGAATGTCTGCAAAGTTACCAAGCTATTACAAAATCATCGTGATGGGACCAATCAGTTTGTGCCGTTTATAAATTTTCAGGCAGAAACTTTTGTCAAGTAATGAATAACACAATTTTATCTTCAAAAGCATTGCAACAACAGAATACCACACTGGTGCGAATAACTTGTGAACTGTTTTCAATTCATAGCAGACATTTACTGTGATGACTCTCGAAAATATGAACCAAAAGAAATAATTTGCTACTTTTCGAGGAGCATTATCCTACCAAGTCAATGTTGCTTCATGACTCTGAGATCGTCCTTAAACACAAAGTGAGATTTACTCAGATTTTTAATTCTTCCTTACAGTAAAATGATTTACAATAAAAACATTCTCCATCTCAACAAAGGTGGGATTTCGTCAGACAGTCGCAAATTTTGGATGGCCAATGTCCGATGATTGACTGTTATTTGCAGCCCTGAAATTCAATCAGCAAATAAGAAAGTGCTATTTCATTGATGTGATTATAGAAGAGGACAAACTGAACAAAGTTAAGGCATACTTGGACATGGGGCCATCCACAATATACATTACATAGATAGTTCCTCAGACTTAACAGCATGGGCCTAAATTTATTATACATTCAGCACATTCTTTGAAGCTGTTAAACATTTAGCTACATTAAATGATGTCAAATGTTTAACTGCCGCAATGAACATGTGTGAAGTGTTATACAACGTCGCACATACCACAGTCAAGAACATAAGATGAAGAAAGCAGATAGACACTTACTCAACCAGTATTAAGCAGTTAACTGTTCTAATTTTAAAAACTCTATTACCCAGCCAATGAGACTTAATACTTGCAGTCACATGACCTACTTGATGCAAAAGTTATGAGATACAGCTTAAACTCTGGGCAGTGAGAATTAGCAAGAAAACCAATAATTTGATGTGATTTGCACACATTTGATTGGACTCAGAATGTCTGCAAAGTTACCAAGCTATTACAATATCATCGTGATGGGACCAATCAATTTGTGATGTTTATAGATTTTCAGGCAGAAACGTTTCTCAAGTAATGAATAACACAATTTTATCTTCAGAAGCACTGTAGCAACAGAATACCACACTGGTGCAAATAACTTGTGAACTGTTTTCAATTCATAGCAGAAATTTACTGTGATGACTCTCGAAAATATGAACAAAAAGAGATATCTCGCTTCTTTTCACAAAGCATTATGCTACCTTTCGGGTAAAATAGAGGACATACTATGCTAACATAAAAAAACTTAATTACCCATGTCAATGTTGCTTCATGACTCTAAGATTGTCCTTAACAAAAAGTAAGATTTAATTAGATTTTTAATTTTTCCTTACAGTAAAATGATTTACAATAAAAACATTCTCCCTCTCAACAAAGGTGGGATTTCATCAGACACTTGCAAATTTTGGATGGCCAATGTCCGATGATTGACTGCTATTTGCAGCCCTGAAATTAGCCCTGAATAAGAAAGTGCAATTTCACTGACGTGTTTATAAAAGAGGACAGACTGAACAAAGTTAAGGCATACTTGGACATGGGGCCATCCAAATACATTACATGTAGATAGTTTATCAGACTAGCATTGCCCTCAATTTATTATACATTCAGCACATTCTTTGAAGGAGTTAAACATTTATCAACATTTAATGATGACAAATGTTTAACTCCCTCAATGAACATGTGTGAAGAGTTATACGTCGTACATGCCACAGTCAAGAACATAACATGAAGAAAGCAGACACTTACTCAACCAGTATTAAGCAGTTAACTGTTTTAATTTAACTCTGTTACCCACCCAATTAAACTTAATACACATATAAGGTCCTTTGCAGCTCCCAGTCACATGACCTACTTGATGCAAAAGTTATGAGATACAGCTTAAACTCTGGTCAGAGCATAAGTGAATTAGCGAAAAAGCCAATAATTTGAGGACTTGGAATGACGGCATGCAAAGTTATAAGGGGTTGTAAGGACAGCATGCAAACAGCATGTACACAGTCCAGCATTTTTTCCATTGTTTCTATTGTGATTTTTTCCATAGCTTCATATAGTATTTTCTCATTTTATTCAAACAACTGTAAAATTGTACTGTTAGATTTTGAAACCTAAAAATTGAAAGGCCCACTATTAATCTTGTTAAAAATGCTCTTTCAGCCTCTAGTAGTTTCAAGGCTGTTACAATACAATGCAATAAGTATCCCAAGATAATATTTTGGCAGGAGATGGATCAAATGACTCCAAACAACAAAGCACCTATCAAAGAAGTAACAACAGGAGGACAAATTTATTTAACTTGAAGGACCTTCTTGAAATTTGCTCTTAGCCCAAAACCACTAAGTGTGACTTCCTCTAAGTTCCCATGGTTCACAGTGGGTACATTTAAAATCCCGGGATTCATTAGTACTCTTCAAGTCCCAAAACAGTATCGAGTTGTTGATGTCATTTTTCTATTTGAGCAGTTTTGTTGGCAAATAACATCACAAATGTAGTTATAGGATTTCTAATGATAGCTTTTTGAAAATTACCAATCAAAAGGACACCAAAAGTGAAAAAAAAAATAAATACCTCCATATGTCCAAAAAGTAGCACAAAATAGCAAGAAACTCGTACTTCAAAATGTTATATCTTTTGAGTGAAATATGGAACCATAATTACCATAATTATAAGTTATTTATGTGAAATTACAAAAATATAATAAAAAAAAATTGACAGCATCTTTGTAACTTAATAATTTACCTGCTAAAAATAACTAAAATCTGAAAAACATAAGACAGACGATTAAAGTAAATGACAAGGTTTTTTTGCTGTCCCACTGTTTAAGGTAAACTACATAAATAAAAAGATGTATGAGTCTCGGCAATTTTTTATGACACTCACACCCACTGTATACATCATGCAGTGATGTTCTCATGCTAGACTGTAATTATTATTCCGTTCAGGCAGCACGAAAGCTCTCCCGTAGCATGACATGTACAGTGTACATGACAGCTTAGTCACCAGGGCCGAGTTGTTCAAAGCTGGGTAAAGATAACCCAGGGTTAGCGCGAGATTGGAATTCAGATTTGAAAGTTTAAAAAGCATTTTAGTTTCAATTCTTTTTGTCTACAAGTTGATGATTGGAAGCTCTAAAAATAACAGAGAAAATTATCGGAGAAAATGCTTTTGAACACAAGAAAAAGAAACCCTGGTTAAAGTTTACCCCGGGTTAAGTGCTAATCGGCCTTCGAACAACTGGGCCCAGGTCTTGGGGATCGGCATGCAACTTATGTAAGACCTCGTGCTCGCAGAGCCAGCAGCTGTAATAAAACATGTTCATGATTTTGAATGAAAAACACGGTCTTTTGTCCTCAATTTAGTCCCAAGAACGCTGAAAATTGCATTTTAGGGCTTTCAATTTTCAAAATTTTCTGGGGAAGCACATCCCCCCCCCTCCCTCCTCAGGGACTAACATGTCCCTTTTGATACAGTCTGTTACTCTATTCAAACCTGCTGGCTACTTCAATTTTTATGGAAACCCCTGTAAACACTTCAATGCATTTTCTAAAGAAAGGTGCAAAAGGTTGGTTTTAAATCTTAATAAACGTAACTCAGATACCCAGGCAACACTCCCTTCATGCGCGATTTGCATCACTAAATTTCCGCAATTGCAAGTAATATTGCATCAGATATAATAGCTGCAAATTTTAACTACTGATAATTTATAATTATGCGCTGTAGCATTTATGTATTTACCCTATTTTTTATTTATTTATCTTCCAGAAGATATTAAGGATATGAGTAGCGATCTGAGTGACTTAGAATAAAGATTAACCATAAAAAAGGCCAATTTTGAGAACAAGCAAGAAGCTCATTGCAGTCATCCACGCATTGTAGCCGGACTGGTATCGAGATCACGAACGGAAAAGCATTGATATAATCAAATCTACGCGAAGAGAGACACGAAAATTCAAGCAGGATACTCACCGACATTTCGTGTACAAAACTGCAATATCTTTGGCTTCCAACTCGTCGAAAGTGCTGCGAAAAACTCAAAATACCGGTGGAGGAAATCACACCAACACGTGTGCAATGGCGCATTTATACTTACTAAAGCGAAAGCCCCACTCGACTGGCCAGCAGAAACTGCTACTGACGAGAACTACGTCATGTAATTCTCTCCGCAAAAATGGCTGACCATTTTGATGAAAAAAGCGGAGTTGTTCCTTCAAAAACACCTTGGGGAAATTGGGCACAGACGATTGATGAAGTATTTATAGAAGTCAATGTACCGAAAGGGACTAAAGGGCGGGAAATCACATGTGTTATCAAGCCAAAGAGTATAAAATTTACCTTGAGAGGACAGGAGCTTTTTCAGGTGCATTGACGACTGTGCCTGTCGTTGAAATTATACAGTTAAGTTAGGCTAAAGCTTAATTTAAGCAATTTTGTCTTTTCTTTAAGATTATTAAACCAAACCCGTTTCCCTCCTTCTTTTTCTTGCAGGGTGACCTTTTCGGGACTGTTTTGGCCGATGAGAGTACATGGGTATTAGGTATGGGATCCAAACTTTTAATTTATTAGCGGGTGAAACTTGCTTGCTTGCTTGCTATTGCACTAGGTAACATCCATTCTGAGGTCAAATCAGTATTTAAGATTAATGACCAAGTTTGATTCAGGACTTTCTTTTGAACGGCCCCGTGTAATAGATTGAGAGGTCAGAGGTGTGACATTACAGGTACGTAATCATGGTAGCAAAATTTCATGATCAGATCACAATATGCAACAATGGCCGGGCGATAAATTATTTTACGCAACGATGACGGCGACGGCAACGAGAACGTTAAAAAAAAGCACATGCACAAGTATCACGCTTTTTCAAACAGTTCTTAGCTGTTGTTGTATGACTGCGACATGAAACTTCCTAATTTATGGAGTAAGTAAATGCAACACAAAAATGTTCGTTTTCTTTTTCTAAACTTAGATTCAGTCCTTTCAGAATCAACCCCAGAAAAGTTTCGCCAACGTTTGACAATTTAAATGAAACTGAATAAGATTGATGAAGTTTGAAACAGTAATACCGTAAATGCTCGAATTAGCGCCCGGGGTGCTTATTTAATTTTCTAAGGTGAGAGGGGGGTGCTAATTCGAAGGGGGGCGCTTATTTGAAGGGGGCGCTTATTTCGCTTATTTCGCCTCAAAATGACACTATCTTTATTTCTATTTAAAACCAAACTGCAACACAAAAATTCGAAAACCTTATAGAAAACTACTTTTTGCGAACTCGAAACGTTCTTAGGACTTTTTTATCAAAAGTGTGTTTTATTTCTGCAATAGAACAATTCTAATAAAATTATGTGTTTGCTATTGTGAAATGTTTTGTCCAAAAAGAAAAGCCTGCGGTTAATGTCCAGTTGTCTTCAACTGCCTTCACTTGGCAGATGGTTTACGAAATAGAATTTGCGTCTGTGATAAGGGGGCATCATGTTTATAAAACAGAGTGGTCACTAAAGCTTGGAGAAAGGCTGGTGTGTCGGAAAGACGAACGAAAGGAGGCTAAAGAGCATGATGAATATGCTGTTGGAACATTCATTCAAGAGAGTAGCAAGCTGGTTGGACATGTACCCATTGAACTTTCCTTCCTCGTATTTACATTTCTACGAGCTCATGAGGATAATCAGATGGTAGTTGAAGCAATAAAAGGGGGTGGTAGGCCTAAACGACTTTTACCTCATGCCAAAGTGCTGCTTATTCCAATAAAGTTGTTTTTATCTGATGGGTAGATTATGCTCTGGAAGGTTCCACATTTATACTGAGAAAATGTGATTTTAGCCGCATGTTTCACACTGAGAGGTCATGACATACATATCGATTGACTGTAGTTATTGTTTTCTGGTCGGCAGGATTTGCCCTCTGATGCAAGCGCATTTTCTTTGACCTCTTTTGAAGCGTAAAGCTTTTCTATTACGGCTGAATAAGGGTTCCAATTTTCTCCAAAGTGCCTTCTGGATCTGAATAAGTAAGCGATTTTCTTTAATCCGTGAGTGCAATGTTTTTCTGCAATGCTGTATCACGCTGGGCCCAGCTCATCAGTTTTCTTTGCAGAATGTTAAATTATCACGAATAGTGACTTAAAGATCCAAAATTATAAGAGTAAGTTACTGCAGCTTAAACTGATGCTACATAACCTTACTATGGAGAATTGAATTGTGACTCAGTAAACTCCAGCTTAGTGTTTTTCTAAAGATAGTGTGAGTCTTTTGACTGGAGCGCGTAGTTCCTCCCTTGGTAATAGCTTATAATAATAATAATAACGGGGTAATAGCAGGGGAGGGGGACGCTTATTACAAATTTTGAGCCTTAGGAGGGGCGCTAATTCAAAGCGGGGCGCTTATTTGAGGCTGGGCGCTAATTCGAGCATTTACGGTAATTCACTTCTTAATAATTAATAATAATGAATTTTTGTTTTGTTGTCATCCAGTAGTTTTGCTACCATGGCAATGCAACGTATCAACTTCTCCTCTCAATTGCCAGAACGTCACCATAATCTGATAATTTTTTTGAAAAGGGCCGAAAAGTTACAAAACTGGCATGTGCAGTTTGGTTTCACATATCATAGATAAACATTTTTGAAAACAGTGGCTTGTCTGTCATTTCCCAAAAATCACACATGCAAAACACATCCACTTTACAATCAATGACAACAAATCTTCTTCCCTCTCCCCAGGCCAAGGACAAAAACAGCCCTCTCCTTCTTCCTGGCAATGTTGTTCTTGGTTAATTGCAGTGAAATGTTATAATATTATTTTGATAGTGTATTTTAGAACTAACATTTGTTACATTTGATGCTATACACAGGATCAAACATGATCATAAGCTCCCGTACACTTCAGAAAGCCACATGTACTCTACAATATTGAAACCAGGGGGGGAGGGGAGGGGATACTGCGGCAAGATATTGCTTAGCTTAGTGCAAAGAAAGGGATGTGTAACTAGATAACAAAGGTCTAGAGATCTGGGAGTAACAAACTTATGCTTAAGTGAGATATTGCTTAGCACATCCAAAATCAGATTTATCCAGCGAACACTTTTCACTGTTTGGTGAAAGAAACACGTTGTTTTGTTATGCAATACATATTATATGGTCACAAAAGAAATTGCCAGGAAGGTGGACCTTTTTGCATTATATGTACTTTCAACCAAAAAACCTGGAAATCATAGTTGGGAAAATATTTTACTGTACAAATTATAAAGTGAGACAAGCATGCAACTACATATACCCCATGCAATATGTTTAAGACTGGAATACAATAATAATATTGTATTCCAGTTTTTTTTTTTTATATTTTTTCACACCTTGTAACCTTCCTCCTTCTTCCCCCCCCCCCCCCTTCCTTCCAAGGGGCCAAACTTGCATGATATTCATTACTGAGTTAAAGCAATTGTGCAGGGGATCTCACAACAGGCTTGCTCAGTAATATTGAAAATAATAATAATTCCCTGTGGAGGTTTAAAAATCACCACTTGTCATTTGGTTATACTTCTTATTCTTTCCCGTTTCAGAGGACAATGAACTTGTGCGAATTATTTTAGTGAAATCTGGACGAGATGCTGCTAACTGTTGGCACTCACTGTTATCAAATCAATATTCTGCTGATCCTTGGATTTTTAATGAAATGGAAAAAAAGTTAACATTAGAGAGGTTCCAGAAAGAGGTACATGAGTCTTAACCATGTAATTCATTGAAATGCCAGTACATAATTTTTTAAATTTAATAAGTTCTGTTCTTTATACCAAACTTTGTTTCTGACAAATTTTCCTCAAAAATCTATGCTTTCATAATCTGATAGTAAAAAAAACATACATATATATACCATTATGTGCTTTAAGAAGGAACATAATTTTTTTCTGTCTTTTTGATTAATTAACTCTGAAATTCCACCTTTGAGCTGCAAGTAACAATAGTTCATCTACCTGACAATATCCAACAAAAAATTGCCTATGTGGTCCTATAAAATCTTACCTGAGGAGTGGATACGATGGTAGATCCACTCTGGTCAGATACAAAAGATTATCACTTTCAAGTCTAAGAAAATCTACGTGTACCTCACTAGGTTCAATCTGGAATGATCTGCATCAATTCGATCTGGAACGCCCAGACACCACGCACGAAAAATTGCATTTACACAAATTTACTCGGTGTAAATATGGTGCAAAAAAGTGCAAACTAGGGGGAAATTACAAGCAAAGATGGTAAATACCGCATTTGCTTGCCAGTTTACATGGGGGTGTAAATTTTAGGGCAAATGCGGTATTTACCATCTTTGCTCTTTATTTAACCCTAGTTTGCACTTTTTTGCACCAAATTTGCACTGAGTAAATTTGATGTAAATCCAATTTTTCGTGCAGTGCAGGTTTAAACAAGTTCATATGAACTCTTTAAAAGTGCTTCGTGGGTAAAAAGGCAATTTACAATTTTTTTATGGGTTACATGTAAATTTTTCCTACAAAAGTAGCACATACACAAGCAAAGTATGTAATACAATTACCAGTTTACACACTTCAGTGATTTATCATGCAAATTTTGCATGATCCAGGGTTCATACAGGTCAGGGAATTAAAGATTTGTTTAATAGATAATTAACTACAGGTGACAAAGCAAGGACTACGTAAGACGAGACGAGAAATCAAACAGCGCAAAGGGCTCACATTTTGGTGGACTGAGGCCAGAGTTTGTGTCTGTTGAACTGCTTTAGGCAAAAAATATGTTAAAACAACAAAAGTTTTGAAAATTTTTGAAAGCAACAGCTTAATCTAAGGTCATGGAAAACTTGAAAAAGTCATGGAAATAGTCATGAAAAGTCCTGGAATTTAAAGAGCTCAAAAGAGTACAAAACCTGTGATCTGTCTCAAAAAGGTCTTAAAAAAACTGTCACACTGCAGTGTAGATTGAATTATTTTGTTTGTTTTTTTATGATTCTGACTGAAATTTGAGTAATCAATGCTCTTGTATGCATGTCCAACAACTCAAGTGTATGGATTGCCTGACGGAATGACATAATTATATAGTGACCTGACATGGTCGGGTAATAATAAAATAGTTTATGTATTCTACAGATTGTCTTTTAAAAACATAAATTTATTTCCAGGCATGCTCCTTAGGTCCAATCCCATTTTTTATTTTGTTGTCCTGACTTTTTAAAGGGTCAACACACAACCTATTAAAATTGTTATTACTTAAATTATATTCTAGCTTTTACTTTCTTAAGAAAATAAATGGAGGCTCTTTCAGTTTTGAAATACATAGGAATTCCAATTTATGTTCTATTATTTTAGTACATATATCATGGCTACTTAATACTAGAATAATAATAATATTATTGCAAAAAACAATAAAATAACATTCAAAAACTCATTAATAATTCATAAAGAAAAAGCAAATTTTGTGGTTCCAAAAATTATTCATACCTCCCACACAAAAGGGATTTTTCCTTAGACCCCACCTCTCTGGAAATTCCAGTCAAGCTTCATAAATTTACTTAAATGTTTGGGCCTTTATCTGGTTTAAAAACTTGAGGTGAAGCCGAGAGTTAAAAAAAAAAACTCTCGGCTTCACCTCAAGTTTTTAAACCTGATAATACACTCCTGCTCGTTTTTTAAAAAGTACATGATGATATATATCAATGTGTACACCACAAGATTAGTATGAAATCTTTGTAATCCTTTTTTCTTGATGTCAGAACCCTGGCTTTGACTTTAGCAAAGCTGAAATATCTGGAAACTATTCTGGAGGAGGCCCAAAATTACCAAGCTGACCAAACATCTCCAAGCTACTATAAAATACCAAGTGGTCAATGAAAACATATCCAACCTCTCAAAACAAGATTCATGATATGAGGCTGACATGTTATGCAACCAAAGTATAGCAAGTATACAGCTCTGTAATTGCAGGCAAAAATTACTTGCAAACCTGAAAGTGCAGACACTAGTGATGCTGAAGGAACAAGCTAAAGTTACACAGAAGAAAGCTAAGAATTAGCTTCAGATATAAGACATCAATAATATAAAAACTTCAAAGTAAAATGATTTTATGTAAATTTAAAGATGCCACTCAGTACATGTTGACGATGTTGTTTTCATTTCTGGGTTAAGTTTGGTTTTTGTTGTTGTTAAGACTTCTGTTTGTCTGAAGGTGGCTCTGTTGTTATTAGAGGTGCATTGAACCATGACAAACTATGTGTCATAACTTTTTTGGTTTTAATGTGATAGACTATTAAACTTTGAGAAGACGTTCAGCTGTCATTTTGCTATAATATGAAATAATCCAATTTAACTAGTCAAATCATGTTATTATTGTTTAGGAAATTAGCATTTAAGTGGACCCTCATATTTGAAGAAAATGACTTCCAGTAAAAAGTGTTGCCATTATTTTTAGCTGAAATTTCTGGAATCAGGTTATATTGATATTATATTTTGCACTCGTCAGGTCACAACACTCATCACAGTCACAACATGATCGTCAGGGTCATTAAACACTCATCACAGTCAACAACAATCATTGGGGTCACAACTCACAACACTCGTCAGGGTTACCTATGCCAAATAAGTTAATAAGTTTCAGATAAATTGTTGGAGCAGATGTAACTTTTAAGTCCTTCAGAATTTAGCTGTTTTGTAATAACAATGGAGCCACTTTAAAATACAGGTACAGTCAACTCTCGCCTTACGGACACCCCGCTATAACAGACACCCTGATAATACAGACAGCAGATAAATTCCGGGCAAAAATAAATTACAGACATTTGACTGAAATAAACTCCCGCTATTACGGACTCTCGCTATACAGAGGACACTAACTTAAGGTCCCTACAGTGTCCGCTATAAAGGGAGTTGCATGACTGTATCTGCAATGAGAATCTGGTATGCTAGAAGTATTTTTTAGTGTTCATGTACATGGTAAAACAATCACAAAATTAAATGTTATTAACTGATTTTAAACTTTGTAATGGTGCTGATGTTGGTTCTTTAAGGTAAAAAAAAAAATCATGATTACAATAATCCTTAGTGCAAAAACAGGGCGGTTGAAGACATTATTACATATAATTTGACATTTCCAATGCCTGGTGTGACTTGTGTTTCAATACAGTTTTACAAAGATATATTGCCAAGTGGCATTTTCCATTCATCTTAGTAAGTAAGTAAGTAACTTTACTTAATCAGGGTAGCCCGTTCAGCAACGAGGCTGGTATCCACAGGGGCCCTGAGAGCAGAAGAGGCCTTTTTCTATGCATGTTTTATCAACCATCAATTCTGCAGATGCAAAATCACAAAAAAAGAGAAAAAAAAGATACTGTAATTGTTTGAATTTCAATAAATTAGGCATTTCAATCCTCATTCAATATTACAGAAATATAATAAATATTATGCATTGGTCAGTAAATTCTGTATCATTGATAGACAATCAGATGCACTTGATGTTCATTGTGTCTGTGTTACTTAGCTTCCCCTGTTGTACTAGATGTCTGAGACACCTTACATGTAAATGTGTTAGTCATTAATAGCATGCATACCGCCATTTACTATTTACTCAACTGGGATTAAACCAGCCGATTAAATTAACTTGCCCAGAGATCCTTTTGGCCATTAATTAAGAGGAATTCTTGGTGCAGACAAAAAGGAAAACAGGCTCTGGCAACAAGACTAGAATATCTGCAAGAAGAACAAGAAGGGGACCTGTACCTTGTGCAAAAATGTACATAAAATGTTAATTATTGTATTTCATATTTTAATTTGGTTTGGTAATTATGGTACAATGGATATTCTTGAGAGAAAGTCCAGAGGTTGGAGCAGTGGTTGCTCATTGGAATTCTTTGTGAGGGTGTGCCTCGCAATTTCTACCTCTTTCTTTCTGATTTCACTAGAGCAAGATCTAAACTCACACCCTTTGGGATGGCATATACCTACATAGCTTACGGAGTCGCGAGTACCACATACCCTGGGGGTAGGAAAAGTACAGAATTATCATAGTCTGCAAACCCTGCGGGGGCCATCTTAGTATAGGCACTGGGCCTGGAAAAGTATTTACATTCAATCATTTTGCAGATAAAATTAAGATAAACAAAAAATTATAAATAAAATATTATACCAGTTAATGAAATAAAGGGGAGTGGTTTTTTTGCTTTCTCAGCATGGATCGACCTATGCTTTTTTTTCGATAGATTTTAAGTTTCATTTCTGGTTTCAGAAAGCCCCAAAAAGTTCATTACCAGGACGTTTGAGGAGTAGGTTCGTGTCATTCCCCCTTAGTCCCCTTCCTACTCCCTCTTTTTCTTTTTTCTTTTCCCAGGCTCTTCCAAGTACTTTTCTGTGTGGTGGGGTCAGGGGAGGGATGAGGCACTGCATGGCAATAATATTGTGCTGCTGACCAGCAGATGGATTTCTGGGTCTTGATATGAAAGGGTATACAATTTCACTATTTAGCGTCTTGAACAGGGTGTCGTTTTGGACTGGAAGCCTTTAAAAGAGTTTGAAGGTTGGTGATGAGCTGTCTGTATGTGTGGCACAAATAAATGTTTTTCAAAAGAAATCTATCTAACATCATGGAATTATTCCATGATGTTAGTTTTAATAATTGCTGTCTGCAAAACGAAATGAAACAGGGTCTCTTTCTTCAGCAGTGTAGAGAAATAAACTCTTTTGTCTTAATTAAAAGGAACAGGGTTTGAAGGTCTCAGCAACAACCCCCCAAACTTCCCTTAAGGCTCCACCCTCTATGGGCTGTCTCACCATAAGGGACCATGCAGGGGGTGGGGCTGGGAAGGCTTTGGCCCCTCCACTTTTTTGGATGGTAATTTTTTTTTCCTTTGGTTATCCAGATGAGTCCCTTACAACACAGAAAAGGTTTAGTAATCTGACAATTCTGAACACCCCCAAACAGAGAACAGACCAACTTTGTCTTGTAGCTGTTGCCAATAATGAAAATCGGACAGGCAACATTAACACCTTCAGAGAATCCGACTTAAAAATGTTCGGATAACACTCAGTGGTTGCGTGTGTTGGGTTAGCTTCAAAGTCTATATTCATTTAAATTTTGGTCTAACGTGGGGGCCGCCAGGTTGCAATTGTTGTTTTAAGTGCTGATGTAATAATTACAAATTTATATTACTATTGACAGTTTAAGATGCATATTTTATAGCCATTTTAGAAGGCTTAGCCTCTGCCACACACTTGAAAATCCACTCCACGGGCCCTGACATATAGCCTACGTGTAGCCGCACCCTCCCTCCAATAAATACATAGCAATTAGTACTGATATAGCTCAGGCCAGTATTCCAGACCCCTATTTCTAAACTTACTGAATGCACCCCTGACAAAGAAATCTTTCTTGCATTCATTTCTGATGATAGGTCACTTGCACCAAGAGGTCACGTGACGAATGCTTCCTTTTTATACACCTTTCAAGTGTGTTCGTGTTAGAGAAAACTCTTCGTAACATCTTCGGAAGTCTTCGGAACGTCTTCGGACATCTTCAGACATTATCGGACCCTTACGAAAAATCTTGGCACTCTTAAGATAAAAAATGTCATGCCTATAAAATTAATGCAAAAAGGTTGGCAGGTATACTTTAATATAATTATGAGTTGGAATCTTGCTGATGCCAAAAATTGACAAAGCACATAAAAATTATCTTACACCCGAAATTTGAGATGAAATGCATTTAAGAGAGATATTTTATGGCAGTTTGATTTTTCAACAAAGTAATATCATTTGTATTGGCCGCCATGTTGGAGGGCATATTGCCCTCCAACATGGCGGCCAAAACTACTTTTTGCTTAGATCTTGTTAAACGTTTGATAGTTACGCTCAGATGTGCTGTAAACATTCCCACATCAACTTTTCAACATTCTTCTTGAAGTTTAAGTGCAAAATTTGTGTTCAGAAAGAGTTTTTAATAATTCATAATTTCAAAAATCACATTTTGGTCACGTGACCCGCTACGAACTTACTCATTTTAAGAAAATGGTGCAGGTTTGAAAAACAAAATCTCTATTACTTTGTTTAATACATGACCCACTAATCGTTTATTGAAGAAATATATTACTGAATAAACATATAACTTTCATTTTCATAAATCGATGTCACATGACCTGCTCTTAGTACAAATGGCCTATTCTCTAAGTCTCACTGTAAAGTATAGAATAATGCAGTAACTGGTAAAAAATTACAGACATTTGCAAATAGCACGATGCTAATAAGCGGGAATGAATTCATCAGTCACAGATTTTGTTCACTCAAACAAGAGAGAATGATCTTTTTTGACTCAAAATATGAAATTTGTATTCTGACGTCATTTAGACGTCACAAATCTTGTGTTCCCCAGTTTGGGCCAATCAGGTTCTTAGAAAATGACGTCAATTTTCATGGTTCTTTCCTTACATTGAAGCGCCATTGTCCGCTAAAGTGGGTGCCGGTTGAGAAATCTTGTTATTTTGCGAGCTAAACATGTAAGCACCCCACATGTTAAAATATGTGGAGAACTCTAAGACAAGGTTAGTGTTTTCTGTATTTAACAATCAATATACCTTTTTAACCTTGTATATTTAAGCAAGCCGTCTAGTAGGATCCGATCGACTGCTGCCATGATGAGCTCAACCTCGACAATGTTGTTCGGCTTTTTGACTGTTAGTTTAAATTTTTCTAGTTTTCAAGAACCCCGGAAATGCTCCACGTCGTCTTGGGCAGATTCAAGCTGCTGAGAAGAACGAGGACGTGAAAAATCTCTCAAATGAAGAGCAAAAAGACAGAGCTCGTCCGCTTCAACCAAACAGAAAAGTCTTCCTAGCTGCTGAAGCCGAGGGAAGTAGTCGATTCTATGACGATGCAATTAACACAGGCTTTGAAATTGTGCAGTGCATAACTCGAGGTTTTTTGAAGGAAGAAAGAACCCGTGCACTTAAATTCTCTACTTATTTTGCCAGTGGGAAACAAGAATCCTCGGATCCATACAGTGGAGAAATAGGATCGGTACGTGAAAGTGAAACTGCTTAGTCATTTAAGCTAATATTGTAGATTACTAGAAACAAAGTTTGCGAAAGGAAGTGGAAAATGCTTGTCGTCTAGGTATGTGGTTTTCAAAACGGGGATTTTAGAATGGACCTGTATGAGAAACGTATCAAAACAGATCCAAAACCATGTTTGGAAAGCAGCATGCAATTGCGTCAGCTTTGTTTCGTCTGAGTGAACCTTTATATTGTCTTTGTGGCTTTGGGGTCAGAAGGTGGGGGTGGTTGTTAGCAAACAGAGATGGCTCGTCTTTTATATATTGGGATGCGTTTCTTGATAGTCTGCATAGCTATTTAAACAAATTAGACAGCCTTATTACAGGCTAAATGTTTTGATCAGCACTGATCATGAATGTATCTACAGAATAGACCTTGTCATCACGGTTTTCGACACCATCTTGACGAGTAGGCAAACGTGTGAGAAATTACAGTGTTTGTATGAGAATCTAAATGTCGAATAATTTCCCTGAAACGGCTGTTCTGAAAAAAATATCAGTTGTAAAATAAAGCTACAAAGCAAAAGATTGTCCTAAAAAATCTGGGGGGCGTACCTGTGCTTAAATTTCTCCAGAGGCTTGCTTTAGATTTTCCATAAATTTGTCTGTAATTTTCCCGAGACTTCCTTACAGGCAAATGTATGGAAAATTTAAAAAAGTGTTTCTAGGTTTTCTAGTGCATGTAACTCCCTCAAATTTTTTCGGGACAATCCTTAGGAGTGAAGCTTTAGTTTACAAATCATATTTTTTTCAGAACAGCCATTCTATGGAAATTATTTGACATTGGATTTTCATACAATCACTGAAATTTCTCACGCGTTTGCCTACTCGTCAAGATGGCGTGCGTCGAAAAACTGTGACAAGGTCTATGTGATATATGGGTTTGTGATAGGTTGAATAATGAATACTCTGCTGAGGGATGTGGCTTTTATGCCTTTTTGGTCTGAAACTGGGTGTAGATTTTACTTCCTGTGGTCTGAAAATTGGTAAGTACCCTCTGCTATTGAACCAAAATGTAGAGTCCTAAAGTTTCTTTTGAAACAGGGTCTAGTACCCTGCAATTAAGCACTCCATTTGTGGGGATATCATGAGATGTCATGTGCAAGTAGCATGCCAAAGGAGATAGGAAACTCCTTATTCTTCCACCACTTGCAGGCCTTTTTTTCCCTCTATAAGTAAGGCCTTCTGACAGGGTTGATTTTGCTCACGCCTAGTAATGGGAGCTCCTTCACCAACTCAGTTACAAGAAGCATACTGCCCACCCCCACCGAAATTTTCTAGGAGTACCTCTTGCCTGAGGCTACTGTACGTGCTTTGTATGAATTTTCAAGCAAGCAGTTTATTGTCATAAAGGGTTTGTGGTACAATAGCCACCAATTTTTGTTGATCAAAACATTTTGACCAAGTACTGCAGATCTTCATCAAGCGATGGCATCAATTTACAAATGGAAACTGTAAGTATGGCTGTGGTTGCTAGTGATAGCATCCACAGTGGTTCTTTGAGTCCCACTCAGTAAGTAAAAACCATTGCCAGATGAAGACCTGCAGTACGCTATAGAAACATTGCAATCAACAATTAAGAGACCATTGTGGGATGCACAATTAAAAAAGATGAATTATTTTCAATTTACTGTTGTTTTGTTTTCTATAGTGGTGCAGTGGAGTATTAGCACTGTCAAGTCTTCTTGCTTGTCGCAAGGCTTTTACAGATGAAAAGTCTCCATGGCACATCAATGTCAAGAGCATCCCAGCTCAGGTATTGTCAAGATTATTGACAACCAGGCCCTATGCATCTCTAGGAATACTTCCAGTGGCAGAGAACATCGCAACCCACAAGGGAAATGCCAAACCCACAGACCCATTGGATGAGGCTATTGCAACATTCCAATCCAGCTTCAGTGAATGTACCGCAGCTACACAGAACAAGCTGGGCATCAAATTTGCTTCATTAAGGCAACATCAAAAGGCATTTCTATTATTTACACAAGCTAGTGAACGAGGCCATCCTTTGGCACAGTTTAACCTTGGCTTGTGTTATGAGAGTGGAAAGGGAGTAGACAGAGACCTGGCAAAGGCTGCAGACTGTTATAAAACATCAGCAGCTCAGGGCCATGCTGGTGCCATGTATAATCTGGCTTTGTTATATATGGATGGTCTTGGTGGCCTACCAAAGGATCCTCAACTCTCCCTAGAACTTCTTGAAAAAGCTGCAGAAAATGGTCTGTGCAAAGCACAGTCATACTTGGGGTTATACTATTCTAATGAGTCATCCAGTCATTGTGACTATGATAAAGCAGTGCCATACTTTAAACTGGCTGCTGCTAAGAAAGACTCATCTGCAGAGTATAACCTTGGTATATGTTATGAGCGTGGTCTTGGTACGGAAAGAGACATGTCAAAAGCAGCATACTTCTACAAAGTGGCAGCTGAGCATGGCCACATTGGTGCTCAGTATAACCTGGGGGTGTTCTATGAACATGGTCTTGGTGGATTTGCTGTTGACAAGAAAGAGGCTGCTCGCTATTATCGCATGGCTGCAGAAGCAGGTGATGAAGATGCAAGGCACAACTACCTTCTCATAAGAAAGCAGTTAGAGTCAATGAAACATGCCAGACAACCCATACAGCCACAAAATCTTGTGTTTTCTTTGTTCAAGAAAATGACTCAGCCTGCATCAGGAGGAATGTCTGTTCAGGATAGTTTACCTCGCTGTGCTTCCAGCCCTGGAATTTTAGATGACATTCCACTGGAAAATAGCACACAGAATGTCTGCACAGCCTCAAACAAACAGTCTAACCCTTTGTTGGCATTCTAACCAATATTTCCAATTTCATGTATTCTTGTAGAATATTATTTCCCAAGCTTTTTTTTAGACTTTAAGTAAAGAAAATAGACATTTATATAAAACAGTACAGATAAATGTGTACCAAAAAGTAGAGGTAACAAGATTACACACCAAAAACAGTGTTGGTTGTACATAAGTAACTTTTATTTACACCTTTATTACAAAAATGGAAGATAGAAAAAAAATATGTATTCTTTGTTCGAATTACTATTAACTATAGTTTTGTACATAAATAAAACCTTGTTCGTTAAAAAACATGATCAGGTCTCTTTGGTCAATAAAACTTAATGTTTACAATATCAACACTCAAAAATGTATATACAGGGGTTTCAATAAGCACCAGCTACTTTGCTAGGAGAAGTGGCTACTTTTTCTCCCATGATTGAAGCTGTGACTGAAGAACTGATTCTGACAAAACTTAAATTAAAGCAGTCATTAAACTAAAAGAGAAACCCTTTATTTTTTAACAATATGTAAGTACTTGCATGCAGTCCTATTTCTCACACTCACAGTGATTCTGTTCATATTCATTGTTTTCCAGGCAATGTACCGGTATCAGGCAGAGCATAATTAAAAACTGTGGTTATTTTAAATCATTGCTGTTCAGCATTAAAACCTGTGTACAACGGTCACCCTTGGGAAATGGCAAGGTGACCGGTATATACAGGTCAACTTTGCAGAAAATATAAGGCAACTGAAACGTTGGGAAGTTGTCTGGTGACCGTAATATACAGTGCTGTTATGGTACGGGTTTGACTGCAACAAAAATCACTGCCGTTGATAAGGAAAACTTCCAAAATCTTTTTTTTCACTCAATTAATTGCCCAGAATGCATTTAAGGGTCTCCAAGAATTTCAAAATTTTCTGGTGGAGCATGCCCCTAGACTCTCCTAAGAAGAAGGGGACTAAAAGATTTTTTTGGATACAGTTGGTTACCCTATTCAGACATGCAATAATTGTTGAAACCCCTGTATTTCCACAAAAAATTGCCAACCAAAGCTAATAATTCCTATGCTTCTTATTGTCATTATTAAACAAGACTATTGCCCTGCATCAGAGTTCATTACACCATATTAACAGGCTTAAGTAAAGTAGTTTTTGAGCAACGCACATCAGCTGGAAGTTGAAGGCCGGTACTCTTGTAAGAGACAATTTGTCCAAAAACGTGGCCAAAACCATGCCCAAGAAGGCAAAAAAGTCAATTGACGTGGGTTGCTTAAAAACGTCTTTGCTTGAGCTCCCTATTAATACTTGCATAACTTACATGACATTGCAGGTGTTTTATCAAAATTAATGAACCACACAGCTTACACTGCCATCAAATGCATGTAACCACGGGAAATGGTAAACTTTTTCCTTGACATGCATTTGTTATCCCTGCTTGAATTTGAGATAGTTTTACTGTCTTATGTATGTGCCTCTCTTAAGTACTTTTCTCTCTTTATCAATTTCCTTCATGCTTATACAACACAACGAATTGACCTTAACCTTTAGTACAGTACACTAAAATTTCAATACCTTTAAGTGAAAGATGTATGAATAATCTCTACCTTAACTAACCTCAGCTTTCTTAGCACCTTCCAGTATCAGGTGATTAACTGGGTAAATGCTTTCTCTGCTTTACGAGCTGTGAATAAAAAGACCTTACTTGTGTGCTTATCCTCAAAAAAGGAGCACTTGTATTTGAACCCCAGAAAAAATGGGCATGTAAATTAAAATAAAATGTGCCCACATCAGTCACACACTTCATAAAGTTACAAATAATGACTAGTTAATTCCTTCAATGAAGTTAATCCTATTTAAGACTGACTGCAGGCCCCTTTTCTTTGCTAGATTTGAAATGGCTTCCTTGTCTTTACTCAGCAGAATCTTGTCTTCTTCGGAGCTCCAAACATCTTTACCAGCTGTATATCAAAGAAAACATGTACGCAATAACTTTTCGTCAGAAGTTTCTCACACAATTAAAATCCAGAATTTTGACCTTCAAAATTGGAGTGATATTTTTGTACAAGAACATTTTTATTTGCCAGGCTGAACAGGTTCTTATATTTTGAGTTATTTAAATCCCAAATTTTAGCCTGTAGGTTCTTAAATCACCAGGTTATTATATGCGGGTTTTTACTGTGCTTGCCAAGGGTATCACTGCAGACTCTGGTAGGTGGGAGCATTCACATTCCGGTAGTAGGCTGAGCCTTTAACCTGTCCTACCCCAGTTATTATTATTAGTAGTAGTAGTAGTGCTATTATTGAAGCCTAAAATTAACCAAAATTAAGATCTTAATGGGTGCATTCAGTTGGGAAATCTGGATTAAAGTTAACTTCTGAGATTATCTGGATTAGATTCCTGGTACAGTTACACTGAAGTACTCAAAACAGCTCAAGCACAATAGATATCAGACTTTGGAAAAAGTCCTTCATCTCATTTCAATGTTATTATTATTGCCACTCGGTTGTTCACTTGGCTGCTTTGCATCCTAAAAAGCTCTCTCTGCTCACTTAACAACTTTTCTGCTACGAAACTCGTAAGTTCAACTTGTGACAAGTATAGTTAAACATGCCTTTGTTTGGAAGGAGGTTGCTGAATCAAAACAATACAGTAACATTATTTTATTGCAATATCAAACCTGTGCCATGCTGCAAGTAGTTTTCTGCATCGTCTAACATGCCAGAGTTGATCAACAGACTATGGATTATCTGTGGTACTGTCCACTGAGATTCTAGTTTCTGTAATTCCAGTGAAAAAATAATAGAAACTCTATGAAATCAACGTTTTTGTTTCTTAACAATCTTTGTACCAGGTGATAGGCTACTGCTGATTGACAAGTTTCCCCCTTACAACACCAACCCACCAATCTCCACCACCATTAACAACAAAAACACATACTTACGCCTTCTGCTAAATGAAATTATCCCTGTAATACATTGTTACATTTAGAAATAAACGTGGCAGCAGTAAACTGGGTGGGTGGTAATAAAAGGAAAGGAAGGCAAAAATCTTGCATCCTTACACAAACAAAACTAATAAACAATTATTCCTCGAGCCCAAATCGGCTCTGAGTCAAAAGCCCATGAGGCCGAAGGCCGAATGGGCTATTGACTCCAAAGCCATGAGGGCAAGAGGAATAATAATTATTCTGGTTGGATTCTACTAAAACAATTATTGTTTTAGTAGAATCCAACCAGTTGGTCAAAAATATCAAGACAAAATAACTTTAGCTCGCAAAACGTGATTCAGCCGCCATTGTTTTGGTTTTCAAAGCCGGCACTTTTCACTACTAGTGAACTATAACATATAGCCTAGTGGTAGCTCAACCAATCAGAATGCAGCATTGATAATAGACCACTAGTTGGATTTTACTAATATTATAAAACATGTGTGTACCCAGTGGGATTATACTGTTCAAAGCACTATTGTTTTCTACAGGAAACGTAAGGGACACCTGACCAAAAAAACCAACCCCTCACTAAAACACAGCTTGAGTTAGTTCTTGGCCTTCTTTTTTTCCCTTTACTCCTCAAATTATTGACTCCCTGGTGTAAGGTAGAATAGGGCCAGTTCCAAAGGTACAGGTCTGTCTAAAAGAAATTTAACTGAAACAATTAAAAAATCCCTGCCTTTTAACCATATGAAAGGGCTCAATTTATTAGTGTTTTGTTTTGTTTTGCTTTAGTCCATTCTCAATGGTTTTGGTAAAGGAATTTATTACCTCTCAATGTTAGAAAATATATCAAGAGCCAGCTCAAGATCTTTCATAGGTACAAGTATCACTATTTTATACCTGAATGCTTGTCTGTAAAGCCTGGAAACACAAAAATCTCCTTTTAACTTCTTCATCCTCAACTCCATTTAATAAGCGTACCAAATCTTCTTTGTTTTTTTCAGCTTCGGGGCTGCTCCCATCATTTGCATTTAAAGCCTCTTCTCCTTGAGAGACAGATGCTAAATCCTCTTTTCTTCTTACCTTCACAGAGGGGCTCTTGTCACCTTCAGCATAACCCCCCTTCCCATCTCTTTTGCTTTGTTTTGGCACAGGACTCTTATCCTGACCATCTTGAACCTCTAACCCATGTCTTTTGCTCATTTTAAACAAAGGGCTCTTATCAACAACTTCATTAGCCACCTTTCCATGTCTTTTGCTCCTTCTAGGAACGGGGATGTTATTGCTAGTCTCATTAACATCATTTCCACCTTTTCTGCTTCTTTTAGCCATTGGCCTCTTGTTCTCTTCATCATCAGTAGAATGTCTATTTGAATCTTCTCTGAAACTAACTTCTCCATCAAAGTCACTTACAGTTCCCTGTTCATCCATCTGCATCTTCATTCTTCTCGTGACAACTCTTGTCTTAGGTTCTTGGTTCGCAGGGTCTTTGGTGTTTTCATTCTCATCCTGTCCCTCTATTTCAAATCTTTCAACCTCATTGCGGTCTTTTTGAAGTTTAGATTCATTGGCTAGTTGGAGGAGATTATCATCAAACATCTTATCATAATCCACATCCTCTGCATCAGAAACACTGGAATAATCTATAACACCATGTACAAAAAGCAAAAAGCAAAAGATTTACATGGAAAACGATAGAGCAGTACATTATAACCCTTTAGTCAGCAACAAACCTTACCAATTCAGGAATTTGAAACTAAGAGTGACTGTAACCATAGTAAGCAGGTTTGCTTGAAAGAGTATGTACCATTATTTTACTGAAACAGACCAAAGTAGGGCTCAAAATAATTTTCAGAGGGTGGCCAGACACGAGGACCGGCCAATCCTTGTGTAATTTTCCATTTGTATTTTTACAAATAAACAAAAATCTAAGAGTTATAGGTGCAGTGATTTTTGTTACAAATAGTTACAGTGAGTCCTGTGACTCATCTTGTGAACAATCATGAGTCCCTGTACATAATCAATGAGTCCAAGTTAAAAAAAAACAAGGAGTCCTTAATTGAAAATGCTTGGGCCTTTATGTACCCAGACAGTTAATCTGGAGACAGACACCAAAACTCTTTATTAGTTTACTGAAATTAAAATATAGTCCTACATATATGCATCTTTAAACAACAGCCACATAAATCACACGAATAGGATATTCTACGACAAAATCTTTAAATCGATCCATCATTCTTTACATCCTATGGGATGCATGCCACAAATTATTTTGCGTCTTTTGGGATTTTTCTGTGATGGACACAAGACTCAGAGGTAACAATATCACTGCAGGTGAGGAAATTGCCTGTTTGTTCAAGAATGAGAGTATGTGTGACAGGTCAACACGACCGGCGAGTGAAGTTTTTGGCCAGACAAGTCGCCATTCTGGTCAGACATTATCCGTTGAAGCCATTATTTTGAGCCCTGCAAAGTAACTCACAGTCACCTACACAAGAAATATATGGCATACATGCACTAATTTGAAGAATTATAGGGACATCAAGGAAGTTACTGGATTTTTCAAGAAAAAATCAATTCATACTCAAAGAACATAATATTCAGCTCTAGCTAATGAGCTTGCACTTAGTTTTGGAAAAACCCGGTTAAGTAGGTAAAAAAGTAGCCTGCATTGCTGATATGCTGTAAAAAGAAGAGTCTGCCATGTTTGCCAAAAAGCCGACATAAAAGAACTATATTTTTGTACACAAGGTAGTGATAGAATGCTACTGTTACCAATCAATCAGAAAAGTAATGTACTTAGCCATGATAATATTTATATGCATTTAGGATCAAGCATTCATATTGGCTCAAAGCCAAGCCACATATTTCTTACCACTTATTAGCTCATCCTGTTCTGTGTTTGTTTTCTTCTTAGGACTGACAGTTGTCTGTGACCTTGGAAACGGCCTTAAGCTTGTCTGACCTATAAAATATTACAATTTTATTATAACAGTAATCCTATAACCACACTGTTGTGAATTAAACATACTACAGTTGTAGAGCCATGACAAAGTGCAGCATTTATTATCATTGTCATCATCATCACTACTATCCATAGCATCATGCCTACAACAGCAGGGCTATCAAAAAGGCCAAAACTGCCAGCTAGTTGGCCATCCTTACCCGGCTACCTTCATCTCCTTCTACCATAACTGCTAACAAAAAATAAGCACCATTGAATAAAATTGTAAAGCATCCATTTCCCAGTTTTGAATGACATTAAACACATTATTTAAACAGGTTTAGATCTGTGAAACATTCGAACCATGCAATGTCGTGGAACGCCTGGGATATTTCGATGGCATTTTTCCCAGTCTTGCGAGTATTTTGACGAAACAACAAGGTGTCCGTGGTGGAAAATACATTTTGAAAACCACTAGAAATGGCAATTCCAAGACTCTAAATTCAAAATGTCCCCCGATGCCTTGGCCCTCAAGAACTGGCACCTTTGGTGCGAGTTCCAAAGCCACGTACTATCCATTATCAGCCTGCTACTTTAAAACTTTTTGACAGCCCTGATAACATTGTTTCTGTTATTACATACAGCTGTAACTTTACATGTACATGCTGCAAAAATGAATTCCCAAAAAGAAATTTTCATGAAGATTGATAATAAGTCAAAGAAAGGAATGCAGGTGAATGACAGTTGTACCAACAAAAAAAATCGTTGTCAATGGAATAATGATTAAAAATTGACTAGGCCCCAACTGGGTTGACATACTGACCAATACCAGTACTTAACCTACACTTGACATTCCATTGATACAACGTATATGCATTATTTCCAATTAATTATTGCTGCCATAATGTACCTCCAGTTCAAAACTTTAAAGTTTTTTTAATGATTATCATAAGAAAAACCTACAACTCTCAAACAAACAAATTTTACTGACATGTTCGAAGCCTCCCCTTCATCGTGAATGTCAAATTCAATTCAATGAAGACTTTGTCTATTGGTATCATTGCAAAAGACTTGCATACTTGCAAAAAAAATCACAAAGAAACCTAATCCTAGACAAATTTTTATGGAAGCTTTTTTAATATGGCATTGAAAATTGTGGCAAACAATTTTAAAATTAATATATGTGGCAACTGACAGGCTTTTATTCTTTACTATGCTATCTTTCTTTTTTTGTGTAACTTCATGTGAACTTAGTGTAATCTGCCTGTAAATAAGATTTGTTGTTTTTTTAATTGCATGTTGCAATGTAGTTGTTATTCTGTCTTCAATAAAAATAATAAGAAATAACAACACAAAATGATAACAAAAATAAAATCTTGTCAGTCCCAAATATCCACTCAGCTACTTAACAATTATTCCACGAGGGCGCATTAGATATATGAGATGGTAGATAGCCAACAAGGCACATAGCGCTGAGTTGGCTATAATCGCCCACAAAATCTAGATGAATCTTCCCGCCTTAATTTTGTTAGAACAAACCGGAAAAGACAAGGGACTTCCACTATTCACATGTCACATGTCTATCAAAACTGTCAATGCGTGAACTGGATGAATGAAAAATCAAAACATTATAGCGATGAACACTTTTAAAAATTAATCGGGATATATTTCTAGGATTTTACACAGCAGGACAGCTAAAAAAACCTTGCAGATAATGTGAAGAAAAACATTTTAAAGTGCAGCCGTCGAAATAACTGTGAATTTGGATTTTTGGTGCAGTTACAAAAGTAAGAACAGTGGAGAAAAACTGTTACCTCGGTCGGTCGAAAATGAAGTTGTTTGAAGCCACCAGCTGGTTTTGCTGAACGAGAGAAGCTATACTGAGCCTCGTGAATGGCTGCATAGTCTGTATTAATTTTTTTGTAGATGGTTGATTTTGATTTATATTCTTAAAGTCGGATAAACAGGCTGCAGTTATCTATCGGCAAGTGACTAGGTGACTTCGCGATCATGAAGAACCAACATTTGTCTTCTTTCGTAGCTGGTCAAGGTATTTTAGTTTCATGTATTTTCATGTGTTTTTGATAAACTATCAAACAAGATCTTGTGGCTTTTTTGGTTTTTGTATGTTTTTCCCAATGAAATTGCATTTTCTAGTATTCTAACAAATGAATGGCATTCCATAGTCAGTTGTATTATTTTGAACAAAACACTAGAATTGCATTATCAATAAAAAACTGAATTGCATTATCAAATGATTCAGTTTTTTCCAAAATGTAAGGACATTATTGTACAAAAAAACTTGTTTTTTTTACTTCAAACAGTATTTCAAGCATTTTTGTAACAGGTTGAAATGATTGTCAGCAGACATACAGTGTTACAATAGATGAGATTTTTTTAAAACAATTTGTTTTCTCTCATTCCCAGCTATTGTTACCAACAATAGAATAGAAAGGTCTGGAGCAAGGCCGAAAATGGAGAGCACAACTGGACAGAGACACTAAGTTAAGATAGACACTATGGTTGTTTTCTCTCACAGGTGTGTGAGGCTCACATGCTTAACCATGCGTGAGACTCTTAAAAGCTATGCTAAACCAATTTTAAGAAAAAAATGACTGTTTTGCTGTCTAAATAAAACAGTATACTCCAAACTCACCAACAGAATGGTTTGTTGACTTTTCCTTCACAACTATTTGCAATTTCTTCTGGTTTTCCTTGAGTATCTGTTTTTCAAAATCTCTTGGTTTTCTTCCTTTATGAAGCAACACTTTTAAATAATGATCTCTCATTGACTGCCATGTGTGATTGGTAACCTAAACAGAAAAAGGTTATAAACACACCCACATGTATGCGCAGTTGAAGTTTGGTATAAAGCCTATACAGTCATACCGTGACTGATGCAGGACACAAATACTTTTTCTCCCCATCAAAGCAAGCAAATAACAAAGAACATGAATACTGTGTTGCATAAACCCTTGCAGCATGAGGAGCAATCACCAACATGTCTGCAATAACTGTTTAACTACTATAACAGGCATTCCTAGCTAAAACCTAGAACTATAACATTATATTCAAATGTTCTACAGCTACTCTGTAAATTTCAAAGATAAATAAAGTAGCAATAATATTGATTGGTGACTACACATATTCCAGAAATATTTCAGATCTTCTGAGTTTTCTGATTTTTTTAAATACCCATAATATTTAAAGGTATTACAATGAAAATTACATACCTTAGCTTTAGCTGCTTTTTTATACAAACTGTTTCCTTTTATAGCATGAAAATCTTTATTTTGCCGCACAAACAGCATAAGAGCCAAATCTTCCTCTTTGGTATACACTTGCCTTCCTCCTTTTTTACGGGACCTAAAACAGATCAGTTAAAATAATTATTTAAAGTTGAATGAACTTTGTGAACTTTATTTATCACATGATTCAGTTTAGCTTCATTCATAATGGAGAGAAAATAGAGGGGAACAAAACCAAACTTTTTAATCCTGACAATTTCACAATGTTGGATGGGATGATTTCATCAAAATAATATGGAACTGCGAAAGGTTTGAATCCAGGAGTAACTACCACAGTAGGTTGAGCATCAGTGATCATCAAGGTGAATGACTGGTCCTGAATAGGACTGTTGTTAACAGTCACTGACATTTTGACAACCTGTGGGTAAACATCTTCAGAGTCAAAGTGAGTTGTATCATGTCAATTGATGGTATTAAACTCTGGTTATTGACCTGATTGGTCATTTAAGTTGCAATGTTATTGGTCGTTGGTCAGTTAAGCTGTGATGTTATTGGCCATGAAGACTCGAAATGTCATTGGTGTGTTTTGATCCATCTACAAGGCTAAAAAAAACTTGAATTTCAGCTTCCTGTGGGCAAGCAGCTCTCACACTTTGCTTTCCCAGGACCTCAATCTTCTTGCTCATTCTAGTTAATGATGTTGTTAGTGGATGACTTTCCTGGACCCTTGCCCATTGGACAAGTAACTTTTAAAGCTGCTCGCCCAGCAAGAAAATATACTTGTCCCGGACAACCGGACAGGACTTTTTCTATAGTTAGAGTTTAACAGTCATTCACTGTTAGTCAAATTGTCGCTTGTCCAGTCATTCTCTGGTAGTTAGTTTTGCTTGAGTCCGTCAAATACAGTCCAGTCCAGGCGATGTTTAAAGATAATAAAAAAACAAAATAGAAAATTGTTTCCTCCAAAATATCACCAATTCTCTATGTCTTTCTAAATTACAAAACAAAATAATACCACTTTTTATAGCTTTTTGAATAATTTATCCTGAAACCTTTTCACAGAACTTTTAAATAATTATATATAATGACATGAATGAGGTCATTAATATTCATACTTACTGCAGAATTTTGCTAGTTGTTGGCCTGGGATTTGTCTGACCTTCAGAAGCTTTACTGGGACTGCTTTTACCTAAAGGCTTCAACCTTTGAAATGAAAGAATAATACATTGATTTAGCCAAGGCTAAAAGCAAAGCATCCACTTATATGCTTTTAACTACTGAAAACCAAGAAATTACATCAAACAAGCTTCAACCTATGCTAATCCAGAAATCTATACATTACTTAACTGATTTTAAAACAAAAACAAAAAGAGAAAAATTATTAAATCAAATTGGATCACAGTAATAGTCTTGGAAAAGAATTGATACCCACTACCCCCCCTCCCACTACACCCCTTTGAGAAGCTAATAGCCCATGAAAATTAAATGTTCTATAAAGGCTGGTTGTCAAGTGAGTAACTGAAATGTTTCTGAAAACCTTGTTTTCTTTGTGCTCATTTGTTCAATTCAGTGTTTTTTTTAAACCGGCTTATGGCGTTTAAAACAGATGAACAAGCTTAAAGCCTTGAAGTAAGACATTCACTAATTATCCTTACTTTTCACTGGCCACCATTGTCTAAAACCTTTCTCTTCTCATTTTCCCATTTTCTATATTAGCTCTGCTAATATAGCAAGATTTAGTAGACTGAACTGCTTAACTCAACCAAAACAAAGCAACAAGAAACTAGGATACCACAAAGAATTAAATCTTCCCTTAAGAGAGAAGGTGAATGAACACAGCAGTTTTAAAAGGGTTGCCATTTAATAAAGCTTCCATTTACAGTCAGTGATTTTGTGACAATTTTTTAAGAATTCTCACAGGTAGTTGGCCATTAAACAGAGGGTGGCTAAATAAAGAGGTTTGCTGGGTGGCTGTATTGCAAACAGCAATTATCACAAACAAAATTAAAGGTACATGACTAACCGATACTTTTTCAAGTCTTGAAGCCTGTTGTGCTTTATACTATCAAAGATATAGTCAGAAGAAATATAGCCTGACAGGTTACCACCACCACTGGGATCTGCAAGCCTGTGAATAAAGACAAACAAAGCTGCTATTTTATTTGGGAAAAAACGTTTGATTTATACTTATAACAATCATCTTTCAAGTTTAACTTAAACTTATCTATTTTTCAACAAGAATCGCCAAAAGGCAATTTTAACTGGGCGGCCAATTTTCCTGGGGGAGGGGGTGGCTGCACACTTCAGCCATCCGGCATGTCACTTACCATTGCGTTGCGTAGCATCTCATGTGAGAGTTGAACATTGTACCGTTTTGGAAGAGTTTTGTAACAAGAAAAATGAGTACTATTTTTAAGTTGGGGATGTATAGTACCTTTTCAAATTCCACCATTGTGAATAAAATAAGCAAGTGAACCATTCTAAGCAGGAAACAATAAGCGTTATTTTCACACACACCTTCCCCAATCCCTCTGCTCCCCAAAATATAGTGTGACTAATTTGACCCAACAGGAAATTCCAAAAATTATTGTTGTCACTGGTCAAAACGCTGTTAATAACAAGCAGTACATTTCTCAATTCCGATTCTTAAAAATAACAAAGCAAATTGTATTCAAGTTTTGCTTTTGTCTGATATTGTGTTATAAAGCCTTTCTAACTATCCTAGTGAATAAATAATATTTTTTTGACATGGTGATCTACAATGAGCACATTCCCCAGGACATTCCTTTGCCTGTTAAATCCCGGGGGAGGAACTCTCTTACATTAACCTTCTAGATATTGCTCTGAAATAGTGTAAAGATTAGATGAGGTGGACGATGCACCTCCACTACAACTTCCCAGAAATACCCCCGAGAAAAAAATGAAACTCATTTCTTGAAACTGGGCATGCCACAGGCCGCCCAGTTAATAAACTTATCCTGATTTAACCTGAAGTACTAGTCTGGGGCCTCATGTTTTAAAAATGTTACTCATGTGGAAATTTCATGTTCATTTTAGTTTCTTTATTGTCTCAGCAAACTATACATTCCAGAAATGGAAAGTTTGGAGCATGCTGATTTGAAAAAACTTTGTCACCAATTTTCTAACCAATCAATATGCAAATTAGATATGACATAATTCAATGTCCCAAACTTTAAGTCGTACCACCACAAGCTAGAGCCCCCAACCACTACAGGCAAGTTTGCAGAGGATGTGGCAGGAAGAGAAGAGACAACTGCAGGACCACCAAATGAGCTGTAAGTTGAAATAAACGAGGGAACAACAAGCGTACCTGAAGACTGGGAGGTAGAGCAGGGAGTACCGGAGCTCGATGCCGGATACTGTGTTGAATTTGAAGCTGAGATGACAGGACCAGATGTTGCAGCCATATTTGTGTTCCTGCCACTGGAATGACGAAGGGAAGATAGCAACAAAGGCAGTGATTGCACGAGAGCCCTTGAAATTCCCTATGTTAAAGAGTTGCAAAACAAACGCTATTAAAAAAAGATGAAAAAAGCAAACGCTCCAAAGACTGCTGCACAAATGCCCAACGAAAAACTCAAAGATCCCAATCTTGACCCAGAGCTCTTCGGCGCATGTAGAGGAGAGATTGGGATCTTTGAGTTTTTCGTTGGGCGTTTGTGCAGCAGTCTGTGGAGCATTTGCTTATAGTGTCTTTTTTCATCTTTTTTAGCGTTTTTTTGGGGGGGCAGCAGTCCTACAGCGTGTTTTTTCTTGTATCCTTTCACCTTCAATTGGTCAAGGGGTGCGAGTTGTCACATTGTATCTCATTGCTTTCTCGATGAATACTTCCTGCCAGGAGGGGCCACGTCAATAGGATCTTGGAACGCACCATAAAAAGATCATAAGAGAAAGAAACAGAGGCATTCTAGGAGAAGCTAGATGACTTTAACAAAAGATTGATCCCCAATATCCTAACATTAAGTTTGCCAATGACTACATGAAGTTTGTAGCTTGTATACGAATGCTCCTTTGTGCCACTAGAAAGTGCAACTAGAAGCTTCATTTGGAATCACTTCAGTCCTTGTGCAGGTATTCCTCTTCACTTGATCGACTTAACTATGTCCGAATGGCACCACTCTACTTTGCTCAGATGGAGCAATTCGAATCAAGTGATCCTGCTTTGCATGAAGAATTCCTGAAGGGGAACTAATATGTCAACAATCCCATTTTGTGCAAAAGGACCAGATCATGCAATTGAACACAAGAACAAACAACGACGATTCAAGGAGGTTTCAAGGTTTTGACCCAAAAACCAGCAGCTTTGGCAATATGGTTTCTCATAGCAGCTGAATTGAGTCGCTTGGCTGCTGAAGTGGAAACCTTCATAGGCATGCAAATGCACAGCTCAAAGCATCACCATGATCTATCAACCGCTGTGACTACTTGTTTTGATGAAAATGTAAAGAAGCTGAAAGAGGTTCAAAGAAAATAATCCATTCAAAGAAATGGAACTGTTGACAATATTATCACAAAAGCTGTCATGCAAGACCAGGTGAAAGATATAGTTCTCACAGGTGATCAAAATGGCCTAGAACTCAATTCTAAGTATGTGAAAGAAACAATCGTGGAGTGTGAACTTGGCATTTGGGGTCCAAAGAAAAAACTACACCTGTAGACATGCAAAATGGCAAGTTCAACTAAAAACAGCAACACAGCAGAAGATGTTGTTGTTCTAAGAGATGACAGGGCTTTTTTCACCAGTTTCCTCATTCTGGTTCTCTGCAGCCTGAGATTGAACTCAAAGGAAGCTTAAGCGAATTCAAGTTGGCTACATTTCCAAGAGAGCTATTCAGTTCGGATGGTATCCTTGAGTGTAAGAAAGACTCCCTAAGGACCTATGTGGTAAACCTGAAGCATGAGTGCAAGTCCAACAAGCTATCAGTTGAACACCTCACCAGTATCCAAGAAGAAGCAGACGTGTATGCTTCTACAAGCCTAGAGAAGAGCAACATCCGTCAGTATCCACAGCCCTGACACAGATGTAATGGTGCTGGCACTTGGAAGATTGCAAGCCTATGGATGGCACTATGACAAGCACCACTCAATTCCACTGTGTCCTCTATATGACTCACGAGGAGATCAACTTGTGGCATTCCCCGGATTCCATGCATTACCTGGAAGTGATCAAACAGTTACCATATTATGTGGAAAGTCCAAAGTCTTGTGCTGGAATACTTAAAAGAAAACGCATAAACAAGTGTTAGAAGCATTTGCCAGCCTTGGTAGCTCAATGCACTTTGAAGATGACATGGTCATGAAGCTAGAGCTGTATATATGTGCCATCTCTATGCACCTTTAAACTATGGGAAATGCGATGGTTCTTGTTCAACAAGAAGCAATATGCAGATGTGAAATTGCCACCAACAAGCCAACTACATTGCCTTAGTATGCAGTGCTCGACAGTAACGCTAGTCCACTATCCTAGGACTAGTGGAACTTCATCATAGGCTAGTAAGAATGTGCTCCTACTAGCCCCTAGACTAGTTATTTACCTAAAATGCTTTATGAGTGCTTAGTTTATATAGCGTGAGTATTATTCCCTTTATTTCATTTTATCATATATATTGTATTATTTCATTTAAAGTGGAGTTGGAGGAGGAGCCTGGAGAGGAGGAGAGGACTAGTTCCTAACCCCCTGGTATTTTTCTCTGTTGCTTTGTTTGGACCAGTGACTCTAATGTCTTCATGAGCTAGTGATTTATTTCACTTACTAGCCCACTGCCTTGTGTCCAAAAAAGTTAGTGTCAAGCACTGGTATGGAAGGAATGTGGTACCCCATGCTCAGATATTCCTCTCCCAACACCTCACGGATGGATCCAAGATGGCAACAGACTACAGACTGTTCCAATACCCTACTTCCTGCACCTAAGGTTGGCCTGAAACTAATCAAGTGCAGTTGCAAAGGAAGTTGCATCAACTAAACATGACCTGTTCATGCAAGAAGCATAGCCTAAAATGTGAGGAAATGTGTGGTTGCATTTTAAATGAAGGAAGTTTCTATTGAAGGCAAAGACAGTGATGGCAAGGACCTTTCTTGAGTGTAGTTTTTTTGCTTTGAGACAGAGGTAAAAACTTGCTTAAAATAGAAATGCATCCTTTACCATTAGCTGTTGATATCTTGATGAGCTTTCAAAGAATATGTGTCTCATTCTCTAGCTGTCAATACAAATTTATGACATCAATATCAATTTGCATAATTTAAATAAAGATTGATGTACATCAATTTGTATTTCGGATAGTTTGACAGTACAAAAATCATTATTGCCAAATTCTTCGTAAAATTTTAATACGTCGGTGTATGACGTCATCACTAATAAGCAAAAGCAAAAGCAATGGTAAGGAAAACAAAATAATATTTTCAATTGAGGTAAAAACTGTGCTCAAGGTTTAAAAATGTGACCAAAAATATGATCTTCTGAGCAGATTCATTCGCTTTGGGTCCCAAACAAGCCCTTAAATCATTAGTCAGTGATGTTATAATTACCTCATTCCCATAAAAAATGAGTCACCACGGTTCAAAAAAAAATTAGTGACAGAATGCTTCAGACAAAAGATTCGAGCTTAGAAACTAAAATGATCATGAAATCCCAATGAAAGTGACACAATTAGGCCCCAGACTACATGTAACAGGCCCTTATAATCAGTACCTGTTTTCCTATGTGTGGTCTATTCAACCAAAACTTGTTTCTGTTCCCCATAAGACCAAATTTAAACAGTCCCAGTTTAGAAGGGTGAAACATTTTCACAGCTATGCAACTATCGAAGAAACCAAAATCCACTAGGAAGTAGAGAATCATACAATTCAATCAACAATGTACCTTTCATGGAACCCACATGGAACCCAGGCTACCAAAATACAGTTGTGCTTTCAGAGTCCCTAACCCTAGCACTGGAGATGATTTAAAACTAACATTTGCATTAATCTACAGCAGCAGGTCTAGTTCAAATAGTAAGGTGCTTGTCTACAGTCGGCAAAAAGATATGTATCTAATTCCCACGACCAATACTTAGGATCTCAGATTACCTGAGGAAGAAGTTCCTGTCTTTGCCCTAAACAAATCACATGTGGTTTGCAGGGCTGTTGCAAAGACTTTTGCTGGGTATATGCAAATTAGTAGGAAGGGAATGGAACAGCTACGTTCTGTCAGTGTTAGCTCCGTTTTTTTTCCTATGAAAATAACCAGCAGTTAGGTTTATAGGAGCAGGGGGAAATCCCCAGCTTCCGGCCTTAAGTGACAGCCCTGGGTCTGGAAAATCACACAAAAAGACAGTGTCCTTAATAAATACAGTGTACATACTAAGTTTAAATATTGACACTTGAATTAAAAAAATGAAAGGTAGATGATTATGTCTACTTACATGATGGAATCTTTCAGGACTTTACTGGACAGTTCACCTCCACCATGCTAAAGAACACATAAATAAAAACCAGCAAACTTATCACTCAAAAAACAGTAGTTGAAAGAATAATATAGAAAAACATAACCTTAACCCATTCGCCCCGCAGTTTTGGCTCATTATAGACAGAGAGTGACCAGAACACAACTTGACTAGCTTCAAAAGGAGATTTTCAGCAACATTCAGAGAGCAAATGGGTTAATTTGTTGATAGTTACATTGTACATCCAAACATTCAGCAACATCCATCCTTTAAAAGACATGTATTCTCAATTTCCCACATTTGTTAAACATCATTTTCAACACAAAATAAACCTTCAGACAACACTACACGCCAAATAAGATTGATTGTTGATACCCCGGAAATCGAACCGCGACTATTAACAATAATAACTAAGTACTATTTTACAGATATCATAGGAGTTATATAGAGTTAAATTACATAGCATTTTATAGTTCAAACCTAAAATCAGGTCTCTTTGTGGGGGGAGGGGGGGCACTTAATTTTCACTTTTAGCAACTAAGTTTGTCTCACTTCTCCATCACTAATGCTATTATGTGCTCATAATACATTAAGGCTTTGTTATTTGCAATCCATGTGTGTCAGTCTGTACTAACTAGGGTATATAATTTCATGTGAGTCTGCCAACAGGGTTTATGCTGAGGTTTCTTATGCACCTTACGATTGGCTTAATTCTTGGGTGTGCGTGACAATTGGGCACAGTGACGTGTCAAAATTCACAGAAGGGAGTTGGCAAGGATCGTTTACAGTAAACAGTGAATGAGAAGTTCAAACTTTAAAGCCTTCTTCTGAATAAAAAATGCTTCAAATTCCTTCAAGGCCAGAATTTGCTTGTAAATTTGTCAACTGGTTTTCCAGCGTCTTCCAATTGCTGCAGATTCACTGCCGCGTATTCTGCAATGTAGCTGACAGTTCTAGCGTCAAAACAAATCAGGAAATCATGATATTCACAGCCAAAACAAAAATACAGACATCTTGCTATTCAGGTCCAGGCATTTCAGAGAAAACCAAAGAAACTAAGGTTATTTAGTCACAATAAAAAAAGCTTAAGGCTTAAACAGGTAAAAGAAATCATTTAATAGTAAACTGCATCTGTGATCAAATCCTGTCAGAAAACATCTGCAGAAATCAGAAACCCCAGGAACTAATTACTCAATATGCATGGAACAGACCAGCTTCATAACCTCTAACTGTGAAACTCAAGGCGGCAAAACAAAACTTGCTCAGTGAAAGTGTAGAATACTCCATGCACTGGATAAACTAAGCAAGAAGAGAGCAAGAAAATTAACTTTCGTTGTTCAAGCTAAGGTCACGTTTCACACTATCATGAGCTCAATCTCTCATCACAAGCTATTAGTCGTGTTTCGCCCGTCAACACTTAATTCAAATCAGACTGATCACAAACTGTATAAGAAATTAGCCAATCAAAAACACTGACATATGTCCTTGCGGCACTGCGGGATTCAAACATGATAGTGTGCACTAATTCACAGACACTCTAAAGAGAAGGTTTAGAGCGTCTGGGATGCAGGCAAAGGATTTTAGGGAGTGTTCTTACAATTTTTCGAAGGAAAAAGAAGGGGATGGTAAAATTTTCTGAAGGCAGGAAGGGAGACACAAAATGTTTTAGATGCCATTAAAAGATTAAGTATTATTTTGTAACATTATTGATAAACCACTAAACAAGTAAAGTTTCTTATTTTCTGGTTCAATCAGAAGTAGTTTTTATTATTAATGCACTATGCTACAATGTCCTTTGCTTTGTGTAGTAACAAGCTCTATTTACAAAATCATTACTGCCACTTTTATTAATAACGTCACAGATTGTTTTCATGCTCATTTTTGTTGTCATTATTGGCATCATTTTCAGTATCATCATCATCAGCATCATTGTCATCAAAATTAACCCACCTTTCTCACTTTCAAAGTTTTAAAGTTATATTTAAGTCCTCAGCTTCTATGTTCGCAAGATTTAAGTCAACTTTCACAGCTTAGAAGAAATGAAAATGATCAGTAATAATTGGTTTGTTGGCTCTGCAGTTAAGCTGCAAATTTCCATCAAGTTGACAGCAAATAACTAATTATTAGAAAGCTTTTTTGATTTACATCAAGGATGGAATTTCTTAGGATAGAAATTTCTTACGAATGCAGTGTCATTAAATGATATCAATCAAGGACTATGACAATCAGTGATTTTTACCTCTGCATCCTGTGTCCCTGACACATAAAAATCCCCAAAAACGCAAAATAATTCATGGCATGCGTCCTGTAGGACACAAAGATCGATCGATCAATCATGAACATTGAAATATTCTGTTCGTGTGATTTCTGTAGCAGTTATTTTGGCTGTTGTTTAACTATGCATATTTCATTCAGCTTTTGTTGTGCTTTAATGTAGAAGAACTAGTTTTTGAGTCTTTCTTCAGATTAGACTCAATTACCAGCCACTGTTTGGGAAATAAGCCCACACTCCTCCCCTAAACAGACAGCTGCACAGAGTTTGCTATCGTCAATTACCACCAATCAGATCATTGCCTGCTCAAATCAAGCAGGCAGCATAAATCTATTTTCCTGGAGCAGATTTCAAACAGCAGATGCAGAGGTGTTGTTTGATGTATCATGCAATCGTGATTGTGCAAAATCAATGCAAACACCTTAAATCAGTACATGTTTCTGCTAATTTTTATGGTGAATACCAAAGCAACCAAGAGGCAAAGCAAAACATGTGTTTAGTATTTTCAAAAAGGCATTTCTCATTTCCGCCATTTGGTAACAATAAACAAATTAAATTTTGAATTTACATCACAGATGTACAATAGGCCACTTATGCAGCCAGCTGTCTCTTAGCGGGGAGGACCAAAAGAGGGGCGGAAATCGAGCCTATCTTGAGATTTTCTGTCTGGTTACATAAAGGCCCAAGCATTTTTAATTTTCGACTCGTTGTCTTTTGAACTGGGACTCATGATTTTTTAACAAGATGAGTCCCAGGACTCACCACAACTATTTGTAACAAAATCACTGCTACAATGTTTGTAAAAAGCTTTCCTTCTATTAAGCCACAATCGGTAGCTGGTTGAAAATATGCTTGTTTGAGTTAATAGACCACATAGTTTGCAGTACAGGACCAGAAGCTTTCCGTGGAGTAGGCAAAGAGCCACTGATCTCAAATAATATTTTTCTTTTGTAAAAACTCATTTTCGAAGTCCTTACCATTTGATGGTAAAAGAAAAATAAACTTGAACCAACATAAATTTTGACCCAATGCATAACAAACATTACATTCATTTTTTTCTCTTGGTGATGCAATACGCTAGCTGGTAATTTGGCCATTAACAGTTGAAAATGGTGAATTACCGTAAAATTCCGAAAATAAGCCCTGGGGCTTATATTTTTCAAAGGCCCTTTTTGAGGGGTTTATTTTTGGAGGGGCTTATATTCGGAGGGGCTTATCTATGGAGGGAAATTTGCGTTTCAAAATCGATTGGGCTAGCCTTATAGTTGGAAGGAAATTTACCATTTTTGCATTGTTCTACCTTTGTATTTGAGGGAAATTTCCAAGTAAAAGCCCCCCAGGGCCTTATATTTGGAGGGGCGATTTAACGGAAGGTTTTACGCGTTACGAGTTTGGGGGGCTTATATTTGGAGGGGCTTATTTTCGGAATTTTACAGTAACTTCCATCTCCTCTTTTGGAGAGATTTGTATTTCACTGAATGTAAAGTATATGGACCTTTCTTCAGAGGCAAACTGACTTGCAATTTCCTTTTCTTTTCATGCTTAACTGATTAGACCATTCAATATCTTTTAGCACCAGTTGCATAGCTTTTGATCATCTGCCTTTTTGTTAAAATAATTGCGCCCCTTCAAAATGTATCCTCTGCACCCTCTCCTGCAGTATAAATAATGAATAGAGCCTAAATAGACCCTCAAGGATCGTTTACACATACAATCCAAGCAAACGTACAGAGACAAGGAGCAACTGCAATGTTTTTTTTTAAACATGAGAATAGCATTGAACTATCTTTAAAAGACAATTTTACAGAGATAAACATTAGGGTATCAGATACATAAAACGGCTGGTGCACCATATACCAAGTGAATAGCAAGTCTAGAGTTACGTCACAACGAACACAACAATGATCCCTAGCCCTTAAACAATAACACAATAAACTCCACACAATAGAACAACACAATAGTGCATATATTGACTCGGTATATCTATCGAGGAACACCCCATAAAACTGTACGAAGGTGACTTGCATTAAAATAATCAAGTAAAAAATATTGGACAGTACATAATGCCAACTGCAGACTGACTGCAGACCATTGTTTTCACGGTTAGAAAACAATGGACTATTAGTGTCACGTCCTCATTTGCATGGTGAAAACAATAGACCTTGTCACGGTTTTCAACGCCATCTTGACCAGTAGGCAAATGGAAAGAAATTACAGCGTTTGTATGAGAATCTCATGTCAATAATTTCCGTAAAACGGCTGTTCTGAAAAAAATATGAATGGTGAACCAAAGTTTCACTCCTAAGGATTCTACCGAAAAAATTGAGGGCCTTATATGTGCTAGAAGACCTAAAACCACTTTTTAAAATTTTCTATACATTTGTCTGTAAGAAAGTCCCGGGAAAAATTACAGACAAATATATGGAAAATTTAAAGCAAGCCTATGGAGAAATTTAAGCACAGGTACGCGCCTAACATTTGTTAGTACAATCCTTTGTTTTGTAGCTTTACTTTACAAGTCATATTTTTTTCAGAACAGCCGTTTTACGGAAATTATTGGACATTAGATTCTCATACAAACACTGTAATTTCTCACACTTTTGCCCACTCGTCAAGATGGCGTCCAAAACCGTGACAAGGTCTATGGTCTACAGCAGTCTGCATTTTGTACTGACCGAGTACAAAATGTAAGCTTTAAGCCAAACCTATTCAGACATACGTGTATTAGCGGTCGTAGCCTGGTTTTCATCAAAGAAGGGGTCATGTAAAAAAGCATGGGCGATCCATCTTCTGTCAAAAAGAGCGTAGAACATCTTGGGAGCTCGTCTTTTCCACAGACTTCCGCCATGTTTTGCTCAATATTTGGCGCGCAGGAGCGTTGCCTCTATTTCATGCTAAACTAGAGCCCAGGGCCTGGTTCCTCAAACGATGGTTAATTTTTACCCATGAGTTCAACCTGGGTTAACCCTAAACAAAAATAAATACTGTTGAGCCTTTATTCTGAGACACAAAATGTTACTTTAAACAATGCATAGGAAGTTAAAAACAGAAAGTGGAAAAAAATTGTAATCCTGGATTAGCGTTAATGGGCCTTTCATGCTAAGGCACCGAGCCCAGTCTTCTCTCAAGCTGGGACAGCCGCCCGCGGTCACAAACGGTCACTTTTTTCCACAGGTTTTTCCGGGGGGTACTCCTGGGAATTAATGATTGGAGTGTGCCGCCCGTTTCTCCAAATCGTGACCCTATTTCAGACCAAAGAATGTAATTTTCCAGACCCATTTTCAGACCAGACCTCTAAAATCCATACCCGTTTTCAGACCTGTCCTTTAGACAAAAATAGTGTTACCATTACTTAGATTAGAGCACAAACAAAACATTCTTCAAATCTATTTCGAATTCGCATATTTATCGTTCTCCCTTATTCATTTGGAATTGAAACGACAAATACGCTCATACACTCCCGTAGTTCCCTCGAGACCCATACCAGATTAGAGACCAAAATGGACGAAGTGTATACCCGTTTTCAGACCAAAACGGTGCAAAAACCCTACCCGATGGGGCAGCACATACCTATATAGCTTATATAAGGGAGTACCCCCCCCACCCCCGCTGCAGAGAAAGTGTTTAAAAAAAATAAAAGACATGAAAGGCTGTTAAAGGTTAACTTTTATCATGACAATGATTTTTCTTTTCAATGTACCAAAGAAATGACACAACAAAAACCCAGATAAAACAAATGTCGGCCCCCGTGTCATGTTATCTCGTTCTCAGTAGACAGAGACCACGGATTTTTGTTGGTTGTATCGCTTGATGCTACTGGTCATTCTTAATTTACGTTTGATTTTTTTCGTTTGTTTTTAGTAGGCGTTGACTATGTTTGTGTTAATTGTTTTGCGCGCGCATTTAATCCTTGATAAAAAGTTGCAATGCTGATATTTAACTGACAATTAAAAGGGGTTAAATACTACCTGGTTAATACGACTAATACGAGAATGTCGTAATACATGCATTTTGTCGTGAAATTACTTTCAGAGCCAAGACGAGTATATTGATTGAATTAGGTTTCCGAGTTCAATATCTGGAACAATTTCCCATTTAGATCAATTTCTTTAATGCGTAATTTAAGTCTAATTTCCTTGAACTTGAGTGCTTTGAGTTTTTTTTTCTCATTTTTAATTTAATGAAACTGACCAGAGTCGAAAAGACAATAATGCACTTAAAAAATACGCTTCAAGCACTTTGTACCCGACCACTTTAGGTTTCGTCACGAAGCACCTATTTTTTGACTTGCAATTGCGCTTTCATGGCCTCTAGCGCTCTACTGTTTGTGGCGTCGTCAGCTATTTTGCCGCGTCATCTTTAGCCTGGCAACAGGCTCCACAGTGGGGGAAAAAGGCAAAAAACGGGGTCAAACAGGAAAAATATCGGCGAACGAATCGAGCCCAGTGGTGGCCTGGGGAGGGGGAAAGGGCGGCACCCTTTCCCGTCCGCCCCAGAGTACCTCTCGGCTCTCTTCACTCGCCGATTTTTTTTCCTTTTTCGCCCAATGTGGAGCCTGATCCCAGGCTACGTCATCTTTTATTTTTTAACGCAGCGAGTAAAATGAAAAAGTGCGGGAATTGATTACTTATATCTGCCTGGAATTGGTTCAGAGTTTTCATTTTAAAAAATGAAGAGAAAACTTGCATCCTCGCGAAATTCGTTCAGTTCGCCACTTATCTTTATGGCTGTTTTTTTATTTACTTGTGGCGCTTTCCATTTGTCAGAACTGACCGGCCAGGACATTCCCTTCGTAACGAGAATTGTATTTTTAATCAAAGCTATCCAGCCAGATCAGTCAAATCCTAAATAGCACGCACGAAGGAAATCATTTTTCATCAAAAACTCGAAAGCCTATTTCATTTTCAAAATGACCGGTGCAGCCATGGTCCGACCTGCCAGGAGGTCTGACTTTAGGAAAGCGCCCTTACTTTCATTACTCTTATTATGCTTTTTTCAAGTGGCGTCGGTTAAAATATGTGAAACACTGAGATCACGGTTCTGGAAGGGACAAGCTGGTGCCAAGGAGACAGAAAGGAGCTGGAAACACGAAGAAACTACGAACAGCATAATATCATCCTGGGGTAGGCTCCCTTTCGCCATGTTACGAAAAGAAGTGTCACTTTGACTAAGAGCAGAAGTAAAAGATCAATAAATTAAGATCGTTCTTTAAGCATAACCCCAAAAGATCGCTTTACTGTTGACGGTTTCGACGCCTGACAGCCGTATTTTCAAATTAAACTTCCTCAAGAGTAATAAAAGATGATGTATTTGCATTTTATATGAACAGCAAAGCCTATCTGACGCCGCAAGAATATTAATTTTGTATGATCTCTTACATTTAGCGTTTCAATGAAAATTACTTAAGTGATCCCTCATATATTACTACTGGCGTGTAAAAGCTGCTAATTGTCCGAAATTAAGCACAGCACGTTGTCGTCTTGAAAATGTGTCTGTCTGATATCAAATAAGTGTATAGTGAAAATACTGCATTCGGTATATCATGGGATATATTTTCTAATCTGCCTGGCCCAGACAGAGGGTCGTTTCCTTTCGTACTGCCACCTAGTTCATGAGGGGGAACACTACGTCTCACGTAGCTTGATAAGGAACAGAAAAAAATAAGATGAAGAAGTTGCATGACCAAATTCGATAGATAAACCACTCGCTCAACAAAGCGCGGTCGACGCCTATAGTGCGTGGGCTGTTCTAACAGAGCTCCAGAAGGAGTTATTCATCACCAGTTCGTGTTTAATTTAACAGCTTTAGAAATCCCAACTTTTGAGCATTTTTTGTATTATCTTTTTTTATTTCTCGGAGATATTAGCTGTTGTAGCTAGTTTATGATTCAACGTGAAATTAAGTTTATGTATGTACCAGAATCCACTATAAATTATGCCCCAAATATTTCCCCCGAATCGATGTCTAGCCTGTTCACAGACCCTCGATTTTCTCTTCAAAGTCCGTCGAGCGCTCGTGGTAAAATATGAACCGCAGGGGATTTATTGACCGCTCGTTCTCTCACGCTCGCTTCTCTCGCCGATGTTTTCGAAATGAACGAAAAGAAAAAGAAAACAACGTCTTTGTACAGGCTAACCGATGTCTGCATTAACGTTTGGCTCATAACTTTCTCTTCAATATTGGTTGTGTGGGTGTTTATCGCGACTAAATGTTTTCCCTAATCATTATCACGATCGATGATGAGAAAGTTGTCGATGTTTCCACACGCGTGTATCACTAAAAGATTAAAGGTGGCTTTCAACTGTTGCACAAGTTTTACGTGCGTACGGGCGTAAATTTTACGCTGTAAATAAAATAAAGGCAATGTATGAAGAGTCGCCCGTAAACGTAAAAGTTGAGGGAGGTTCAACTTTTATGTTTAAGCGCAACTTTTTATTCATTGCCTCCATTTCATTTAGCCACGTAAATTTTACGCGAAAACGTACGTAAAAATTACGCGATAAGGCAGTGGAAATCCACCTTAACCTGCTTTCTCGGAATCTTGCACGGTGTTTATGGTCGTCTAGAAGCAAGGGTTAGGATGTGAAGACAAGTTTATTAGAGCGAAAGCAAGCCTCCCGCGCCTCTTCTTAATTCATTTCATTCATGTCCGACTCACTAACTGTCAAAAATGACCATTTTTGAAGTAGTTTTCAATATCGAAGAATTAACCAGCTGGCGCTCCCGTCATTGTGTGGTGGTTGGTTCATTTCGCTACGATATTATTCATCTTTCTAGCTGTTTATCAAAATTTGTTCTTTTTTTATAAAATCTGAATCGCCCAACCACTTGTCAGGTATAAGAACTTTTGATACCTCTCGTTCTAAAGTCTTTTGTTTCTCGATCTTCACAGTACTGAAAATTTAAAAGAAACTCATAGGTGTTGGGATAAACATAATATAGGGTTATTTTAAGCGTAATTGCAGTTTTAAGCAGATGTTGTGGTTATAGTAGCGACTACACCGAATACTGCACGTGGAGCACACCAATTTTTCTTTAAGCTTAACAACAGAAGGCTTCCTTGACAATTAAGACTTGCTTTTTTGGAGTTAAATTAACTTTAACCATAATTTTACATTAGCATAATAAAATCATATTTTATTTAGCAGGTTTAGGGTAAAAATGTTTAAAAGCTGTGAAAACAACCTCGAGTCATACAATTTAAACAGAAGCCGAGAAGCCAACGACGAGTTAGCATCATTACCTCAAGCCTGATTGGAATTTCACGCGAGATCAAATCTTCACTTCTTTTAACTGGAATAACTGAAAGCAAGAAAAATGTAAGTTTGTCCGTTTTAAAGTTATCCAGAAAGTCCAGTCAGGTTTTTTGGAAATAAGACGAAGCCATTTTAAACTCTATGAAATATCTATATAACGTTGCTTAGACCATTGAAAGCTAATGTTTCGAGCCCGTTTTACTGCTTAACTTAGCCTGCCGACGCAGACATATTTCTGGTTGTCGCTAAATACGTCTGCTTTGACAGGCTGTTTTACAAATCTTGGAAAGTAAAGAATTCAGACTGTTAAAAACACACTGTTTTCATTTATACTCAATTTTTTTTGTTTGTTTTTTCATGATTGCGGATCTGGACAATCGATAATCCTAAGTCTCAGAAGTTTGCGAGTAATTTCTTGATGTATAATAACCCGGGAAAACAGCCGATATTTCAGGACGCCACGACTGGTTTCCTAGCGAAATGACGTCTGAGAAACGAGCGCAGAAATTCTATGCTGACGGCTATCACTACCCACTAATTCTGATTGGTTGAAGTAAATTCTCCTAGGGGCATGACCATTGATCTATGGGTGACACGTCATCAGTGTGGAATTCTGCGTTCGTTCCTCAGACGTCATTTCGCTGGGAAACCAGTGGCAGCGTCGCGAAATGTCGACTATTTTCTTAGGTTTATAGTGCCTTAACTAGAACAATGACCTTGAATTGTTCCAGGATTTTTGTATATATCATCGATTCTATTTTTGAAATAATCAGTTCTATGAATTCTAACTTGCCCTGAGTACCCAACAACTTAGTCCAAATTTTATTACAAAACCATCCAGGAACTCTTATTGATTTATTTTTAGGATGTCGAAAGTTAATTAAAAGGTAGGGAAAAAATGCTACCTTTTGCCGGAGTTTCTCACGGCTCATGCACTTCTCGTTGTGTTGTTAACTCCTTTGTAGATGACGTGCGAGATAAGACCTGTCATGATAATTGCAACGGTGGTGACTGTTCTGCTTTTTCAAACTGTGGAATGTGGTCTACCATGCGCTGACAGGTGCTGGGAGACCTACGACATCTGCACTGCTGATTGTAGGAGCAATGACTGTATTTTCAGGGACTGCGGAATTCCCTTCTCTCAATGCAACCATGCCTGCTATAGGAAAAGGAATTTAGCGCTGCGGGGCCTGGACAAAAAGAGTGCTGAATTAGAAAACGACGAATTGTCTGCTTTTCGTTTGAAACGTTAAATCAGTACAAATTTAAAAGTCACTATGTCTAAAATAAAGACAAAAAAACAAAAAATGAGAGTAAAACTTTGTACCTTAATTTTTGCAGATTATAAGCAAAAAATATATTTGTTATATCCTATAGCTTTTTGTCTTGTCTATTTAGTTCTATCATTAAAGCTTGTACTGCCAATAACTCGTCCTTGTTCGTCATGGAACTTAGGACAGGTCTCCAGGAGCGACGCAAATGAAACGCATGGCCGGTGCGTATCTTTTACCTTGCGTTCTCGCTTGCATTTGCATCGTCCCGGTTAACACGTGTGAAAATCAAATTCTGTTCTAAACAACAGTCTTCCCAACAACACTCAAATAACAACGAACAACATTTCTTATTTATTGTGCCGTAGTAGGCCCCTACGCTTTATTGAAGACCAACTGAGCCTAAAAAACGGAATAGTAAAGAATGCATCACAGAATACATCAGGTCGTAATCATACAAAACATCTTACAATTAATCAAAAACTCCACGATAATTTAAATTTCACGCAGAAAAGGAAGCGTAACGACCGAGAATGACTCGCATACTAAACAGCCTATATTTATACCAAAATACAAATACTACGCTGGGCGTATTAAAACATACAATTGCATTCAGAAATACTGGAGTCGTAATCATACAAAACATCTTACAATTAATCAGCGGGTAAAATAATAGCGAACAGAAATCAATTCTTTCGAAATGCTACGCAACCGAAGAGAATTTACAACGCTGTCACCCAAACACAAAAGACGGCGAAATCACCAAGGCAAGAAATGAATTTTCCTTTTTCAAGTTTTTTCTTCGTCTGTGATAAGACCCTTCACACTCGAATTTTCTTGTGTCGTACGTGTAAATCAGATCTTAACGTTACTACTTTAGCGAAGTAATTACTTGCGAATGCAAAATCACAGCCTCGTGGCAAACACCCCCCGGTAATATGTCTCTCGAAAGTTATATATAGTTATATTTCAAAATCAACAGAGACGAACTTTGAAAAACTGTGAGGTTTTCTAAAACTTTATTGTTATCGATCCGCTTTAATCTTCTTCGATTTTGTCCACCTGTACGTCTTCTTTTGTATATCTGCTCTAATACTAAAAGCCTTCCTTTATTGTTGCTTTTAATTAAGAGCTTGTTTCTGTGTTTGGCTCAATTTATTGGCCGGTTTCCACTGCCTGAATTTGACTAAATTTTGAGGTACAGCTCTTATAACATTACCCATTGGTGGTTACCATTGACCAATTAATTAAATGGGACGTAGTAGTATAAGAAGAGCCAAATTAACTTTTTTCCCGGGGGGGGTAACGAAACCTTAACCCCGATGGCGACAGGCGCCTCTGTCAAAGTTATCCTACCTGAATATTTTACCCGTCAACAGGTAATTATTGATTTACTGTTAGTGCCAAAAGAGGTCATCATAGACCACGCTAATAAGCGTCAACTTAACAAATTAAAAGATGTAAATATCCCAGCTCTAAAATGTTTAACTTGATATTGAAGGGCCTCCATGGGGTTAGGGGAAAAGGGATATCTTGAAATATCGTTCAGGAGACCAACCGGAAAACTGCTGATATTTCAGGGAAAGGGGAGCATCCGGCTTTCCGTTACCAGCATTCTAATATAATTCCTTGTTCATCAGTCTAGATCATCAATTCAAGCGCATCAATTCAGTTACTGGATTACAGGACGGATTGTGCAGGTTGTTAGCTAGAATATGCAGCGCTAAACTTGATCTTCCATTCAAAGCATCTATCAGGAAGAACCTTTTCATTCACAAACACGCGAGATAAATTATAATGGCTAAATGACACAGATAACTGATCATTACGCAAGTCCTTGTTGAACGAAAACTGGTACAAGAAAAAAAAAAGAAAGAATACTTGCTTTCGCTTCGGCTCATACTTTTAGCAACTTAACTCAACAAATAATTGTAGTGTTTTCAAGGTCGATAAATTCGGTCAGTCCTGGGAACAGAACAGATCAATTACCGATTTAATTTTTTTCCCGCGAGGAATATAATCCAAACACTGACCCTGCGAGAAGAAGCTGCTTATCTTTCGTACGCGTTCATACCGACAAAAAGTATCCACTGTTCTCAGGCCAAAGAAAAAATGTCTGATTTAAGGCCCGTTACCCGAACTATTTGAGCTTTTGCGCGACTTTTGCTGATTTTCGGCGGAATTTTATGGCATTCCGGTCTTTATGCGTGGTATATTGTCTATACTGATAAAAACTATAAATAACCTCAGCTTTGTGTTCGCTACCTCACTCTCACGCGAACAAAAAGTTCCAATGAAATCGCGGACAGTTCACAGCACAAAAGGCGCTGAACAAATAACATGCAAACTTCTGCTTCATTAAGAATGATTCTTCATCTTTCACCTACTATCATTTCTCCAACCCCATTATTTCCTATTGTGGAAGGGAATCAATGAAGACTAAAGTACAGTTGACTCCCGATAACTCGAACCCTCACTAACTCGAACCTCGCGCTAACTCGAACCAAAATCGATTTCCCCTGGATTTCCGTCATACATTTACTGTAATTTTACCCTCGGTAACTCGAACCGTCGATAACTCGAAACTCCCGCTAACTCGAACCATGTTTTGAGCCCTTAAAAAGTCGGGAAAAAAGAGTGTACTGCCTCCGAAAAATTGAATTTTGAATTTCCCATTGACGTGTTGTAGGCATATAGTTTACTAGTGGATCGATAGTGGAGGCGGATGTTGTTTGCCATAAATCTAACGTGAAATAGCTTTACTTCTCAAAAAGTAAAATGCATGCTCTATTTAGGCAACGTTTTGTTACTTAACGTTCTGATTTATAATCTAACAGTATCTTTCAATTTTCACTCAACATTTTTACAATTAGATGTGATTAGAATACTCACTGTGCAGTAAAAACTGATTTTTTCCTTACTCCCGGCTATTTTTTTCGAGCTCCCGATAACTCGAACCTTTTTCGATTTCCCTTGAAGGTTCGAGTTATCGGGAGTCGACTGTAGATCCTTAGTCTAGTATCAAAAAAACTTTTTCAGTGAAGATCTTTAGGAAATTGTTATTTTTTCAAGACAGAATAACGGGATAAACTGTTCACTGTCCTCTATTTTCCCGTAATATCGTCGAGATCGAGCGCTATGCGTTACGGGTTGCCATCTTGGATGACGGTCAAAAGTACGTAGTGGGCAGTGGCAGTTTGGGAGGAAGCGAGAAGACTATTTTCTCGCCCTCCTCCCCCTAGAGCTGCAGATATAATCCCCGACGCCCGCCCCATCGGTACATTTGAAAATCAAGGTGGCGGCCATTAACGGTAAGACGCGTTATACGATGACGATCTCTCGGAAAAATAGGGGACTGTGAACTATCTAGTAAATGGATTCTCTCTTGATTTCGAGAAAATTTCGAGGGTGGAAGCAGATTAAAAACAAGGTGAGTGTATAGTAATTGCTTTTTTATGTTCATTATGTCCGGGTTTGTGTCTTTATTTGCTTGTGGACGTCTTTATCAAGGTCTCGATACAGAGCGTTTCAGTGATAAATGTCAAAGGAGAAGGGAGATTTTAATGTGTTTGGCCGCCCTATTTGCCGATTTGCGAATAAAGATTGCACTCGAGAGGATGCGCAACGACGATTTTTAGCGCAACACAGTGTTGCAATATTGTTGCGATATTGTCTTGAATGGTTGCACGATGGCAACGCTGTGTGGGGCGAAAAATCGTCGTTGCCTGTCGTCCCGTGCAACATCACCTAAATGAAGGTCTGAAGATCAAATCCTCCTTCATTTTTTTCTCTGTGCATTCAGCAGTAGTGAAGTGCCAGGCAAAAATACTTCTAATCGGAGTTAAACCGCCGACTTTAGCTTGCTGGTCTTGGGAGAAAAGAGAGGAAGGTATGAATGAAACGAGCTTTGCGTCTAAAAGGACTACGAAACCACATGCAAATCAAAGTTTTCTTCACACTCTGAGGCATTAATTTGATGTAATATATCAAGCAAGAGACGCAGTCTTCATCACCAGATGAAACACCGAGAAGAGAGTTGAGAATACCACACGCAGCGGAGTATTTTTGACCAACTTCGAGATGTTTCATCTGGTGAAGAAGCACTGTGCCGAATGCTTGATATTACTTCTCAAAGGAAATAATTTTAGAAGGAAAAATTTAGGATGCAAAAAATGAGCAGTTTTTCAGCTGATTTCCAAACACTCATTACATTCTTTATGAATTATTAATGAGTTTGAGAACGCCACGTGTCAAAATCTCTTCCAGTTGAGGTAAATATTTCAGCTTGTAATTTGACCATTGAATCATATTTGTCAGTTGAGGGGAAAAAATTTAAAGCTTGGAACCATGGATATACTGTATCGCTCTCTGACGTTAACCCCTGACCAACCATTTAACTGTAAAATTATTTGACTACCGCGTTTACAGGCTTGAATTTCTAATCTCAGGATTAAATTTGAAGTAGTTCCGAACTTTTTCCTGGCAGTTCACGTTGCACAAAAGAAAATTAAATGGGCTTGTAGCGGAGTAGACTACGAGTAGTCCCCATTTTCCTCAGGGATAGTAGAGCGAGCGAAAAGCAAGCGCGCGTGAAAATCACCCGACGCGAGAAAGGCGATACGTGGTGGGGAGAGAGAAAAATGAGGGACTACAGACAAAGCCCAAGCTTTTGAACTTATGCGTCGTTCTCACAACGCATAGACTACGAGTAGTCCCCATTTTTCCTCAGGGATAGTAGAGCGAGCGAAACGCGAGCGCGCGTGAAAATTACCCCAAGCGAGAAAGGGCGATACGCCGCGTGTCGCCTTTTCTCGCGTGGGGTAATTTTCACGCGCGCTCGCGTTTCGCTCGCTCTACTATCCCTGAGGAAAAATGGGGACTACTCGTAGTCTAACAACGCAAAACCCTGATTGGCTCTTCCACGGAAATCTGTCAACATCTGTCAAAAACGCGTCAGGCGCTATCAAAAACCTTATTTAGCCGCATTGAAGAGCTTCACTTTTCAAGAGAGGTCAAAGAAAATGCTCTTGCATCAGTGTGCAAATCATGCCGACCATAAACAATAACCGCAGAAAGTTAATATGCGTGTCACGACCTCTCAGTATGAAATAAGCGGCAAAAATCACATTTGCTTAGTCAAAACGTTTTCCTCCAGCGCATAATCTACCCGTCAGAGAAAAAAAATTCATTAAGGCAAACAGCATTTTGGCATGAGTAAAAGTCGTGTGTTGCCTACACTATCAAGTTCTTCACGCGAAACAGCCGTGAAGAAAATTAGTATGGGGTTCAAACAGGGGCACCCAACGACAATTTTCGGAAAAATATCTGTTCGGAAGACGATTTGAGATCTAGAATTTTCGGAACATTTGTTGTAAAATTTCTTGCTTGCCAGCCTCTCCTAGGATTTTCGGACATCTAAAACATGGTATAATTGCCTATTTTTAACGGATTTTTACCCTAAAAAGGACACCTAGAATTTTCGGAAGCCTTTTTTCTGGCTAAAATTTTCGAAAAGGTAACTTTTGATCCCTATAATTTTCGGATCAATCGACTTTCAGCTAGGAAATCCGAACAGATGAAAACCTTTTAGGGCATAAAAATATGCCTATATCTACCGTTTAAATACTAAAATACGTTTAACAATTCTATGTTTAAGTGGTTTTGAACTATATTCTCGTTGGGTGCCCCTGTTCAAACCCCGTTGAAGTCCTGAATCTTTTTTTTTTTTTCAGGCTTCTTTACGCAATTGCATAAATTGCGTTCACCGCGACGATAATTTTTCTTCATTTTCACAAACTCTGGTGTCCACCAAAATGAAATTTAGTCGGCGGGAAAACATTTTTACAGACAAATGTATTGGAAATTAAAGGTCATTAAAAGAAGCGATTCTAGGGCAGGCGAGGCCCTCCAATTTTGTGAGAAGAATCTTTTGTCTAATAACTTTAGTTTACATTTCATAGTTTTTTCAAAACGGACGTTTTACGAAAATTATTCGACATCGGATTCTCATACAAACACTTTAATTTTACGCCTACTTGCTTGCCCGTCAAGATGGGGTCGAAAACCGTGATAAGGCCTATTCCAAGACTTTCCATGACCTCAGTACGAACCTTGTAATAAACAACTCGTCCCAAATCTTTGGTCTTATTTCTTCCGATCTACGTTCCAATATTCTGAAGGTATAAGCATAACAGTAATGGTTGGACTCTGGCTAGCAGAAACGTTTGTGTGGAGGACAGTAAAACAAGTCTTGAGAAATGAAGGGGCAAAACATGGAATGCTTTCAATAGCAAAACTGATAAACATTATATTAAGGTACTTTTGCATCACTTTTCGAATTTATATGTGCCTTTTTAGCTAAATTTCAGACCAAAAATCAACAAAAAAGTTTCATAGTTAATTATTAATAATCATTTAACTGACAACTGACAAAAAGTCTAAAATTTAACTGACAACTGACAAATGGCCAAAATTTTAACTGACAACTGACATTTGTACCCACCACCCCCTCCCCATCCAAACCCTCACCCATGTCCACTCAATTATAGAGCAAGTTACAATCTTAAGCTTTATTCATTTATTATAATCCAACCAGACGTGAAATCCCCCTGTGATAGGGTTGAATGTGGAGAGTGCAGGCTGTTTTTCTGTTGTCTTCTTTTCCTCACTCCTTTCGACTCCATCGTTTTATCGACTTAGTTCTGTTCAGCTTTCTCCCCGCTATATATTAGCTTATATTCCTTACTTTACGAAGTACACACCAAAACGACCCCCCTACTACTCAGGCTAGGGAATTTGGCCAAACAGAGAAGGAGAAACAACTATTTTGAATGAAAAATAAATTGCTATGCAAAGGATAGCACAATTGGTTTTTGTAATATGTACTTATCCTCTTGAGAGCAATTTATCCGGTGGATAGCGCTCTCCAACTTTGGAACAACCAAGGCCTGATGGATAGCGCTATCTAACGTTTGAACAATTAGGCCCTGAAGTTAAATCCAGGCAAACGGCGGATGTATTAAGTTTTTAGTCGAAGAACGTGAATGGTGTCATATTTTTTTTCGAAGTCGTCGGCCTCACTTGCAACCAATGTGTGTAGGCGAGGATTACAACTTGTTTTCACCGTTCAGAATTTTGACATTTGAACTAAAGAAGTGGCAGACATTCGCGTCCTAGCCGCCCACGTTTTCAGAAAACGATTAAGTATTTTCTTATACTTGCGTTAATTCAGCACGTTTTTATGTCTGTGTTCCATTATAACAATGAATGTGATCTGTCACTATAACATCATAGCCGGAATAAAATTCCTTATACTAAATAAAAACACCAACTGTTTCGACACAATTTTAACCCCTGCCAATTTTTTGTAAGGAATTTTTTTTGCTCTCATTTAGAACATTGAAGTTCAAAATAATTGGCGCGCCCGGTAAGCCTTTTTTCCCAGATCGTCTTACTAGCTTAAAACGCATTATTAATTATTTTTAAGGCTAGCGGAGTCAGCTGTTCGTAGGTCATTGTCATCGGGTTTCGTCAATCGATTTATCAGACCACGCAGTATCGTAAGGACACACGAGCAACAATAACCATTAGAAAGGGAAGAATCACAACTTGAGCAAATGCCATCGTTTTACTATAAATTTCTCACCAAGAAAAATATTACAAATTACGCCATTTTTGTTGTTGCTGTAGTTGTTGTTGTTTCTCTTTTATTCACAAATGAACCGATGAATCGGTTCTCCACCTATACAATCGGGTGAACTTAGGTGAACTTCATCAATTATATGAACGAATGAGTGCGTTTTAATCGAACAATTTATACCAGTTTGAGTCTAAAGGAACGAATTTCACTCTTACGTTGATAGACAAAATTTGCAGTACTTTCGGAAATTTTATTTGGACGAAAAATCAGGTTTTTGTCCGCTTTAGGAGAGTTTATCAACAACACATTCGGTTCCGCGTTCAGCTGTGGTCAGTCGAAGTCCTTCGAGAGGCAGCAATTCGAAAAAAACTACTGCAATTTTGAGATTTGAAGAAGAAGACGAAAAACCCTCCACGGCCAAATATTTTTCCCTTCGCAAACAGCAAAATGTACGAAGCAGGTTGTATTCGTGTTCTTTAAGTGCAAGAAAGATAATTCAATTCCTGTGACAACTTAACATGAGGAATATATTAGAAAAGGCCACTGAATAAGCTTAGAGGGCTCTTGAAAGTTGAACGCATATGGATAGTTTTCTTGTCTTATTTACTCCAGACACCTCTGAATATAGTCTGACTTGTTTTCTTTTTGCAACGGTATAAATTAAAATTTCCCCAGAACTTAAAAATGATATGTTCTTTTATTCGGCAGCTCTTTAGTGTTAAACAATGTAAAGGTCGGCAACTTTTTGTGTTTCTAATTTGAGAAAAAAGGGTTATTAAAACTGACAGACCAAGAAGATCATAGCATTTTTCAAGAATTTTTGTGAGGCAAAAGCTTTAATCATTATTCGAGCACTTAAGGTTTATTTTCCCGAAACATTATTTTTTTCAGACTAAATAAAGAAAGAAAAGAAATTAAAATGCCACCCTAATACAACCCTTTAGAAGATAATTTTTTGCTGTGTTAAACTGACTACTAACCTCTATACCTTGTTGCTATATCACTTATAAGGTTTTCGATAACGTTTCCCTGTTAAATTGTTTAGGATTTATGAAAAAGTCTCCGTATGATGAGCATTATCTGTGCAATTCCAATTCATTGCCTTTTTTTTTTTTAGCTGCAAAATGGAGCATTAACCAGGAGCATATTAGTGAGGTAAAAAAGGCGTAATGTACAAAAACCTATTAATGTCTCTCGCGCGAATAAGGTGGTGACAAAACGGACAGAACATACAGATCGATTAAAGACG